GAAATACGCAAATTTAGGTGATTATAGACTTGTCGTATAAAATTAAAATATCTCGGATATAAAGGAAATTTGTCACATAACATTATCTCTCATTTTTGAGAAATTTAATGTAATAATAATGACACAAATATATACAGACAAGACACTTTGCACATATTAACTTATTATCAATCGAATTTTCATTTTATGCATCACTTCATTCATCACTCTCTCCTCGATTGTCCTTTTTTACGTGTAAGAGAGTGAAAGTAGTGTTCCTTTCGAGATTTGTTCTGCTTCTTCAGGCATATCCTTCCTTTAAAACTTTTTTAGGGAAAAGAATATTTTCATTAACATTATAGGAAATGCTTTCTAATGATGGGGCGGAACGGAATATAACGAATGGTGTAAAAAATTTCAGTATTTGTCTGCGACGTTCCACTAATGAATGGAGGGAGCGACGTTGTTCGCTCTTGTTTTAAAACTATGCTCACACTTCTTAAACCATTGTATTAAAAGAACAGTGAGATAGTAAGATAAAAATAGCACGGGAAGAGTAATTCACAGATTCATAAAATCTAAATAAATCATCTTTTCCCAAATTGTCAAGAATCAAATTACTTATGCTTAATACGTCTAGAAATCTTGACTGAATTATAGCATGTTGAAATTGGATTTTCTATTGCAGGGCTATGATATCAAATTGATGAGAACATTTCATTATACAGTTAGAAGTCTGGAAGTTTGCAGTACCATTATATATAGTAGTGATTGCTTAATTTTTTGTAGTACCATTATATAGTAGTGAATACTTCATGCTTGTCGTTTCAAAAGAAAATTAAGTGTAACGTTTCGAGCCATTCATAAAATGTTCTCATCGATTGAGTTCGGTAATGTTTACATGTGGGACGTTAATAAACATTTATGTAAAACATTGGTTCTTATTAATGCGTAAATAGATAATGATTAAAGTTAGTTCGATTAAAAGAGATACATTAGGCTAGTAAATATCAAAGAACCATATTTGCTTGATATGAAACGATAAAGGTCAAAAACTCATCAATATCACTGTAATACATATCATATCACTTTCCCACTTATCTTTTTTTCGTTTCTTCCCGTAGGATATATTTTCTGTGTTGCACTTCACGAATTTCGTTTCAAATCATAATTGTTGGCTATGAAATGCTATTTTTGAACCAGGCCTTGTGATTCCATTATCTTTCATCGAACGAGATCGATACACCACCAAATTTGCTCTACAATTCTTCATCCATATTCCCATTTTTTCCCAATGAAAAGAAATAGATATTTACAATAGATTATGATTTGATTTCGAAGACTTCTAGATCAATTTGATTTAGAAATAAAATGGATTCTGATCATTATTGTGCAGAACAAAAGGTCTACTCTCTCTACATATTTCATTACTTAATTAACAATTGCATTTTTAATTTTTTATTGAAGCGATTTCGTTAACTTTTCATATTTGATGAGAATGATTTCCTTTCATTATCAGTATGCAATTTCATTCTTCTTCTTGTATTTCTCAAATCGCATCAATCAAATCGACGTCCGTTCATCGCACTATTCCGATAACTACTGTCCGAAAAAATATTCTAGTAGGAAGTTACTTTTTCAAAAGATTGTGCACTTAATGGAAAAAGTAATAGTGAAGAAAGTGGTTTGTACCATTATCGCACAACTACGATAAAAAGTAAATTTTTGACAAAAATGAAGAGGATAGGATTAGCAATACTGATCGTAAATATTGCCATATCATTTATCATTCTCATACTACAAAGATATATATGACTAAGAGTAAGAGGGATAGTTCACATTTGAATTGTAGTTTTATCCCTTCAAGCAGTTTGATGCAGTAATCGAAGAAGACATTGGATGAACTTTTCTTGTTTCTTTGTCGATCATTTTTTTACTTCTGCTCGGTCCACTTGATAATTTTATTCCGTTTTTTAAAACTCTTTACCATCCATACTCGTTTTTTCTATTTGTGCATTAAGATTAAAACATAATGCCAATTCCATGAAAAAGGAAGATTTTGAAATGTGTGTGGGAATAGAGAAATAGTTCTATTCGATATCTTTCAATTAATATATTTGAGATGCTAAAGAACTAAGGTTTTTCTCTTATTTTCTTGAATTAATAATAAAAATAGTTTTGCATTGCATCATATAATCAAAATAAAGCTAAAATCAAGCATTGGCAAGGATTCAAAGATCAAACGGAGTTAAAATAAATTTAGGCTTATCCGTATATATTTTCATGTTATTCTTAAAAAATGATTATACTTCATTTGTAAAATAACACTGTAATACAGAATAATAAAAATTATGAATTTCAAGTCCAATTCATAATTCCATTGTTGATTATGATTTTATTTTGAATAAAAATGATGATTATAATGATAATTTACGCGTTTCAGTGCGTATCGCAATTCTCATCCGCTGGTGATAGCCATGTTTGGACCACAGATGATCTTCTTCCGACATTCGTATACGTGACCGTACGTGCCCAACTACAACATTTAGGCGCCGAAATTCATCTTATCGAAGATTTTACACCACAGTTGCAAGGAAGTGGACAAATTGAGTTGATGTTCACTACACTTAGAGCTAGTTACTTTCAAATTTGCAGTGATAAGGATTTACCTTGAAAAGTTTTTTTTGAAATCTTGAACGTTTTGAAAATAAAAAAACGAAAAGTTTGTTAAAAACAGATTTACTACTTGATGAAGGCTGTTTAACTCTTAATTCAACTAGAAAATCTTTCATTTAATATCTCCTCTATTGTACCGGTGTTGCACAAATTTCAAACATTTTATTTTTAAATACTTAGAAATTTTGATACTGTAGTATTATGACGCAGTGAATTTTCATACCTTTACTGTGATCATTTGATATGTACACATTTTGTAGATTTTTGCTATTGTTAAGGTTTCTGAAAAGGATAATTTTTTTATAGCATTCTGCCGCAATCTCTTTTTATTTGAAAATGAAAGGTCTCATCTATTTATCGCAAAGAGATCATTTTATACTTCCATCTATAAAATCTTTCTCTTTTCAGATCTTTACTGTGATCATTTGATATGTACATATTTTGCAGAATTTTGCTATTGTTAAGGTCTCTTTGGGACTTACGCTTTTGGCATGATAGTACCATTTCCAAAATCTTCAAAATCGATTGCCTACATTAAGAGACATATCGAAGATGAAATCTCTCTCATTCTCGTCATTGCTTTTTCTTGCAGCTGATTTTCTTCCTACATATCCACATTCTCTATTTCAATTATTTTGCTTACATAATTGTGATCTTTAAACTCTCTTTTGATGAAAGAGAATCCCATAATTGTAAAAAATATTTCAATTTAACTAAGATATTGTATAGTCCTCTCACTATCGCTGAGCTAAATTCATTAATCGATTCGTAAATTCATAAAGTATAAAATTTCAATGTTCAATGGATTAATTACACAGCGGAAGAAAAATCAGAATTATAATGAATTGTGAAATGCTAGGTCAGTGTTTCAGCTAGTGACATTCCGACTGTCTGCTCGAAGATTCTACATCGAAGAGTTATATCCTATTATGCTTATTAATATCGAAATTAGACTGCACTATATGATTAATCTTATTACCACTACTGCTATACTTATTTTGGAGATATGATCGAAACTGATTGCTACATTTTGTTAAAGCAATATAAACTTCTAGATTCGAATTAAGCAATAAAAATTATGTTAGATGATGCAATAAAAATTAAATCTAAAAATAAAATAAGGCTGGGCGGTAACAAAAAGAGCTATTAAAAAATGACCGTAGAATAGCCGACCAATGCGTGTTCGGATTCCTCGGAACCAATTTATTGTTCGGAATCCCTTCGGTAAATTGTTCATTCCATCTCTGCAAGCCATACGTTATTATCTGTTTTGCATTATTCTGTTATGTTTATCAATTAAAATTTTAATTTTTTTTTCAGCCTTTCAGCATTAGATAATTTCAGTTCTTTCTCCTTTCACGTAAAAATTCTATAACGGATTTGATAATTTAAATTACTTTGCTGAAACCTTTTGTTTAAAATAAATTTAGTCTGTGATGTGATGATGCATGGATCCTATTCCATGTTTTGCCTTATCTTAGTTTTAGTTGAAGAATCAATTAAGTGGGAACTTCGAAGATTTTGTTTTATTCAAACCGCTATTTGGAATTTTCAGCTTTTTGGATATAAGTTGTTTGGTTTTTTCTTTCGAAACTATATTGTAATATAATCAATTTTCTAAGTTGTTCATATGACCTGAAGAGTAACTTTGGACATATAAGTTGATTATACTATTTCATATTATTGTAAATCTAATTTGTTCAAATCCTGAAATATACGCTATTAATATCAGTCTTGTAATTCAAAATTATCCGGGATGATGAAATTATGATTGTAGTGGCACCACAACTATCAGTGTTGCTTGTTAACAAAGACGTTTATCATTGTCATTTCGTCGTGATTGGATGATGAAAAACAACAATCGATTTTCGGATCAAATGAGACCAATGAATTGTATATGTGCGCATTGTGATCGTTCCAGATTTTCTGCGCAGTATCGTTGTCTATTGTTGCGATCGGTAATAGTTGTTCACCAGTATTTTCTGGATAAACGAATATATCCTTTAATTTCATTTCCTAGTCATTTGATAATCATCACTATTTTTATCACTATTCATCAGAAGGAAAAATTGATCAGTTTTTTCAAATTTCGGGTAATTCAGGAATTAGTATGTTCATTTTGAATGGTTTACGGTTGAATTCATCGATTAGAACCAATAACAGTATTGCATCAGTGCTTCTAATCACAGTTGTCCTACATGCCACTCTAACAATCGTCCATTCTCAACAACAACAACAGCAGACAAATTTGAAAAATGACGATAATCTTTATATTCTTATCGATGAAATTAATGTTTATACATGTCGAGGAGGTATGCATTTTCTGAAGAGTAGTAATATTTTCTTCACAACGTATATCGTGTTTTTGTCTTCGTCATATCGCCTTTCAGGCTCTGATGAAAAAGACAACTTTCGTGTTTGAGAATAAACTTGATTGAGCTGTTGTTATCAAAGAGTGTTTATTATCTAATAATACTTTTTTAATTTGATAATAATCAATAACCATCTCTTCGTTCAATAGGCAATGTTTCTCGCATTATTATTCAAAGAGTATTTGCAGCTAAAAATGAGATTAAACTAACAGAGGATGATATTAATATTGTGAACGAGAAAGGTAATCGTGTATACTTCATCAAAGCACCCGGCAGTTACTCTTTACATTTCAAGAAACTCGTTGTTACCAAAGACATTGGATATTTGAGTGGTGAAATTGGTGTCACACTTCAAGTCCCAATTATCGAAGGTCCTGCAGGTTGGCATTCAAATTTTAAATCTAAATTTCCGAAATTTTCTAAGAGAAAGCTTTTTCAATGAATAACACTATAGAAGTATTTTTTCCTAACTGGCACTTCAGGAATTCGTTTCGATTTGCCTTATACAGTGGTACCAGAAACTGGAATTTTAGACCAGGAATGTGACAAATACAGCGGTGTCATAGAGCGCGGTAATCGACAGTACTGGTAAGCCCATAGATTCTAGAGAATCTCGTAACTCTCACAATGCTTTTGGAAAGCGAAATGTCGCATAAAAACTTAGGTTTCGAGCTAAAGGTCAAGCATAAAATGCTTTCCGACTTTTCGTTTTTCTTGCCAGTTAGTCGTCAGCATGAAATCAAAAGTAGCACTAGTTCGGTAGCACATCATCAAGTTCGGATTTCTTCCCAAAGTCTAAAATGTTTCACTGCTTTTAAAAGGGCTAGTACTTTCAATACGTTTCCACCGAAATAGTACTTGTAAAATACATTTCAAGCCATAAATGATCTGGGAAATGTCAAAACGACACAGTACGCAATAATATCTATTTTTTGTGGAGAGACTTATTTTTCCGAAGAGAAAAATTTCTTTCTTATGTTTTTGGAAGAGAAAAGCCTAGCATGGCTGTATCCGAGTCTGTGTTATATCATAATAACATCAAGAGCGTCATATCACAAATCGTTTTAATAATTTCAATACGGTTTTCATCTTCATTCGAGTTATGGATAAAATAATATTACTCATTGTTCTTCACATCATAGCTTATTAAATACCTGGATCTTTTAGTCGTTACTGTGATATCTGTGGACTTACCGCTAAACTGGAAACGGATTTGAATAATAAAGGCCATTTATTCTTGCCCGAAGTGGCACGTGGCACCGAGGAGAAATTTGCTCCAGTTTGTAATCAAATTGCCTCGAATATTTACGAATTCAATCGGACGATTAATTTGCCTGGTAGACATGAATTGGAAGTACTGATCAACGAAAAGATCCAGGGACTAGACGGTGAAATTCGTCAGCGTCTAAACAAAAAAGTATTTTGTTTATGTTTATTTAATATATTTCAAAAAAGATTCAGGACGGAAGCAGTCAAGTGTGTGACCATTACAGACTGATTGTGATTTTGAAATTCCCCACAGCCTTAAGAAATATTATCGAAGAATAATAACATATTGTGTAAGAAGACCAGGTACAATATTTCGATTTGTTTAAGGCATGCTTACTAAGATATCGCCCAAACATTTGCATTTGCACCAGCAAGGGAAGGGACTTCAAGACAGAAACTATTTTCGATTCAGGCACATAATCGTAGTTTCATTTCAATACAACCGTTATTATTGAAATACAAAGCAATCGAAAATTTTCTAATGCGAGATTCCGAAAATGATATTTCAGCGAGGTCGATTTCAAGTATTTCTGAATTTAATTAGTGCCGAACAACCAGCAATCAAGCAAGACGATTGGTTTGCAAAATCTGCTGATGTAAATATTTTTTGCGGTGTTTTTTTTTTGACTTGTTAGAAACTCGATAGTGGGTAATGCGATTTGTTTAATTCATGTGCAATTAGCAACATAAACGTTTTTATTTATTGATGAGTCGCTCTGGTCTACTTTTTTAAACTTGTGAAATTAGTTAAATTTTCCAATATCTTAAGTTTGAACTATGAGACGGATCAGATCAGGAAATCCAAACAAGATCTAGTTACCTTCTCTTGTAATTACTTGCTTTAATGATCACATACTTTCTAATTATTTTCAATATTTCAAACAGAAATTTTCCTTCCATAAAATAAATTTATAATTTAAATATTTTGAAATGTAAAATCTATGAATTCTTTAATAATCTTCAATTTTTAATAATTATTCTGTCCAAAATGCAATAATTTTTCGCATTGTCAAAATAACATTCAAAAAAAAAATATGAGTGAAAGAGCCAAAATTTCAGTGCCGATGTTGCTGGGATGGTCATGGCGCTTCGTGCCATGGCGTACTAAGTTTTTTGTACTGCAATAAAGAAGAATGCAGGAATAGCTGGGCACAGCGCTGTTTGCATCATACGGCACGTATCATTGCATGCTATACTGTTGAATTTAATTATCATACGACAACTGCATATACAGACGTTATTCAATTTTTGAATGAAAACAATTATCCAAATCAAGAAATGGTTACGTCAGTACCACAGTGAGCTTCATATTACATGAAAAATTTTTGATAGATTTGATCAGAGTATCAATTTAAATAATTTAACATATTCATAATGCATGTATGTTCACTCCTTTTGCTTGATCGAGTTATTCAACTTTCAAAGTTAACAAATCAAACTTTTGGCACTATAATCCGTTGGTTTGTAGATTCAAATTAAACCTTTTCTTTTGTTCTATTATCTGTAATCATATCCTTCTAAGGTCAAATAAGTTTTTAATTTGTATCCCGATCGATTTCACATTCAAAGATTTTTCGAAATTTTGAATGATGGGAATTTACGGTTTGATATTACCATCTAAACGTTTTACTTAATCTATGCGGATTTATTTTCAGGAGAACATCAAATCTATCGGGTACTAGTGGAGTCGATAACGTTGCCCAAACTTTAACCGAAAGATGTGTGGCAGAAATGTCCCAAAGACTGACCCATTTGCGGCGTTATTGTTTAATCTTTTGGAATGATAAATTGTGTTGTTCACATTGTCCTGATGTATGTCATTCTTAGACTTTTTAAAATTTAAATCAAGTTTTAGATTTAGCAAAATTTTAAATTTAAATCATCCCACACTTTCTCATTAGTGGACGGGTATATCCCAAATATTTTTAATTCGATATTTGATATGAGAATACAACTACGTAAAGTGATGCATATTAAGTGAACAAATTACTCAGTGAATTGTAGAGACAATCGAGTTCATTAACTCTATACTTTCTAATGGCGACCGTTCCCCATATCAATTCCGCTCCGTATCGGTTTCCATATAGACTGTCAAATCATTCGATTTATTTAACCTTTTATTGCTAAGGGAGTCAGTAAAATTTTATATCAATTGGCACTATACTTTGAAAATTCCAAGGAAATTAGTGAAGGAAATTACTGCTCGGAGAAAAAAGAAATGAAATTCAGAGATACATCTTCAGTTTTCGAACTCAACTTCTTTTCTTACAATACTTAAATCAAAGATTTTAAATGAATTTATACTTTAATCAGCAATGACGAATTCCTTGTCGTTACATTCACTGCGTTGTTGTTTTCACTTACTGAAACAATTCCTAGTGTGCAATATATATTTACAATAAACAAAGCTCTGTTATACTGCGACAATTTGGAGTAGTGGTTCAGTTCAAAATTAATTTTCAATATAACGCCTCGTCATTTTCAATCCGACGAATATAAAAAGAAAGTCGAAAGTTATTTAATATTTACATAATAATTCTAAATATAAAATGTTGCTGAAGTTGTTTGTATCACCTCAGAATAAAATATAGTTAGTAAACTTCCGCAAAATATATTACGTAATGATTAGCAAGAACATCGTTCTCTCACATTATATAATACGTTATTTAACAAGTTGAACAACGTGTATATTTAGATTAATATTATTCGTCTATAACTTTTTAAAATTTGATTACACGATTTTGATATATATGCAAAAAATGGCGATCATTTTAGAAAATTTCCTGTTTTTTTTTTCCTTAACACAGATTTCTGTTAAAATTGAGCTATAAAAACAGACGAAAATGAAGTTAAAAGTTAAAAATTAATGAGGGTAGTTAAATTTCGTGTCTTAAATCTCGAATTAACACAAGAATGAAGATAAATCAAAAGTATTTCAAAAAAAAAAGGGTGGAGTTCAACATGCGACGACAAAATTTATTTTTACAAAGACAAAGAGATCCCTTCTACAAATATCAACGAACATTTTTAGTGAGTTTTCTAAATTTCAATTTGTAAAAAAAAATTATCATTATTTTTAATAATGAATGCGTAGTCATTCACACTTACTGTGGCAGGGATGTAAAATACTATATCGAGGTTATGGAGTGCCCGACGAACAGCTCATTGAGCGAAGCATAAAATAAAATAATAACTACATGTAAAATAATCAAATATTTACAAAAAATAATGTATAAAAATTTCAGCTAAGTGAACCAATTACAAATCCCATTTGTTTAGTAACGGATACTGCAGGAGTTTAAATAAATGCAATAACTAATGTAGTTTGGCAGAAGATACTACCATCAATTCTAGAATCTAAAATTCATAACTGGAGCGGTAAAGAATGAATTATTCGTAAACTCTTACTTTTAAATTGTATAAATGAGCAGTAGTATCTTTTCATTTTTGAAGGAAATCGGGGAACTAAGTCCTTATCATTCTAAAGACATCTTGAACAATTTTAAACAATCTCTTAAATGAAATTCCATCAATAAACTGTTTTTTGCTAGCTGCAAATAAAGAGATTTTTTTCTAGAGACTTGAAAAACGTTTTTGATCTTGGTAGCAACAACATAATCCAGTCTAGTTACATTCGTTCTTTATACCTCCTAATTTAAAATGATAATTTCAAACATGTAAAAATACGTGTAAAAAAATTCCCCAAAGCGACTGTTCATCATATATTCCATTAAAGAACTACAGATATGAGAAAATTACCAGCTGAAAATTTGAATCACAGATTATCAAACTTGCTTTTTCCATTATCAGCTCCCCGCTTTGATCCCGCCATTATTGTCGTTAAAACTTCAGCCTCAAAATCAGCGAATTCAACCGATGTCATAGGCCGTTCTGCAATATCATATTTCACAATCGTTTCACTTTCTGGTTAATTGTATAAACTTATTTATCGGGCAAAAAAAAATTCCACATAGTCGAAATTTCAAGCAAAAAAATAAATTTACCCATTGGTCTATTTGACTGCACTTCGAGAGTAGGTGGTTTTAGCAAACATGTCACAGTAATCGGAACATCTGGTTTTCCAATTTCTTTTTCAACTCCATCCTGATGATAAAAGTGAGCGTGTAGAATTTGTAAAACCGAACAAAATTTTGAATATTTTTACACCAATTAATAACCTTTATTAGAAAGAAAGGATTAGATAAGCATGTTCATTCACAATACTTACTACATCCAATAATTCGTCAAACTCCAAAATTGCCATGCCTTTGCTACCGCTTGAAACAATTACATCAGAAACGTGTCCATACTGAAATAGTATGCAATACACTTTTTCGCATTTAGTGGTCGAGCAGTACTAAGCTGACCGCATTTGAAGCAACCTCTCTTACGTGTCGTCTCTCCGAATGACTAAGCAAGATATCAAGCCAAATAATTCTCAAAAAATAACCTTAGAGAATAATTTTCTGAAATGATCTTCATCATAATTACACAGATCACTTTCCCGTTTCCATCTTAATTTGTAACGAGCTAGGAATCCTGCAAACACAAATAGATTTCCTGAAAAATCCGACTTCGTTTAACAAATTATAATTTGAAAAAAACCTGAAATAAACACGGTATTAAAAACTTACGCTTATCACAGCTTTGCTCTTTCATAACTGCATTTTTACGAATTTCTTGTTCGATATTTTCTCTTTCACGCTGTAGTAATTTAGAACCTTCCTTTCGTAGACGCTGAATCTAAAATTCTTTCTTTTAGAAGAATACGAACCGTGACTTGACAAATTTTCTGCAAGTTTCAGCAATAACATTTAATACAAATGTATTAAATTATTCGCCAAATTAGTAAAAATGAGACAAATCTTAACATACCTCTTTTTCAAGCTCCCTCTTAGCCTTTTCTTCATTTTGCTGAGCGTTTAATACATTTGCCTCACGCTTTTCAAGCTCCTCACGTAATTTTCGTCGTTTCTCGCCCTCATTCTTTTGCCTTCTCTGTACATAAACAGTATATGCTGTTCTAGCAGCCAATACATGGTCATAAGCAGTTCGAGCAGCCGCATCCGATAATAACTCAAAAGCCTTAGATATCTTCAAGAACATTTCCTGTGCTACAATTAGTGGATACATTAAGTTTCAGGAAAGAATACTACTGAAAAAACATTGAAAGCAAAACCTGCAGGTTTGCCCTGAACTAATGAATAAGTTAAAAATACCTTCTTGCTTACGATCAGGATTTTTGTCGGGATGCCATTTTAGTGCAGCTTTCCTGAATGCTTTCACAATTTGCGTATCCGTGCATCCCGGTTTCAAATTGAGCATTTCATACGGGTCGAAATCTACTACGCAGTTGCCTGCCATACTCAATCTAATAAAACAGTTATTAAAATATTGAGTAACAGCAGACCGTCTCATCATTATTCAAATGAAAATAAGCTCCGTATTGTTCAGTAAGTACGGAAACAATAAAAATTATATATGATATAATTTTTGCTGGAGACATTTGCTCCGATATTCATTCTACATAAATTTCGCAATGCGACATGACAGTTTATTTGGAAAAAAAACTTCGCAAATATACTTGTAACTTTTTAACAAGTAAAAACAACAACCGGAGACCGGAGACAAAGTCCAAATTGCAAAATCATTGAAATTTGAAACAAAGGAAGAAGTGTAAAAATGTAGCGATGTGCAAATCTGACCCGAAATATGAATGATATTATACATAATGAATGAAGTTAATGATATTTGTATACTATCAAAATAACTATCAAAAAACATTTTTAGGAAGCAATTTGCATCCATTAAAATAATGATAAAATAAAGGGAACGGTTTCAAAGATTGGATACTATAATAATAACAGCTACGACAAAGCCTTGACGTCTACAACACTCTCACAAATTATCAAGATATGTATCCTTCCAGTTATCATAAAGGATACACGTCTTCAAAATTTACCAAATTTATTTCAAATTTTATGTCTGCGTACACAGTTTTAGAGCCAACAATACATAGAAAGAGCACATGCTGTTAGCTACAAAATTTAATTGAAATGCATATCGATAATCTTTGAACGCTTTAAAGTGAAATCATTAAATTTATTTGGTATTCCTTTCAAGTGCGTATAGCACAGATTTGTAAAAAAATTTCGTACATTAACAAATTAGCTACAAATACAAAAAATTTTTCATAGTCAATGAAACAAAAAAAAAATATAAAGAGAACGGTTTATTCGAATTAAATATTAATAACTGTATCACAAAAGAATGAGAGAGATAAGTTTTTTGTATATTTATTGATAACAAATAGAAAGATTACTACTAGCACTGCCGTTGACAATCCAGTTAGGATAAATGGATGGAGGATGCATGTTGTGCACTTGAAGGTGTTGTCGTCAGGCTAGCACAACAAATCTCACAACCATCAATTAAGCGGAGAAGTTCATCGGGAGTTGGTCCCTGAAAACCAAAATTTTGAATTTAAGAAACGACTACTTTGAAGACTAAATTCTCAAATTTTTTAGACTCAACATTTCAAAAACGTAAATAAAGAATAATACATAAAAGAACATTATATACATGTTCACCAAAGAACACCTTAAAGATATACACTCACCAATATGAGTCTAAAAATTCAGTGCAGCACGGCAGTTATAATAGTCTGATATTAATATCATCTGATAAATTATCAATTCAATAACATGTTGTAGATGAAATATACTGTATAACCCAATCATTAAAAGATATGTTTCTCAGTTCGAATTTGAGTTCTTATAAATGAAATACAGACCTGTCGCACCGCATCACTAACTCGATTTGCAAATAGCATAGCATTGGCGGTAGTAGATGCTGTAGTAGTTGTGGATACAGTACCAGCTGTTTTATCAGCTCCACTCGCTTGATTACCTAGAAAAAAATTTGGAAATGATAAACTAGCATGGTACTGATCCAGAGCTGTCGTTAAGTCCCACATCTGAAATAAATGTTAAAGTTCTACAAAATAAACATATCAAAAGATATTATATCATTTTCATTGGTTGCATTACAACTTCCCGAAACCAAATATTAATTCAAAATGATACTTAATTCTTCCAATAAGATGAAAACTAATATCTACTTGGATGGAACCATTGGAAGTTCCAGTGAACAAAAATCTCCTCGGTCTTGAATTTACACGTGAACCTTCACATTCATGAACCAGAAAGGCAGTTATTGCCGAGTCACCAACAGTTCGAATGGTACAAAGCCTATAAGTAATAAACCAATTTCTTGTATTATTTCACAATTTTAACAATTAACTTCAAGCAAAAAGTATCGGCGAAAAGAAACAAGTAATGAATAAAGTTAGCAATAACAACAGGATGCTTGTTGTAAATGAATAAAAAAAGAAGGACGCTAATACAACTGACCTGTCGCCGTTCGACGCCAATCTTACAAAGACTTGATTAGTACCGGGTACTACTCGTTGAACAAAAACTTGCTCGCCATCTTGATCACCAAATGGTCCTGAAATCCAAAAAAAATTGTGCTACTTCTGTAAAGGCGCTAAGTCGAAAAAAGTGAGAAATGTTAGACGGGAAAGATGTCAGATATTAAATCATCGAAATAATACCTGGGTCGTTTCCGTCCGCATCAAGCATATCATCAGTGCTGTCAAGAGTAAGTATCTTGAAAGATGCTAAAGATATACTACCCGGTTGCGTCGAAATCATGCCACGAAAACGCGTTACACCCCAGGAACGAACATGATTATATTCGCTGCACACTAGAGAATGATGAAACTTTTCTTTTGGTATATAAATAGTAAGAAATAGAAGAATACCACAGAATTCAATTTTATCCTACATTTGAACTGAAAAAAGTATTTTCACGAATGGACGAACCAAAAATTGAGTTAATCATCCTCACCGCTGATAAGATGGTTGGTTGTAAGAGCAACTCGTGTAACTGGAGACGTATGGACGGTGTAAGTTTGGAACAACTGTGGACCATGACCCACTGTTTCTGGATGTTGTACGATCACTCGGACACTACCACTTGAAGTTCCATAAGCAATTTCAATCCAATTTCCACGTAGATCTGGAAAATTGACACTGTGCAGCCAAGATAGCAAAATTTAATAATTCTAAAACTCTGATCAGTTGAAATGTGCAAAAACATACTTGTTTTCGGCGTCAGATAAACGCTTATAGCGGTGATAATATCGGCGTTTGGATCTCGATAAAGTTCCGTAATCAGCAAATCGTTATCTTTCATACGCAAAGGGAATTTCTGCATATCGATATAATAAATGGATCCATTGGTGCACCCAAGAAGCAAAAATGATCCCGCTGTATCATAACAAGATATCGCGACGACATCTACGATGAGGGAAGCACTATCATTCCCAAAGGACTTTAAAGAAATATGTAAATATGCAAAATCAAGTCACATGTGAGAATGCGTAACTAAAACGAACTTCGTGTTTTTTTGGTAACAGCATAAAATGATGATTTACCGCTTACATTTCTTGATTTCCAGTCACAGCACAAGAACATTACTGACCTTGGACTTGCCAATTATGCGTCATTGAATGCCAGATTCCAACCTTGCCAATTTTACTCAGTGCTACCAACTGGCTCCCAATAAAGAACAACTTATCAACAGGAACCAACAGAGTGAACGTTCCTGCGAAAAAAATGTCTCGAAACATAACCATATTTAATAATCATCTATATAAGAATATTTACAACTTGTAAATTTTCACTTCTTTGCTGATCTTTCTCTTATATTTAAAGTTTCGGTAACTTAGATTTTGAAAAACTAAATAAAAACTAAAATATGGAAGAAAAATTTTCTACCAATTTTGGTTCCAAAATTCGCATCTCCTTCTGAAATATTCCACAAATATATAGCATTATTAGCTAATGAAACGGCTAACATTTTTTCTCCAAATTTTGCATACAACGCAACATGACGAACAACAGCATCCATACGTGGTGATATATACAGCTGTTGCCAACCCAAACTTTCTTTCATTCTGTGTGCGAAATAAAATTGAAAATTTTCTTAAATTGCTAATAACTTTTTTTTACTGTCAATAAAAACAGTTGAAAATTTGAAATAGAAGACTTTCTCTTCTTAGTGATAATTTATTCCAAACAATTGAAAAAAGTGCTAATAGTGCCTAAAATAAACAATTACCTGTAACAACACACAAAATATGCATAGCCTACGGCAACTGCATTATAATGTGCTCTAATCACTCGAACTCGTAGCGGCTCTGACAGCTGATCAGACATTCGCGCAGAGTAACGCGTCAGCAATGATAGCTCACCTTTCAACTGAAATTAGACTGAAAAGATAATTTAATAAAGACACAAAAAAACTGCAGTCCCGCATCATCCGTCTAAATGTTTCCAAACCAAACGCTTTGAAAATACTGAAATTAGTGGTACTGGATTGTAGTTCAACACATAAAAAAAAATCAATAGAACAAGCAAATGGAAATATTATAACAGAATTAGCTAGTGAGATGATGGGTCATGGCATAATATAAATAAATATAATGAAGGAGTTGTTAGCGATGCGTGCCATGAAAAGCAAGTTAAATTAGATCATTACCTGACGGGTCAATTCAAACGAACTCTTTTTCATGTGGCTTTGGTAAATTTTAGAAGGGTTACTGCAAACATTGTATGCGGTCTAAAATAACTGTACATAAGAAATCATTCCTTAAATTTATATTAGGCAATAGCAACACTGTTGAGAAATTTTAAAATTTGTTTCTGCTAAAATTTTGACATATATTGAAAGTTAGTGAAATACTTCATTATCCAAAATTACAATTCTGAAAGACCGCAACATAATGATACTAAAGAAGTTGAGACTTGATATTTTATGCCATCATATACTCTAAACGTGTTGTTCGACAACTAAACAAGCTTTTTGAGAAGAATTCGAAATATACCATAAAATCTGGGCTAACTGCTGAGAAATGTGAAGCAAAATGTTGTGACATGGTCCTTGATGTGCTGCTGCTGCTTTCCATTGATAAGCTTGCTACATTCGATTTTTCTGTATTGACTGGAAATTTTAGATCTAAGAACTGAAAGTGTGCTTGAAATGAGAGCACTATAACGAGTAAGGATTTACCTTCATGACTTTCAACAGATGACAGCTGCTTTGTGGGCAAACTTGAGCTGCCTTTTACTGTCTTGTTGACCAGTACTTCCACAGCTTGTGGCACCTGAAATAAATTCTGGCATATTTTTTCATTTTTCACTCACCAAATATACATTTGAATACATATAACGTTCTTATATAACACCAAAAAAACTCCTTCAGTTTTGCTAGCGCTCAAACAACCACCCACTAGTTAAATTAAAAATGTTCACTTTTCCACACCGGGCTTCTGCATAGGTAAAGACAAATTCTAAAAGAGTCAATGACCCAATCAAACTTACTTGGATTATAATAAAAAGTTTTATCCACATGATCCTCACCTGAAATTTAGCTTCCATGCTTGGAAGCAAACGTGGCTGCTGTGATGCTCTGAATGAAGAAATACCAGATGCCATTTCAACTTCAGGCACTGCTGCGTGTTCACTTAAACTTCGAGAATGAAGAGAAGGAAAGGGAACCGAAATTAAGCCACGTGAATCTGTCGACGAATTAGGCGTATTCTGGCTTCTTGCAGAATTTGGTGATGATGATGATGAACCTTAGAAACATGATTTTGCCAAGCTAATTTTTGAAACTCAAAATAACTGGTAAGAAGTGACGGATGAATGAATCTTCAAAAAAACTTAAAAATTATTCCGTTTTAGTTAAGCATCATCACTATCAAAACATACCTTCGTTTAAGGGTAATGCAGGCGGAGGTAAGTAAGCATTAAAAAGTACATCGCCACAAGCACATTCGTCTAATTCTTCACATAAAGTTAACCGTTTCACTAGAGGTCCCAAGCCGTAATATTGTGCTTCATGTTTTAAATGCATCAAACTCACTCCGCTAAAAAATATATTAAGTACAGGCAATAATGAAAAGAAGTAATTGAGAATACACCAGTAAAGAAATATGACAGAGATATTATTAGAGCAACTAATTTCACCTTAAATCAATTTGCTTTGTCCGTAGATAATTTAAAATTATTCGAAACATTCCCGGATCTCGATCAATGAAAACCTGAAATTACTAAAGAGATGGAACATTTGCATCTGCATTTTGCAAAAACACCAATACAGATAAAAAGAATGGCAAACAGCACAGAAAAATTCGAATAATGGTAATATCGAATACAAAATCGATAATGGATAATACAAAATCGATAATATCGATAATACAAAATATTATTCGGTAATACATATAATATTATTCGAAAATACAAAATAATACATCATATAATCATATAAAGCATCATATAATACAAATTATTCGATAATACATATAATATTATTCGAAAATACAAAATCGAAGATAATGGTGCTAATATTTAACTTAATTTCAAGCGTTTTTGACTGACGAAATCAAAAGTACAGGCAAAGACGAGTTCAAATCAGACTAAGAATTCATCTCCGACAGTAAAAAAATTTACCGCATTTGTTTCATCGCGTACAGTAGGAATTCGTCCACTCAACAAGCTGAAACAATCTGTATAAGAAATCTCAACAAATATTACAAATATTACATATTTCAGCACTTCAAGAATTATGGAATCAAATCAACACTCCAGTCATTTGACTTATGAAATTTTGTCTTAACACGAACTATCACAGAATCACTTTAATGTTCTTTCTGATTTATTTTAAACGGGCTCAGAAGTTCTCATGGTCTATAAAGGTAAGCAACCTTGTGAAGAACGTGTCCGGTATCCATGTCAAAGTTTGTCGTGAAGTTGCAAACCTCTGTCCGCCAACATTTAAATTAACAATTTGCTCTGTCATTAAAAATCGTGTCACAACGATAAAGAAGGGACATCAAATTCCGTCTCGTTATTTCTTGATTTCTTCCAATATCAGAAATGCTGAAACGAGCTTTAAAAACACAACCTCTTTCTCGTCCTCAATCCACGATGGAATTAAACTTTTTCCATTGGAAAAACACCACAAATAGATTGGTAAAACAGCTGCGGACTGTTTTTCGGAAAAAACGAAAAGCTTATTCATTTTTACCAATGGAACAAACACACAAATCCTATATACAATCAGTACAAAATGTAAAGAAACATACTTTGCAAATAACAATGTTTAATGATAACAATATTATGAATAATTTTCGACCTAAAGTACATTATACTTGCCAATTGCCATAAATTTTATTTCAAATGCAGAACAGATCAAAATATCGGCGACCACCAAAACTATAAAAATTTTATAATTTTTCCCTACACAATGTCCTATTCATTACCATAAATACAAAAAACTTCCAATGATATGAAACACAACACAACATGCTATGTTTGGAAATGAGTTTAGTCTGCTAATATATATAGATAAAAATGCTCAACTGAGGAATTTTTGACATTTAGTATAAAATCAGACATGATCAAGATATTTTTTAAACAAAAATTTCAAATTAAATTTACCCTATTAAATCTTAATGAGTCTCACAATAAACTTACTCTGTATTCCAACAGATTAAGTTGATCTGCATGTAACCAAAATAAGATAACCTTATCGCTTACTTTTTTAAAATACATTATGCTTGTCAACTGCCATAAATTTTATTTCAGTTGCAGATTTTTTTTACTTTTTTTAAAATACGTTATACTTATCAACTGTCATAAATTTTCAGTTGCAGATTAAAACAAAATTTCGGCCATCACTGAAATGCGATTAACTATTATAATGCTCTCTAATCCTTCAATCTTTAATGAAACAAGGTAAAAATTGCAAAATTTATGCCTCACAACCTTCTTAGAAATTTCTTGACATATATAAAACAAGTAAGCCATCATACTAATATTTATTAGTTAATATTGAAAGCAAATAATATTTTTCAAGGCGTTCATTTACATTTACATCAACGAAAAAAATAGCTAAAAAAGCAAAATTTTATAGCTATTAATCAAGTCGATAGTTCGAACATTATCAAAAAAAATTTAGATTGATGAACGAACATTTTTTTTACATTTAACTCAATCTTTCTTTCAGGCATTTCTCGTACAAATCGTAGTCCTTGTCCAAAAATGTGACGAAAATTATTTTATCAATCTAAAAATTAATCAGCAGCATTATCATTTTTGGTGGGTTTGGGAACAGTGTTGTCTATAATATTAAAAGAAGTCTCTCAAAATTCAGATTAACTTAAAAAAACCTTACTCTTTCTTTATTTTCTTGCAACCATGCTAAAACCGAAGTGACAACGACGTTACATGCATCGTCATTTGGATAACCATACACGCCTGTCGAAATACATGGAAATGCCTGAAGTTCTCCACTATGAATGTTACAGAAGGAGATTCAATAAAAATAAGGAAATTGTTCACAGAAACTTCAAATTTTAAATTGTTTTTCAACCTTTCAAACGGCAAATTACTCACAACAGTTCTCAAATTATTCGCAGTGGCAATATTGAGAGATTCAATGTAGCAGGATTTCAACAGATTTCGCTGCTCTTCAGAAACTTTAGAATGAACTTGGGGCCCCACTGTATGTATTATATCTGAAACTAATCCTGACATACAACAAATAATTTTAAAAGAAGAAAAAAATGGAAATCTATTTCGAAAACATACGCTTAATATGTTTTATATTATAAGCTCCTGTAATTTTAGCTTCTCCAACTTTGCAACCATTCAATTTTTTACATTCATCATATAAACGTCGGCCTGCCGCACGATGAATAGCTCCATCGACACCGCCACCTTAAATAAATAAAGTGAAAATAGATAGAGTAACTTTCAAACGAAGCTAATTTGAATAGTTTTGGGAAAAATAACATACCACCCAAAAGTGAACTGTTGGCAGCGTTAACAATAACATCAATTTCCAAGTTGGTAATGTCGCCTTTGTCAATGCCAATAAGCTTAGCAAGCGGATTGCTTGATTTTGTCAATTCAGCAGCTGTTGTCACCTCGGTCCATTTTTTCACCTTTGCCATCCTTCCTATGCTCTTATCAACTCATCAAGAATTACTCATTCATTTTATATTTCGCGTCAAAAACCACCCAAAGACCAAATTCCCACGAAATATCTGAGAAGCTCAATGACATCTCGATTTAACCATACAACCAAAACTAATCCCCACAGTTAAATCATGCTATTACAAGTAAATCAAAGATCACTTTAGATAAGCTCCAAACATGAATAGCTCTAATCTAGTCAATTTACTCCATCATATACCTAGAAGAATTTTTGAAGTATCAAGATTAGAAAATGCAGGATGGAAACCAACCTAGAACTGAAAAAGTACCAAACTTGTTCACCAGTATGTTTTGCATGTTTGCATAAGGACCAGCCTAAAATAGAGGAGAAGCCTATCCTTACAATCCCAGATTATAAAATATAAAATGCAAAATTAAAGTACCGAACAAAACCCGTCCCAAAGCGTTTTACTTCATACGGCCGCATCACATTTTTACGACGATTTGTTTCTCAGCCACGCGAGGTCATTGTGTTGGTGACGGGATTTCCAGTTTAATCCATTTCTTATGTAAACATGGTCAAATTCGTTTGCTCGCATAAGATAACTGTTATGGTCACGCGACTACGAATAACGAGGTTCTTATTTTAAGACAAAAACTATACTACCATTAGTAAGGATATATTTGAGTTTTGCTGGATAATTATATCAATCAAGTTGACGTGTGTTGAAGAGTTATGCAGAATTGTCTTGAAGGATGCTAAAAAAAAATTTCAATAAATCAGAATTTCAATAAAATTTCAATTCAATAAATACTCTTTATCACTGGTAAAGGATTGACCTGAAAAAGCATAACAAAGTATTGCTAGCCTCACTCTTGCCTTTCCTGTGCTATATACTTTTTCATTTTTGACAATCGTTATAATCTCATCTTTATGTCTACGGGATTTAAATATGAAAAAAAAAGGAGAATAGGAGAGAGAAGTTTAATACCCGGCTCTCTTTAAAATTTTCATCTGAATTTAATCCGACAAATCGATTTATGATGGAGAAAGGTCTAAGTCATATTTACCATTTTTTTCTCTTTTCTTTTGTTCGGTGAAAAAATCGATCAGCAAAAATTATTTGCCTTAAGTTGAAGCCAAAATTGCAAAGATGGATGAAAGAACTACCAAAGATGATAAATTGCAAGTACTTCGATTTATTCGCCAAGAAGATTTATTCCAAAGAAGAATGAGAATTGTTTGAAGTTTGTAATACATTTTTTTACATCTAATATAGTATCATATTAGATGTAAAAAAACACATACTATTTTAGTATATCTTAAATTATGTAAATTATTTTAAATGGAATATTGCAAAAAGCAGAATGAGCAAATTGTGGGTGGAATAATAATCGATTAAAATGATCTGTTAGTGCTGGAAAAATATTTATTTTTCATTCAGCACTTTGTCGATCGGTTCGTACTATAACAGCGATTTGATCAATTTCCATGTAATCTTTTCCAAATTTTGAGATTGTCTAAGACTATCTTCATCTCCATGTTACTGTCAGGAATATATTTCGAATAAGCTTATGATCCTTACTCTGATGTTCTTTTTGCTTTTCCTTTCTCACTCATAAATTTGGACTAAATTTGTAAAAATTTTAGAATGGTATTATGGAAATGAAAGTTTATATCTCCCAGAATAACCCATACATTTTCAGATCGAATTTAGCGATTTTAAAAAGATTCGGTTTAATTGTTGAATGTTTTTGAAAATTGCTAAATAATATGCTTCAAATGCAATAGAAACATATAGTTCAAAAAATACATGTTTTTGAAAATATACACTGCGACGTTGTACCTTTTTCGTTTCAACACCTTCTGCATTTCCAATTATCGTTAACCAAAAGACCTGTTTACCGTACCATGTTCCTCCTCTCAATTTCCGTACATCATACCTGTTTAATTCCGTTCAATCTTCTGTTCAGTCTTTTTGGGATTTTTGACCTCATATCATATATATTTGGATAAATAACTTCGGGTGAATAAGGTTCTTTCGCTTTTTCCATTTGTAGTAATCCGTTAAATGAGACAGATGCAAAGAAATTTTGCGTAAAGGTAAATGATGAATTTCTAGGTTGATCGTGAACATATTTAATTTCCTGAATTCTTTGCAGAACAGATTTTGAAAGTTCCATTTCGTATTATATGTTGGCTTGAGCTCTAATGATATGAAAATCATTAATATATCTGTCATATGACCTTATTTTATTATTAACGAAAAATAGACGCAAATAAAGGCTGAACTGACGAAAAGGCTCATAATCAAATAACTTCTTCACTAAATAATTTAAATTGTATAATATCAAAATATTTCCTGTCTCTCTTAATGATAATATTTTTCGAAACTTCTCCGAACATTTAACATTTAGATCAAAATTTTCATAAAAGCTGGAAATATTAATTTTTCCATTCCCAAATGAAGTATTCTTAATATTTTTAAGAAGTAGAAGAAAGAAATAGCCCGGAGATTATTACATTCCTTATAAATTTTGGTTTCATAATTCATTTGAATAGAAGAAAATCAAAAGAAGTGAATCATTTCTTTTACAATTTGTTTGAAAAATATCTATTTAAGCAAAAGTAAACATGAGAAACAATACAACAATTAGATTCACTATCGGAACACTCGTCACAATTGCTGCCAGCTTAATCCTGTTGTATTATTTCCGCAACAAAAAGGTGCTTTATTTCGAGCATTATTTTTGTTTATTTGTTTAAATTCACACTGCGAAATGACTAATTTATCAAAAATTTATTGTTATTGATTGTGGATGAATAAACTTATCAAATAACTTGGATATTCCGACGGAGACAGAATTCCAAATCAGCCTCTTCAGCTGTCTTTGTTAATTAATAACAGTTAATTTTATGTTTACTTTAAAAGCGCTTTGGAAGTAAAGCAAAAAACTTGCAAGTTCTGAATGTAAATGGAGCATCATTATCAATTACATAAGCTGAGGAAATTTTGAAAGTTCAAATTTTATTTCTTCCAGACTACTCGATTACATCTTTAAAACATAAATTCGAAATTACAATTACAGGAAAGAAGCCGTAAAGAGTTAAGTTCAGAGAAACAAAGAAAATCAGCAGAACAATTACTACCGAAAAAGAGAGGACGACGAGTTCAAACACCCCGACGTGTAATATTATCAAAACCTGTCTCACATATGTAAGTAGCAACTTTATCAGTTGAAGTGGTAATTACGCTTTCTGTACTGCACTTGGGGTGACAAGAATTTTTAGTATTCAGCAAGAAAGTTGACCAGAAAGTAAATTGATAAAGCATTTTAAACATTATGACAAAGTATGGTTGAAGTATCATCTCATCAGACTGACAATTCAGAAGTAAAAGAAAATTTCGAATCATGGTATAGCACGAATATTTTTAAACCATTTCTTCAATTTTTTTATTTAGAAAAAAATTTGTTGATTCAGAAAAAACGAAATATACAACTTCTGATGAAACTACTAGCGATAGCTTAACTAAACTGGTACGTTTAATATTATAATAAAGTGAATCATTCTAAAATTTAAAATTTATTTAGAGAACGGTGTAAATAATGAATGTTACCATATTTTTATATTCTCACCTTCTCACTCAAACACTTACAACATTGTTGACATTTAAATTTTGTTTCATGTCTCTTTCTCTTAATTTTAATTTCCTTTTTATTAATTTTTCTATTAAATTTCCAATATTTATTTGAATATTTTGGTAAACAAATGACATTAGATAATATGCAGTTTTTTAATTTACGTATTAACTCCTACGCTTAATTTATTAAATAATCATAATTGCAAGAAAGGAAAAATAATGGAGAGATTGAATTATTAAGTAAATTAAATAAGAGCAAGAGATAAAGTGGAAGGAAAAATCAATATAATTGTTTTTAAGAATTATTATCATCTTGTCGCTACATTTCACTTTCTTAACTTCCTATTAAATAATTATTTTTTTAAGGATATAACCAATGTATCAAAAAAAATCAAAGATTATTCGCCATCGTTGGTTCTTTTTTTGATACTTTTTTAATTATTACCAGTTATATATTCTAATAATAAATTTGTACTAATTGTGAAATTTATACGTTTAGTTTTTAATCAGACTAATTAATATTCATTAACGTTTAGCAATTATGTGGAAACATTGGAAGGCAGCGCTTCACCAGCTTCTTCAACAGTAATTTTTGTTTAAAAAAAACTTTTTATTTTACGTTTAGCTGAATTTAAGATGTTGAAATAATTTTTGTTATGATTTTATCAATCTTTAAATTATTAAATTAATACAGGAAAAAGGCAAGAGCCAATATTCGAGTGAAAATTATCCACCTGCAATTATCCCGAAGCATAAAGAATTGGTAAGCATTAAACTTCGTATGTAAGCTACCATCAATTGTCAGTCAATTGAAGCGATCAGATGGATGAAATGACATAAATTCTGCAAGGCTATTTATTGTGCATCGTATGCTGTTACTATTGAAAGTCATACGTATTTAACTCATGGTTTGATAATTGAAGTTTTCTAAGATTAGATAGCCTTTTGAGAACTTCGAAATTATTGAAAGATGACCAGAATGTCCATTTGACACTTGCTTTCAAATTTTCAGCCAAAAGTACTACTGTCATCAGAGAAGTCAGAAGGATTACGAGATGAGAAGGTGACGGTGTAATGCATAATATCATATCTATATACAGTCCTGGTGATGCCTGGTTTTTCCTCTAGTTCCTTGCTACTTTTAGTATGAATGTAATATTGCCAATGATCTGTGGATAGATCCGAATCATTAGATTGTTTCCCACTTCGGGCATTAATCATCTTCTCTTAACAATATCAGACAGAAAGTTTCTTTTTCCAGTATTTCTGAATTTTAACATCTTAATATGCTGTCAAGTATAATTTATCTATAGGTGTTAGCATCAGATGCAAAAAGATTGTCACCAATGAAGTTATCTACAGCCGAAAGATTTGGGAAGGTTTTTTTCAGCGTTCTTTGTACTTTGTCATCGTGATTTTAAAAGTTTCTAATTTTAACTTAAAGAATTAAAATGAATAAAGAACAGTAGCAGAAGATTAATTGAAGCTAATTTTTTCGGATAATGATTAAGAATTTTTTTTCATTAAGAGCAAATCAGGAGAATCTGTCGGCGTTACAAAATCGCTTACACTTGAAGAGATTCCTTCACCTACAGAGGTGATTCCGGTAAGACAGCACTCTCTTTTAGTTACAGGGTTAATGAGATGATCACCACATTATTAACCACTTTACCTTGCTTATATAATACAAATGCTATATATTGATTTATTTTTCCGTGAAAAAATATTTTTGCAAAAGATTTTTTTTATAAAAGCAACTGACGTTCTTCCATTATCATCAAACTTATCTGGCTCTTGTACTAATATAGTAATACTTTTGCTAAGTTTAAATAGTCATCTATTCTAAATTCTATATATGATTAGATTGATTCGTATTGCTACTGTGGACAAGATGCGACAATTTCTCCCAGTGCAGCAGGAGAGCTGAACGAAAATTGCAAAGTGGAATTGTTGCCAACGATAGTGAAACCAGTCTCATTCGATCCTTATTCACCGGAAGATCTCACTCAAGTGGAAGGTAAATTTTCCAGATCATATTTTTGTTAAATCCGTTTTTTTCAGAACAAAAAACAAAAAAGATTGGGAATCATTCAAAGTATTGAATGATTCCCAATCTACTACTCATCCGATTGTTCATTTATCTCACCTGAATTTCTATTTCTTAGAATGAAAAATGTATTTAACTGACAGATGACCAACTATCATATAGATATTGCGGAATGAAGAAATATTGATAATTCATAGTACTTAATTAAAAATCTTCTCTGATTTACTGTAGAACAGAAATAGGAATTAATTAAATGAAAATAATTTTAAAGAAAGAAATGATTGAAATTCATTCTATTTTTTACATGTGTAATTTAAATGTTTTAGGTGCAAGTGATGAAATGAGTAAAAATTCGTTACAAATGAGTGTGAAACCAAAGAATCATCGCATTATCGTACCTTTCTTGCCTATTCTCCATGCCATTACTTATGCATCTAAACACGGTCAACTTATTCAAGAACTTTTGCAAAATTATGAATATTATGAATCACAATTCACTTGAAATGTAAATGAATTGAAATTCAATTTAACTTTAAATATTTATATTTTAGATAAATTATAATTTAGTATATTTATATATCTCAATAATTCTTATGAGAATATACACTGCAGGGAAGATGTTATTGGAAGGATTAAATAATAATAATAAAGTTGCTGTGGCAATTAAGTAATTAGCTGAATCCATGTGGATGCAAATTCAAACAGAGTAACACACCAACGACAAAATTAACTTTTTCTCTTATTTATGCACCGTCTCATTCAATATACTCATTAGTAAGATGAGTAGTTAAAACACGAAAGAGAGAGAGAGAGATCAGCTTAATTAGATGCAAAACAGAATTAACCAACACTTCGACATTTTGAGCAATCAAGAGAAATTCAGAGGAACAAATGAAATAGGAATTCTCGTTATTTGTGAATATGTCATTTCTAATATTATTTATTTTATTCTTTATATTTTTGAAGCGGAACCGATGATTTTCAACGTAGTAAATGAAGAAGATGTTAAGATGTGTTCACTTAGATTTTGTTGCTTATTCTGCGCGTTTCTCGTATTCACATATTTACGTTCCTTGTTTTGTTTTTTCCTATCAATCCGGCTTCGGATTATTCCGATGAAATCTTTTGTGACTTTTCCTTGCTTTTTCTCATTTGAAATACCGAAAAAAAAGTTTTGGCATTTAAACGTTTTTAAAGTCTCATTCATGAAGTTTGAAAGTATAACCAAAAGATGATTGAATTTATAAGTGCTAATTGTTGATATAGGATTCTTCCATATGAAATGATAAAATATGATGAAACTGCTGTGCTAATGTCTCCAAGTGACGACATGGAAGTCTCTCAGAGCGCATTCTAGCTGTGAGCATAAGTGCTACATCGAAGCAGCAAAGTTAGTAGCAGAAAATACTAGTCATTAACTTTAAATAACTTTTCAAACTTTACAAAAAAAAGACTTTGAAGATCTGACAAAGAACTTGTCAGTTCGTTTACTTTTTCTAATTCGACGTCATTAATAATATTTCGTGATTATTTATGCATTATTAATGATATTTGCATAATTATTTATTATCAGGCGATAATTTACGAGAAACCTTGTACCGATCAATGCTTTGTTATTCAACGCATATATTCTTTTGAAACCTTATCAGATAAATTGGTAATTCGTTTCATCATACACAAGCACTGGAGACCAATGGCAGTCATTTTATTCATTCACAATTAAATTTTACACTATCTATTGAATTCTAATTGGAATGTGAAGAACATACATTCTATATGATTTCTACCTTGTTATTATCATAATCAATTTTAATAGAGATAAAAATAAAACTGGGAATAAGAAAGAGATCAAATAATTCCATTGCATCAGTTTAAGATATCAATTCCTGTATTTCTGGAAGTAAAATTGGTGTAACGATAAATTTCGCAAGTCGATATCAATAGAATAAATTGAATTTAAATACAAATACTTATTTTATGAAGGAAACTTAGCTCAGAGGTTGTATGATTGTTTGAGAGGAATTTTGCATATGTTGCCTTAGACTGGCCATCAATGAGCCAAGGTGACATTTGCAATAAAGACCGAATGATTTGAATCATTTGATATATGCATTAGAAATGTGATATTAGTCAGAATTAAAATTTGATTCTACTCGAAAAAAGTTCTCAGATTTAGCATCTGAAAATAACGATTTTATTCTTCATTATCTTAATTTGGTTCATTTAATATTATTAATTTAAATTAGTCCATATTCGAAGCAATTTTTATTGGAAGCTTTAGTTTCTTCTAAGAATTTCATTTCTGACACTTTTTTATTTTCTGATTATTACGAATGAATTACAAAACATTGCCTTAAGGAATTGCTAAAGTTTGAGCTCTGCCATTAAAATCCGTCTTCTTCCCCTCTACTTATCGCCATTCCATTTTTTTGTGAATGTATTTTTACTTATGAATGAACGAATGAGAACATCTGCAATACAACAAACTTGCAGTTGCAGGCCTTAATGCTAATGAGAAACTATGACCCAGGATAGAGTTTTCAAGCGGATATTGGCCTAATCATTTTTGGTCCACTTTATTTTGATCGTCCAATTATACTTCGTTCGTCCAATTATATTTTTGGTACTTGGTCCACTCCACTTTGATCGTCCAAATATAAATTATAACTGAATCTGTAGTTTGACTTATGGGAATAAAATCCTTACAAACAAAGTTGAATTGAAATGACTTAGTCTCCATGATGAGCATAAAAGGACACAAAGTGCTAATTGCAAGAAAGAGTAGCAGCTGTTAGTTAAAGCGATTAACAAATAAATGGACTAGGACGCATCACTTGTGCATTTCATCAATTCTTTCAGCTTAGAACTTCGTATTCATCTAACTGGTTCTAATATAAAAGTTGGAAATCAATGAGATATTTCTTCGACAAATAAACGGAAGAGTATATCATCTCCCATTTTCCCTTTTTTGACAGCAACTTCATGATTGCTGAAATAAAATTGTAAGTAAATTTTTTGTTATTTCGCATGATGACAGATATCATCAAATTATGTATGCATTGATGAGGTCACTCTCTCTGTTCTCCTTGCTGCATAATTTTTGTCTTACTTATTCGAATAAACACTTAACAAGGATCATAACTTTTCTCGAAGAATATTGTAATAATTTCGAGTGTTACTTTTGAATCTGATATAATTTAAAATAGTTGCAATTATTGGAGTCGAAGCTACAGTAGAAGCTTTAAATTGATCACATTATAAGTTTAATGCATGGTAATTATTTCAATTTTTCATCTAATTCTAGGATTAACTCGCAGTTTTCCAGCAACTAAAATAAAATAGTTTATCCAAAATTTGTTTACCAAAAACTTAAAGTTTGCCAAAATGAGACAAAACCTTTTTCACAAAATTTTTCCTTTTTTTATACTTTTTTTCTTTACAAAATTTTTCAGATAATTACTGTATGTCTCCATTTAATCACAAAGATTATATTATATCGCATTTTATTATTTATTCTTTTGATTATTGAATAATTAATAATATTATTTCCTTCTCTTTCCATCTATTTATTTTGTCTGGCAAAAACATCGATGATAATCCGCCAGAAGAAACTATTCCATTACACTGAAGTTATTTACTTTGCCTGTCCTTTCTCCACTGACATACTCTAAAAGGCTCTAAATGATCACTACATATGACAACTGTTGGATGCGACAATCAAATTTTCATATATGCTAATTGTGTCGATCCTGAAATAATTCAGGTCTGAACTATACATAACTTTGTTGTCTTTTGCTTTACTTTTGTAGAATTGAATATCGTATCCTGGTAGGGAATTTAGGATAGCCTGAAAGGACTTTGTGATAATACTTCTATTTCATTTTTTTAATTTAATAATTTTAGTGAATTTTAAACTTTCATTGATTAGCTCATTGGATTTTTGAATGAAAGATTTGACCCGGAAATTCCTATTGTTACTTAAAGATTGAATCAATCATCCACTTGAATTATTTTTGAAAAAGATGTTATCGAAAATCAATCAATACTTCAAAAAATTAATTCGAATAGTTTTCTTAATGTTTTGAAATAATAAGTAGTAAGACTATATAGTTAAAAAGGTATTATCCTTTTTAGTTTCTTCCTACACTTTTTGCATAAATAATTATCGCATGTTTTGAAGTGCTGAATTTCTCGAAATTTGAAGTGGAAGAAAATGCAACTACCATTTGAGTAATTAATTATTGATTTTTTGAAACACCGGTTCCTTTCAATTCTAATCTGCCTTCAATTTGTTAAGCGAATTCCCTCTTCAGATAAATTAGTATAGCTATTACTAACTGAAGATCATTTGCAATAAGATTGAAGTATCAGTGAGAAGTGGAAAAGTAAAGAAAGAGGCATTCAGGCTATTATTTGAATAAAAAAAATAAATGGACTTTCTTATCCACTCATAATACATCAAAGTGATGCTGGTTGATGTGGAAATTTTAATGCAGTTATTGAAAAAGAGAATTTGAAGAAGGAAATTAATGCATCTATTAAAAACAGAAAAAGGGAATTCTTTTTTTTGTCTTCCTGAACACTGAGAAATCTCATTTGTCTCTTTCGGTTTTACTTTTTAAAAACTGAAAAGCTGTCATCTCTTCCTTTCACGAACGTAAGTTTACTTTCTCTTTTATTTCATCTCTTCCTTTTTTGATTTACTTCCTTTTTTATTCATCAAGAAAATCTATGAAATCATTTCGTTTAATTCACTGTAATATAATAATTCGTTTTAATTTAACTGTGTTCCTTTTTCTTATTTTTGTTTGATTCAAATTACTTAATTTAATTTATTTAAATTCACTTTAGTTCCTTTCACCTCCTGCTTTTATTCCAAACAATTGGAAAGATCGAATTGATTGAATGATCAGTCCGTTCTTCCATCAATTTAATTGGCAGTTCACGTTAACATCATCTATGGGTACTTCTTTAACTTTGCAAAGCTTTCATTTTAATAGCATTTTATTAACAAGTTTCCAATTTATTAGCGTTAAACGTAATTCTGATTCTTCATGATATGATGATCAAAAGACCATGACTGTCGAAAAAGTAATTTATCCAATCTAGAAAATAATTAGCTGTCACTAGTTATTTTCTGTTCATTTTCATAGAACAATAATCCATATTTTTCACTTCTTGATAACGTTATAATTTTCTTAGCTTTTTTTGTTAATGAAGGATTTGGATTAGATTGGACTAATGAGCTTACTAATAAAGCTTTAAGCTTTAAGATTAATTTAAAACCTGATTCCAAATTCGGTTTTCATAAAAATTGCAATAAAGCAGTAATAATACAAGAAAGTGTAATAATTGAATTGATATAATGAAGTTTTTGGAAAAATTATTGCAAAAAGACAGATTTAAAAGCCAAATTTGTTGATTTAGACTGAAATTTCCTTGCTTTTTGGCAAAATTCAAATTCAAACATTCAAAATTAATTTCTTTTAAAAAAAAAGGAAAATAACGTATTAAAAGCATTAAAAGGAACGTGTCATCTGAGAGGAGACTTAATCAATTTATGAATTAATTAGCACAACGTGATTGATTACTTGAATGTAAGTAATATCATATAAACAAACATTTTATCACATCAAACAACTATTATCAACTTCTGAAAGTAATTATTGGTTGCATAAATTAATCATCAAATTTCTAATCTGTAGAAGTAAATTTTCCTAATTTCTAGAAATGCTACTGTATTGTATATTTTGATGCTCAGATAAGTTTGGGCATATACCTCCTACTACACCGTGGTAATTGTCTTGGATTTTAAGTAGGTTCAGGCATACTTAGCATCTCAGGCTAAGAAGCAAATGGATTTCTGAAAAGTTAATTATACCTATCAAATCTGTATAGATAGAAGCATGCAAATACATAAATGCAAGTTTTGGTCTGAATGTTTGTTTACTTTTAAAAGCCTAACAATGCATGCATGATCTTCCATATCTTCTTTTCAGTCGTGTTAAAGAGACAATCTCTTCACATCCATTCCTCATCCATAAACGAATTATTTCTTTTTTTCTATATCATTCTGGTAAATTTAATTTTCAGACACTGAAAATATTCTATTGCTTACTCTCAAAAAAGCAATTTGCTTAGCTATTCCGTTTTTATTCCTATCGCCCACCCTTCCCTCATTTCTTGGGATTTAAAATTAATCTCAATAAAAGATGCAATTGGCTCTTTATCTGATATAAAATTGCATTTCAAATATCAATAAACATTCTCATTTACATTTATTGCCATTTTGTTAGTTAGTGATTAATGAAATGATAAAGTGATTACTAAAAATATTAGCTAAAGAAGAGGTATTACCTTACTCAGCGATTGAACATTGATTTATTTAATTTTATTTTATTTGTAATCCTTCTATCTATTTTCTGCTTCGAGAGATCAATAGAAAACTTCAGGAACTCATTGCTTTTTGCTATCGTATATTCGCTTATCTTCATATATTTTCTAAGAAAGGCATTTCCCTAATTGTTTCATCCAATTATTGCATATAATTTACTTATGATTCCGAAGAGCAATAAACTTGACATAAATGTTTTTGTGTGTGATAGATATCTGTGTGATATCTAAGCTCTGTGATGTCTGATTGCTAATGCTGATGAACTGGCGTTATGTCAAGCAATGCTGAAAAATAAGTTAATCATAGGGCTTATTTCTGGACATTTTTCATAAGATAAAATATTCCACTTCTGCATTTCAGATAGCATGAAGCTAATATCCCAAATAAGTTTTGAATAGCATAAATAATAATGGCAAATTCAGTTTGATTCGATGTCACTTTCGTTACATATAGGATATTAATTAAAATTTGTAGAACGGAAACGCTTCATTCATATCCAATTTACTTTAATAAACTGACCAGTTGATAGCTGGATATATAAGTTGTCTTCTCTCTCTCTTCATAACAAATAATAAATCGGTAATGAAGAAGAGATTTTTAAATCAATCTTCACTACCAAAAGTTATTTTTTGCAGATGTCTGATGTAGATTTGCAAGAAAGATTAGCACGACATCGTGGTTTCACAATCAAAGCTCGTGAAGTGCTATTAGAACCACCAGCGCCGTTTGCAGTTGTGACAGTAAGTTTCTCTGCTAAATATTTGTTCCTTTTACTTAATATTTTGTTCTAACACTTAACTAATATCCTATCATTATCCAAATTATTTTGCTGTTTTTTTATTTTTGTGGTTTTTATTTGGATTAAAAATTTGATTCGATTCAACTCAAAAATTCTCCTATTAAGAAATATTGTTCCATCATTGGTTAGGAACAATTTTTCAATCTGAAATGCAAACTTAGATTATGCAATTAACGATACTGTCTTCACAAGACATTGAAACTTAATTGCTATAATCCATTGAAAACTATCAAAATGTCAAAATACTAACAAATGAAATCTTAAATTCGTCGGCTTATTATGCAAATATATTCATTTGTTTATATGTTTTTACTTCTGATTATTCTTTTTTTAAAGCTTTAATAAATCAATTTTAATAAAATTTTGCTGCTGTGAAATAGTTTGAATTATTAAGAAAACTATTACTTATTATTGCTTTTCTTTACATATTTACATTTCCTTTTTGTTCTTTACTTCTCTTCTCACTTCCTGTAAAATTAGCTTAATTTATTTAAACGTTTTGTTTTTTATCAATCTACATCCGATGCGTGGCAATCTCTTTTCCAGGATACCTCAGGAAATTCATCGGATGAATTCAGTAATCCAAAATTAGCTCATCGTGGATTTACGGCAAAAGCACGTGAAATGCTTGTAGAAAGACAAACACATGACAATACACATAGCTCAAAATGTATGTTTATATATTTTTCTAATTTTTTAAGAAAACATACAAAAAATTCGTATATTTTTCAATATTTTAGTATTTGCCAGATCACTAATTTGTACAAATTATCTTAAAAAGTTTCATATTCCATAATCGTAATAATTATAGAAATATGAATTTAATGCCGAAAAATATGTACGATATCTTCTAAAAATTTTAGCATTCTTTGAAGTAATTCGACCGGATTTCGATATATGCCACAATAAGCAACAATCACATTCAAATCATGCAATCCTTGATAATTTACCTGTGCAACAGGCAAATATCGGTATGCATTTATGCATATATTTTTCCATTATTTATTTTAATTTTAGTGACACTTATATTATTACATTATAATATTTCATTTATCATAAAATAACTTTTCCCTCAAAAAGCAAAAGAATTAATAACATTTTTTATGAATTTGTTTTGTTCATTTAGATAACAATAAAGTAAAATACGATAGGAAAACAAAAGTATTATGACATATCTCATAAAATTCCAAAAAAGTTGAATTTTGTTCGGAATTTCATGGCATGAGTCACATTTGGCTGGTCGTCTTTTCTTTTTTCATTTCCCGAGATTCTCAGATCCTTCTTATTATTATTGCCACTATTGTCATCATCATCATCATCAGCATTATTATCATTTTGTTACCAACATTATCAAGGAAATTTGCATATAACCTAAGCGTGTATTTAGTTCTCTCTCTTTTTCGCCCTGAAGAAAATGCAGGAAAATGGATTTAAAATGGAAGCTGACAGCTTAATAAATTAGTTGATTTTCAAAATCAAAATAAGAAAATGTTAATAGTAGAGAAGTGTACAACGCATGCATTAATATAACAATTAAGTGTTTGCTGCAGCTAAATAATAATTTTTAATGTATTACTACGGCTAATTTCAGTCTTAATATTATTACATCTAGTTTCAATTCCAATATTGTCACATATAATAACAACTCATTTGAGAATTGGACAGGTATTTTATGTTTTCAGCGATAAGCAATTAATAATTGAATATATAATATATTAACAGCATCATACATTGTTTTGATTACTAGAAGATGGAGTTATGAATATGAAAAGGAAATTTTATTTTGTAGCCTATTATTCTTTCTTCAACTTTAAGAGGCGAGGATTGCATTCTGTAAGGAATAATGATAAAAACAATAATGAGATATTTGAAAGATACATTTGAAGAGGAAAATTACCTATGCTGATGACTTTTAACACTAAGTGTATATCATTGAAAAGCAAAATGGTCAAAGTTGATAGTTCATTGGTCAATCTTAGTCTTAATCTTAGTAGCATTTTCTTCGTGCATTGTTCGAAAAGCTTTTCATTTTTACAAATTTTGTACGAACATTGAAATGACTCACTTTAACAGAATCATGTTTATCCTAATTATTTTATCGTCATTTTAGAATTACAAATTTTTGAAAATTTACCTTTTGAATTCCTCATCGCATTTACTCTGGTACTTCTTTCTCCTTCATTACTAGAATTTGATCTATTGAAAATATAATCCAAACCAGTAGAATTCTCGTTTTATTTTTAATCCAATAAGGGTGAATTATATTTCCATGACATATACTTCCTTCCTAATCATGTTGCCAGCAAAATCATATTCTCAACATACTGATCTTCATTTTTCATAAAGTAAACAAATTTTCAAAATTATAGTTCAATGGAAGAGAAAGGAAAAAGGAAATATATTTACAGGATACGAAAAGAAAGAGATTTTAGTTCCACATTCCAAATTGTCACGAATCAAAGCCCATAAATTGCTTGGTGAAACTGGGAAAACTCGATCAGCTAACGAAATTTTCTACGATCAATGTATGAAACGAGTGCGAAATCCATCATTACGCTGTGATTTGCTATCTGCAGGGTAAAATGGTCTTTTCCTCTTTTTTTTTTCTTTTCATGAGAGTAGATTTTATTCTATAAATCGGAAATATGAGAGAGGAATGGAAAGAGAGAGCGATAAAATGATATCATTAGAGTTACCTGAAATACAAATAATAGAAATTATGAGATTCTCAAAAGGTGCAAGAGAAGCGATAAGGAAGGGATGAGTCATACAAACTTTTCGGAATTCTTAAAATGTAGCAAAAAATGTTCAACTGCTGAAATTTTCAGTTCTTCAAATGGAAATCTCGCTGTAGGATGTCCAGATTCACAACGGTTAGCGATCGTATTTCCGAAATTCTTTTAAAAAATTGCTTTCTAATGATATTCTATGCATTATCAGCGATAATGACAAAACGATGAATTATTAGCAGCAGTCAAAAAAATTGTATAGCAACATCAGATCCACATTTAGACAGAAATGATATAAAAGCAAGCATATGCCTTGATAAAAATGTAATTATCTTTGTCTTTTTTAATCGTTCACAAAAAGCAAATTTTAATAGATTTTTGTATTAAGAAATTGAAGTTCTGGCTAATTTTTAATTTGAAAATCAAAGTACAATATGAATTTTGATGGTGGCTTTTTTTAGAAGTGATACTTCTGAAACAGCTAAAATGATCTATACGACGTTTAGCGAGATTCAACTAAATGTCGACGAAAAAGAAGAAAATCAGTAGCGGTACAAAACTATTTAAATTTTGGCTAACTGTCTGTTCCAGCGCTGGAAAACTATTCGTTTATTTTCTTTCGATTATGCGCATATGGTCATTCCAAAATCCAATTATTATATATGAACTACAAACTTGGATTTTCATGGCTAAATGTAATTATCTATAATTCTGTTTCCTCCAGCAAAGATATAATAATAACCGACATAAAAATGAAAGTAGTGAAAATTCTTCATAATTTTTAAAACAGAAGTTTGAAAGGAACCTGAATAAAACATTTTTCGGAAGAATTGATGAAAAGTGTTAATTCCCGAAAGTTAGGGAATTTCAAAATGATATTTTTAAAACATCTGTTTATCCCTTGAATTAGTTTTGGTTATCAAATGAAGTAATTTTCCCATCATATATATATTGAGATGATGCTCGGTAATTTCAATTTCATCTAATTATGAATTAATAAGAAGCTAAATATTCCATCGATACTAGAATATCAATTTGAATATATCGCTGTGATTTAATAAAAGCTGTTGTTCTATTTTTTTTCTTCATTCGGTCTACAAGACTGCTCACTACCTAAATTCTTCATGGTGAATAATATCGAAATTACAAAACGCATTAAAATCTTCCGACCTCGTAGTTTTCTATAAAATCCTAAATCAAATTAAGATCCAAATTAAATTTACTTATCCATTTATTAATATAATTTCAAAGTGCTCAATCTTTATTCAATTTTAAGCAATTAACCAATTTGATCTACTATCAAACTATAATACGTTAAATCAAAGCAAATATTGCTGAAAATTTCTATAGCTCAAAAAGATGGCAAAATTATTATAACACACTGTCAGCTAATGCTAATTTCTATCACAATCAGATAACTTCTAAATATCGCAATAAACCAAAACTTTTCAGGAATAATTTTAAAAGATGGCATTTTGAACTTTATGTTGCCTATTGTAGATGTACTTGTCATATATTCGTTACGGGTAATTATAAAAATTATATTTACCCGTAACGAATTATATTTCACAAAAAATTTTTAGAATGGCAATTTTTGCGACCATCAAAGAAAATTTGAAGCATCTAAATTTTAGTCGAATATCCGCAGATCGCTTTGCTTTTCCTAGGAGATTTGTTTTTATATTAGCTTCTTTCCACATTTTCACATACAATCACACGCGGCAACTTATTTTGCAAATTGAATTTGAATCGGACCTCAGATAAAAACTGATAATGCTTTTTACTAAAATTTTTCAAATTATGTCTTCTTTTACTTCTCTGATAGGAGAAAAACGTATTACTATAACTATATAAGAGAGTATGGTAAAATTACAAATCTGTTTTGCTATATAATTCCTCGTGTCTATCCGAACTTTGTTCTTACAACATTATTTCTTTCCGAGATTCAAATCTTTCTCGAACCGGTAGATCTGATAATATTGAGATGAAGACCAAGCTTTTCTTTAGCCTTCCTATTAAAATGATAAGCCGATAGAAGTCTTTGGATGCGCAATTTCAAAAAAACATTAATACTGTGATGATATAACCAAAAGCTCTCTAACTCCCAAAGCATTTTCATTCTGAATGCCCGAAGAAAATCAATAGATAAATTTTGGCAATTAAAAGGATTCAAAGTAAAATGCACACAAAGCGAATAAAGATCAAATCAAACTGATATAACTGGTAGGCGGTGCGTCGAATAAAGTTCAGAATGAGAAATTCAATTGATGAAGAAATGGTTCTTTGATGAATATTGGCTTAAAAAAGAGATTTGAAAAAATCTGAATCATCCTACGGATCACGTTAGAAATGATTCACTGAAGTAGTCGAAAGATACAATGTAATTTAATGTGAATATATGATTTCATAAAAATTGAGAATAGGAATCTTAAGTTTAATAAAAATTTGTTTCAATTAGTTATTGCAACGATTCATATTTAAGTGTGACTCATATCTTTTGTATAATCTATGTGTATAATATCAATACCAGAAATAATTTTAGAAAAAAAGAAATGACATTGGTTTGTTATCATCAGAAACCAGATCTCTTTTTACATGGATTTAATAATCTTAGTTAAAGCTTCAGTGTTTTATTAAAAAATTTCGGCTTTTTCTATTGAATTCTAAAAAATCGAAATTTTGCATAATTTTGGATTCATTTATGCTACTAAACAATAACTTAAAGAATAAGAAAATATATAATTGAAGTAATAATCGATTTTTGAAAGGAAAAGAAGTTTACTATCATTTAACCTAGAAACAACCGTATATCTCATTTATACCAACACATTAAAGTGATGGCTGCTGAAAATGCACATAAAATTGGTATCATAAGTATCGCTGTTGTAATGCTGTAATTAGAGTGTACTTCATCATCAGCCATTCCATATTTGATCATAGGCTCCTGTAAAAGTTGCTTTTTTTTCCTCCAGACTCCGCATTTCATTTTAATAATCTTATCTATTTTTAAAGAAGATTGCTATGCAAAAATTTCTGTCCGAACAACATTTGGATTAAACTACTCTTTGATTAGGCTGTCGATTATCAAACTTTGAGCTATCGTTGCTAAAGCTATCGTTCCTTTTAATTGAAATTAGCATTTGACATTCAAGTATTTGGAAAAAAACTACGTTACAACTAAGCTGGAATTGCATACTACGACATTAGAAAGCTGAGCAAACTTTTAATTTACATTTTATTACCTTAAAAATATTCATTCGTCTTCTCGATTCAACAATATTTTTATACAGCATTAAAATAAATTTTTCGAGATACAGCTTTTTGTACATCTTTGCATCCAAGTAATCGCTATAGCCAAAAATGAAAAAAATGATAGATTGAATGACAAAATTATAATACACTGTGAAGTTTCAAATTTTCATCTCTTTCTATTTCCTATCCTTTTCATTTTAGCAATGCAAAATTTCATAAAAAGATTTAAAGTTTGAAATTAGTTTTTTTGCTTTTAAATATACCGTTAGCTTTTCATACACAGAAAATTGTTTGAAAATTAGCATGCAAAACCGTATTATTCATAAAGAACTAATGTCTTCATTGCAATGCAATGTCTTGCCCTTACTGTAAAATTATTAAATAATCAATCAGCAATGTTCGAAGATTATTTTGATACCAATAGAAAGTTACAGGAATAAAATCTCCGATACCGTGAAATATTTCATTTACCTTTCATCAAACTGCGCGATACAATACTCTTTCTTCTGACCAGCCGTTGTTTGATGCATTGTAATGTAATCAGACAGGTCCTGTTGTAACGCGGTATTTCCGAGTTTTTTTTCCGAGAAGTTGACAGTGTATTTCTTCGTCTCAAGCAATCCAATAATAAGTTGACCTTTGCTATCTGCATAATTTTAGATTTAATCATTAAAAAATTAATAAATAACAAAAATATTAAATAATTATATCTGAAAAGTTAGTTGCAATAATGAAGGAAGTTTATTAAAATTCGTGTTTGTTTTCTTCAAAAATTCTTAATTCAATTGCCCAAAAGCTAATTTTTGTAACATAAAGAAGGATTCTTTTAATTTAATGTTTAATATATATTAATATATACTTTATTAAAAAGCGAATGTAATATATTACTGTAATATACAAATATAATATATCTTAGCGATCACCGCTCATTAGCCAATGGCCGAGCAATCAGATAATGGATTTTGTATTTCACTACTTAATTTTTTTTTCGTCACACAAATTCTTGTGTAGTAAAATACTGCTAAGAGAGAGAGAGAGAGAGAAAGAGAGATTAGATTAAAATTTATTATGCAAACCGCTATTGGCAAGTTGTTCCACATAAACATTATCGAAAATATTCATCTCATAGAAACCGGCACGATCGGATATGTTATTCGTAACAAGGATAATATTGCTATTCTCTTTCAGGAATAGTGATGTACTTTTTGTCCTGAAATTTTTTGTGAAGTTAATATAATAAACTGTCAATGAAAGATATGAATTACATTTTGCTACTCAAATTTTCCGCTATAATTAACTCTCAAGAAATACTTTGTAATAAACGTAAGTTATAATAGTGTTCGAAATGAAACTTTTAGATTAGCACCTTCTGTATTTATTTTTAGCCTCTGAAACAATTTTCAGATGATCCAGCTGATAACAATCTACTAAGTTTTTTGAATTTATCAAAAACTTAAATCATTAAATAATACAATCGCAAGATTGCGACTATTCCAAATATTATAGCATTTCATAAATTTTTATAAATGTTAGGCATTATCATAACTATAACTGCAGTGGATTCAATTAATTCGCAATCCGATTACTAGCAAGATTCAGAATCAGTCACGAATTATGATTTAGATGCTTTAAAGTACCGACCTGATAAATTTTACATAACGCTTGTTGCCGAAGTATGTAATTTTTTCAAATATATTATCCGATATAGTGCAGAAAAAACTAAAACCCCTCTCGAATTGCATTAAATTGGTGCATGCCTTTCGTTTTTCATAAGCAAATAAAATTTGGCTATTGTCCGGAATGCAATAGAACAGTTTACCTATAAAGTACACATTTTGTTATTAAAGATGCTATATTAATTATTATATTCTGTACATTAAAATGAATATTATTTACTAGCAAGATGAAGTTATAGCATCTTTGCATACAGTTGCAATAATTAGATACGTTGCTCACAATAAATTCAAAAGTTACCTGTTTCAATGGTGGAAAACTTTTAAGATGAGAAAGTCAATTTAGCAAATTATTTGTGGTAAAGATTCGGGTTGATTAATGATAGCTGTCATTAATATCTTTTAATGCAGATAAGTAATTGAAGATATTTTTATTTTGCGTTGATAAAGGAGAAAAAATTGTTGCATTAAAGATATTGCAGCATTAGTAACAAATATACTAAAATCTTTCAAAGAATTGCCCTTATTTTATGAACTTTCTCAAGGATTTTATCACTTTTGCAAAGAAAAATTTTGAAGCAAATTAATTTTTAATCATTTTCAGTAAATTCTTATCAACAAACCACTAAATTTCCAAACGCAACTGACAACAACTGCGAAGCGTGCTCGACGCAAAAAGAGCACAATTAGTTGTTTATTTTGTAAAATATGAACATTGACACCATAGCAAGTTTTCCTTCGGTCTGAATCAATTAGTTTTAATTCCTTCAGAAAATTTGAATTTGCTATCTGCAAAATAACTATGAAAGATAACAGGCGAGAAGTTAGTAGGACAAATCTATGTAAATTATGAATTTCGATTGTTATAACTTTTCTACTTTTCTACTAAGATCTTGCTGGCGAAATGCAAAAATTACTGTTGTCAGACCAATCCAAGTCATAAAACACTATGATTTTTACAGCAAAAAAATTTTGATCATAGAAAGGATGAGATTTGGAACAACATTTTAATGTGATAACAACTTTTCTACTTGTCTATTTTTTAATAAAATACTCATTAACAATTTGATGCGTCATTCTTTCACGAATATATTTCAAGTCTCACCAGCCAATGAGGAACTATGAATATTGTGCAAGCACTTGTTATTCCTACGATAGTGGAGCTATCATTGATTGGATTAAGATAATTTAGGGCAAAATAATTTCTGATATTGCAATCCCTTGCTTGTATAACAATAGGCAGATGGAACATTATTACAATAAACAACATCCAAAGAGTAATTTCTTCCTGAAATCCATGTGGTAATTATTGCTTGGACTGCGATATCAACTGCACAAATGTTTGCAGTTAACCTTGAAACGGCGAAATTTTCTCTCTTCTTTGCAAATCTCTCCCAAAAATGCGCCAGTCGATTGATATGGCTCATTTACATTCTAACAGATATGATCATTTAATTCGAAAAGGATCACACCTTCTGCAGTACATCTAAGCACACTATTCTATCATAAAATAACAAATACAAAAATTGAAATTTCATCTGATATTTATATGCAAAAATTAATCAGAAAGTATGCAAAAACGTATTTTAAAATTACTTTTTTGCATTGCAAATTGAACATGCAAATATTAATTTCAAATAAATTACTAAAATGAAAATTTATTTGTTCTACTATTTGCTCCATGTCTATTATTGGGTAATGAACTATCTGTGTATTAGATTACATTTCGCACTATTTGAAAGTTTTGTATAACAAATTTGAAATTCTCTAATTTATCTCTGACTTACTAATATAAATTTTGGTAAGGAATACATTCAAATATTAAATTTATGAAAAAGAAACAAATTTTGAAAGGATATGTGATAGAATTGCTTTAAAGGTACGTACAAATTATTTGAAAACATGTGATTTCAGTACTGCGATTAGTTCTGATTTTGTTTCCAGCATTAAATCACAATGCACTATCGGATTGTACTCTTTTTCCATTCTTTTTTTCACAAAATAACACTGCAAAATGTATTTCGGATGATTATCGAATTGTGAAATTTGTAATTTAGAAATTTCAATTTTCTTCTAACCATATTCATTAATATTAAATTTCATAGCCGTTGTACGAATTAAAAAATGAAGTGAATTAAAATAGAAAGTAAAGTTTACTTAAAAGAAATTAGACAGTTTGTTAAAATTTAAAAGAATATAATTTGTTACTTATTCGGAGAACTGCACAGGCTTTAAACAGACTGATAAATGAGGCAAGGAGAAGAGAATCTAAAATCTGCGAAATTATAACTGATAACAAATCAATTTAATGCGCAATTGAGTGGTGGGAGGAACAAAATTGTGCAATGAAACTTACTAATTTAAGCAATCATGGCGGGGTACATGTCCCGAAGAAGATCTGTGATTCTGTTTTATGTTCTTGGCACAGTGAAGGAAGCCAAAGGAAAAAATCGAGCTGGCCTGAAATGTGGTAAGGATACTGAAAATTAACAGGACAAACTTGCAAAACGTTTAAACTTGCAAAACGAGACTTAATAGGTTTTCCAACGAAATTTTGTTTATGAAATTGTGTTAATGCAGAAGTTCTACATCTATATTTGCAATATGCAGTAACAATTAATCATCAAAGTACCGATTATGCTCTAATTTGAAGCCATTATTTTGCATTTTTCAAAAAAAGAACCCTCCAGAAAACAGAAATCCTAAAAAAAATTTGTTTTAAAAAGTCGGGAAGTAATTGGAAGATCTAACCAATGATGAGACATTCCAGAAAACTCCAAGAAAATGAATGAATAAGATTTGATATCAATTGTTAACATTAATAAATTACATGAGATCAAAAAAACTAAAGAACAACAATGAATCGATATTTATACCGTCAAAAAGTATAATATTAATAGTAATAACTTTTAGAATAAACATTAATGAAAGAAAAATCACAAATTTACTTCCTTTCAAATGATCAATATGAAAATAGCCAACTAAGATTAAGCCGAAGCAGTTCAAAGGGAAATTTTCGGTATCGTTTGGATTCACAGTAAGAATATTATCCAGTTAAAGCTAAAACCACGGAATGGAAAAAAAATCAAGAGAATAATTTTTACAATTTGTAACCAATCAATACAATCCATTGGGATTTCTAGTTTCTATTTAATAGGTAAGATTAGTGGATTGGTGTATCAAACTGGAGCGAACGAGACTTAGCATTGTTTTTTCTCGGAATTTCTAGTCGTAAATTTCTGTGCTTTAGCTTTAATCTTTCCGAAGTATATAAGTTTTTGAATGGAATTAAGAAAAGTGAAAAAATCATGTTCAGTTTAAGTCATCCGGAAATGAGGAAACTTCGAGTGCAGTTTAAAAACGAAATGATCAACTCGATACCAATGTTTTTTATGTGCGACTTCGCTAATGAAAAGTGCATTTGTCTGGTTGTACCAGAAAAGAATACCGACATTATTAATATCTCTTACATCGACTTTGAAGAAAGCTTCCTGAAAGTAAATTGAAAATTCTTACTCTTTCTCATAATGCTTTCTATAACTGTATTTGCATTAAAAGAGAATTCGGTATGCGCAAATAACTTTTTTTGCTAGGAAAAGTATAATTAAAGCTGCGCTTACCCATAAGCATGTGTTTTTCAAAACTTTTCAATTTCCTTTTTATATTGCATCTAAAGAAACAACTCTTTAACAGAATCATTCCATTATTAAAGCAGAATGAACTCAGTAGTTCTTACTGCCATTTCACTGCTTCTCTTCTATCAAACACACTTGAAAGGTCTTTCGCGGCTTTTCCAAACATGAACGGACTTATGGTTTTCATTTTGGTCATGCGAGTCACATAAATTTTGTCATCGTTATCCAACACGACGAAACGAATTTTAGCAGTCCACATACAAACCTACGGTTTGGAAATGGTTTGCTACAATATGCTGTATATCGCTGGATGACGGGGACAATGCTATGTTACTATACGATCATTCTTATCGCACTCCTTCTTTGTTCGAGGTGTGAATTAACCTCATGGAGGATTGTGGGGTGGAAGCTTTTTAAGATCTCTGGACTTTTACCAGATATCAGCATTTGTGACTTCGTTAAGCTTAGTTATACGTTTTATTTCGTTATGCTTATTTATGTCTTCCGATATTATCCATCCATTATCACTTTCTGATTATGATAAAATGTCTAAAACAGATTCTGCCAAATAATAACACTTTATAGAGAGAATGAGCAAGATCAAATTTCCTGATAGTAATTGCAACAATAACAATGATAATGTTAACAACAAATCAATTTAAAAACAAACTAATATATTTTCGGGCGCTCAATATTAATTACAACCTGAATATACTTTAAAACTCGACGTGACAGAGATACTTTTATTGATTATTCATTTATTCGAATAGAATAAATGATTCCTACTCTAGGTATACAGTAGATTTTTCAACTGCCAGCATTAAATACTTTTGTAGTAATAATATTAGGTAACTTGTAAACAGTCGAAACGATAAGAACCACGCCAATCAGAACAACTATAGTTATGATAATGCATTGTTTACCCCAACTGGTCCAACACAATGAACAGCATGCTTTAACTCGTGAAAGGCACCAGAACTGGTCAAAGCGAGGACGATTCGGTTGCGGAAGATATGGTGACTGGAAATAAGAAACACATGAAATTTGGTGTAATTTTATTCAGTGGTAGTGTGACTTCAATTTAAGAAGAATGTTGGGATTAAAGGCATTAAATTTCAGTGTACTGTGGAGTTTAAGGGAATTGGAATATTTCCTCTCCTTTTCTACTAATAACTTGAACAGATTATAAATTATACAAATTATTATAAGAAAGAAAGTTACAGAAAAGCCTTATACAATGATAAATATAGGATTCACATGATTTGGTTTCCTTCGTTTCCTTCCCACAGGGTCAAGTTTTGCTTCTTTGGCTGTTAACAATGTCAATTCTAATTCCACTGCACCGGTTACATATGGCTTTTGGGCAGTGAAATCATCATCTTTTTTTCTTTTCGCATCAAAATCTAATTTCTGTAAATAAATTAAGATTAATACAAAAACCGTTATTAGAGCAAGAATAAATAATTAATAAAGCGAGAAAAAAAGAAGAGAAAAGCAATAACCTGTTCGTCAGGTAGAGAAGTACTGACGCATGGCCACCATCCATACGCCGTACGCTGTTGAAATAATGAAAACTGACCAACGTTTCCCGATATATACGGCTGCAATTTAATTTCTTCACGATTTAAGAAAATGCGTTTTCAGCAAGAAATTAATACTAACATATCTGGCATATTTTTTTTATTGAGACTCGTAAAATATGTTCAGAAGATATGAGAGAAAACAAGCAGCACATACTGGTGCTCGCGGTAACGGAATAATTTTCTTTTTTTGCTCTTGTTTTCTGATACGACAAAAGCAAGAACAGCATTTGATACAGCAAACACACGGATTGCGTTTTTTGCGAGCATAATCAACATTGTACATTTCATTAGCATCCATTTGCGCCTCTAAATTATATCTGTAAGTCGAGATACGCTTACAGATTTATAAAAATAAATGTTCCATTCTTTTTGATTCATTCTGATTCCGCTCCAACATTTAAAAATTGATTACATGAAAAACAGTGAACCATTCTCAAACTGCAATTTTTTCCCTTCTTTGAAATTTTTAGATTACAAAAATTTCCAAAAGCAAACTACTTATCTAATGCAGAATTTTGTAGTTTGAAATGTTAAACTTCATTTTGTATTTAGATTTTGTATTTAGACATAAGCATACGGTTATAAATTATATCTTCTTTTAAATCAATTCCGATCGTAACAAATGTAAAAGCATCATTACCATCGAAAGACAGCAAGTCCAGCGTAAGTTGTCCGATATAGCTGTCTTCTCGAAATTTGCTGTTGTCCCAGATTTGAACGAACAATATTGGATCTACCAACAACAACGACTTCTTGCTGAGATTGTAAATTTAAAAATGAAAGAGTTAAAGTGAGGAGAATAAGTTAGAAAACTATAAAAGATAATTTTATTCCAATAAAGGATTTTTTAAATACCCAAAGAGGTGTTTTTTGGTATACATCACTATTTTCTTCTCCCAAATATCGAAATCGAAATCAAATACGAAACGCCAATTGAATGAACCGTATCCATCAAGACTTCGATAATGAACATCAGTTTTCTCTTTTTTATCACTTCCGTTCAAGAAAACCTTCAAATAGATATCTGCTGCCTGAAATAATAACAACGTTAAATTACATGAACACTTTTATCACATGATAATTTAAGGAAAAAAATTTCTAAATCATTCTATCTAAAGGAAAAATACTGAAGTCAAGGCTAGACTTTTTCATACTTTTTCGAACTATCATTTAAATAATGCACAAGTACCGGTTTTCCCATCGTTCTCTTGGTAAGAATTACATTACGAACACTCCAAACTGCTACACGTAGCTGGAATTTGTGAGGTCGACGAGGTGATATATTAAGAGGTGGCGGTATTGGTCCTAATACATGTGGGAACAAATCGACAAACATTTCCAATTTACCACACTCGCTATCAGCATTAATGGCACTATACAGCGGTCGAGTTTCCACATGTTCTGGTACCAAATTCATCTAAACAACGATGCTCAGCTACTTTTCATCTATTTAATTTAATTTGTGTCAGCACTTAAACTTATAAATCAAAGATTCTTTTTAAAAAAAAGCAAGCCTTGATTAAAATATAAAGCGCAATCCGCTGCAATGGTCGTCCTAAAATCCCCACATTACTTGGAGGAATATTTTCAATATCACTAAGCCAAACCGCTACTCCAGCCATCATAATTCCAACATCACTTCCTTTCATTAACATTTCTGGTGCAGGATAATTCATCTTTATACAATGCCTTAACAATAAAATAATATAAAAGATAAATCTTTGTTATATTTCGACCTTTTTTTAAAACATTTCTTTCATTTAACCTGGCTTAGCACTAAAAAATTGATTCAGATATTTAAATTTATCAAAATGATAACAGCCGTTAATATAACTTGATGGAATATTGGATTACAGCTTATCATGACTACATTATTTATGGATTCAATTCGTACTATCAGCAGGTAATTTATGGAAACAGTATCAACTCTTCAAAGATTGAGTATAATAACTAACTGTTTTAATATACTAAGAGGTGTGAGTTGATCACGCCAAACAAGTGGTCCTCGTATTGTATATTGTTGCGGTAAGCCAACGGTAGCGCGAAATTGTGTCAAAAGACGATTTTCCAAATCAATTACCGTATGTCCAATTTCATTGTCTGCAATAAATTTTGAAGCAATGTGATTTCCTGTTTTTATTTTTAGATTCTTCAATTTGTTTCATTTGAACTTTTTAGGATATTTTTTTGATTAAAACTCCTCTCCATTCAAAAAATGGATAATCATGAAAATTATAGGAAAAGGAATAAAATTAACACAAACGAAATAAATTCTGCACAAAAATACCCGAAAAGACACGGTGACGATCCATGACTGATACAACAAGATTTTTATCCATTGGTATTTCTACTTCCATTTCAATCATTTGGCCAAACAATGGGTTCAGTGAACTTGGCCGATAATCTTTTCGTAAGTTTTTTTTCTTCTTTGTACCACATCTACATCTTTTTGAAGTAATTTTCAGACTTCATAAAAGACACACTAATTCTTTTCAAACAATTTTGGAATTAAAAATCAGTAGTTCTTAAGCTATTCATCAAATCTGAAATTAATCATCCCGATAATTCACACAATTCATTGCTGTCGCATAAATTTTTTATTCAAAGAGAATTCATTATAATCATTGATTGCTAATATTTTTTTTCTAAAATTGACAAATTATTAACTTCAACAACTTTTTTCTGAAAAAAATGAACTTTCCGGTTATTTTTAAGATTGGAGTTCAAGATATGACAATAAAATTGACTTCACACTAATGTAAGCATCACAGGTACCATCCTTTCGTCTGCTGACCAAATCGAAGGCTCTCACAATGTATATGCGAATTGTACATTTGGTCACTCCAGCAAATTCGGCAATTTGCAAAGCAAAATACTCTAAAAAAAAAGCGATACACGGATGAAAAAATCAACTTTCTAAACTAATAGAAAAGTGAAAATAATACCATTTGACATTTTGTCCTCCTCTCTTCGAATGAAAATTCGAGCTTTTAATTCACCGCGTGGTATTCTTAGTTCTGGTATTTCGATATTTTCTTTGGTCATCTTCCGAAAGATAAATGTGTCGAGAAAATCAGAAAACCCGCAGTACTCGTTCACATCTTCAAGTGCGCATGTAAACACCCGTAATTTTTCAATTCCAGAACTGAAGAGAAAGGATAATATGAAGATGGTAGTAATCTTTTTTGTCAAAACTCTTAAAAATGAACTTTTTTAGTTCGACAGTTTAAAGCTAATAAAGTACTCAGCATATCCTGGCGCTTTTTCGCATTCACCAGTTGAACTGTAGTATTTGCTCCACCAATCGACGATGTAATCACCAAAGAAATACTCTTCAGAATCTGCCATCATCGTTTCATTTTCATAAGCTTCCTCAGAAGATAATACCTTATCATATTTCTCCCAACTATAAATATCCCGTTTTGCATGCTGAAATATTTCGAAAATTATCTCTTGGACTTGAAATTCTTTACATGCATAAGATTATTGATGACCAAATTCGGTAACTTTTAATCTATATTGCTTCATTTTCTTCTTAAAAAGTTCTTTGAAGGAATAGGAAGTTGATTATTGAATATTCGGTAAATCTTTAGGCTTAAAAGGTATTGTAAATTATACATAATGCATAAGAAGAACCTTTGGTAATTTGCTAATATATTTGGCAAAATCCTGAACAATGCAAATACCGATGTGCGGTTCACGTCCAAATGAACGTCTATCATATAGGTTGAAAGTTAGCGGTGGTGCATAATAAAAATGAACAGGGAGTTGAACTTTATTTAAAATTATTAATGGCCGTTTGAAGTTTGGATTACGCTTCGCATCTTCGATCACATCACTTCGAGCTATCTTGTCACCAATACGAATTTCCACAAATGGATTACGCACAGATGACAACTACAAAAGATATTACGAGAAATGGTAAGTAAGGAAAAAAGACATTATATTTATTATTGTATCAATTTCAGTGAAGTTTTGATTAATTTGAAAATTTAACAACATATATATTTCTTCATGGTCAATTTAAAGACTTGATCAAAGTCCGCTAAGTATTCTGTTCGAAAGATGCTCGAATCGAAAATCGTTCAAAGAATGGTGCGCTTCGGACACTTCAACATCACATATAGTTTTGATCATTATTTAAAGTCCTGCGAGCTAAATGATTACTAAGATTATGTTTACCCCTATTAGCCAAAAAAGTACCTCCAAAACACCCTCAACAACATATCCGTTAAGGATAAAAGTTAATGAAATGATGATGACTCTGCAATCCCATGACTTACTTGATATCGAGGTAAATCCCGAACACCCCAGCACAAAATTTGTACTGTGTACTGCTTAACAATTGGATAAACATCACGTGCCACTGCATAACGAACACTTTGTTTTTTACGTGGCGGTTTCAACGGTGCAATATGTATGGCTTGACCCTCGTATAAGAATAATTCAAATAGAGCTAATAAAGCGCCTCTGAAAATGTATGTTGCCTTAAGGTATCTTTATTTAATTTGGTATAATTAAATTTGGAATATCACGATTTATTGGAAATTAATGCTTCTGCTTCGACATACTTCTGCTTATCCTTGCGGAATGATAATGGAAACCAAGTAGGCATTTCACGATGATCAGTTGCAAGTGATATGACTGAAGGTGTTGTCATAAAACGTCCAAGAAATATTTCAGAAGAATTGAAATCTTCTGAGCATAGTTCCACCACTACTGTAGGTGGATCTTTTCGGACAGACGTCATCCCACCGCATATTATCACCTGGAAAACATTTCTAGTTCGACTTTTTTCTATGATATCCTATAGAAAAAGTACGACGATGTAATACTCAAATGAACTTTCTAGAAGTTGATTTATTTATTCAGTTTCCCTTTACCATTAAATACTTATCACTAGGATCTTTCTTTTTTTCAGAATAGAAAAACACACTTGCTTAAAAATAAGAGTTTCATTCCAAATCGGATCAACAGTATTTTCAATGATTGCCGTTTCTTGACAACGATTCAAAAACACAACTCGAACAAATGCTCTCGATCCATGTCGATTTGTTGGTAGTAAATCTCTAGCCCATAAAATTGATGCACGCATCTGCCATCGTGTTACATGATCATAAACCTTAAAGACGAAGTTTCATAAGTTTTGTGGACAAATATCTTCTTTTTTGACAAGTTTTGGATTGTGGCAATCTTTAAAATTTTACTTCATAAATTCGAGGTGAAACTGAAACATTCTCAGCTAAATACAGAGCCAATCTGCGCCTGAAAATTTATTCAATATTATTTGAAGCAATATTAGCAATCTTTATTTGTCATCTAAAATATTTTATATATAATATTAATAAATGCAAACCTCTGACTAAGATTAGTCGAGAACACCATTTCACGAACATATCGACGGCGTCGATACTTATCACCAGGCATCTTTTGCACATGTACCGGTTCACGAAAATCACTGGCATACTGTAAGTGGAAATATCATTAGTGATGTGTGTGTCCTGAAAAAAATAAACTGAATTTGTGAAAAAAGATATAACCTCCCATAGCTCAGGATCAATGCTTTTCCGCAAAGCATCGATATTTTCAAAAACATCTTTAGTGCCAGATCCAAGGGTCCTCATACGCCACCAACGTCGATGTCGAAATTTATGTCCTTCTCTGAAGAACAAGCTCATTTAGCCTTCGAATTATAAATTCAGATTGCCGATGTATTTACTCCCAGTTAGATAAAAGTTGAATAAATTATATTCTCTAATTTATGAAGATCAACTGCTTTTCAATTAGTTAAAATATACAGTGTTTAAAAAGTAAAATTATTAACCGCTCTCTGTAATCGATAACAGCATCATCATTACCAAAATTAGCGATATTGGAAGAATAAGACCATCCTTCGGGATCACCTGCACAAAATAGATCAACCGTCCAATCACCAACCCATCGCCATCCTCAAATTTTATTAAACTTCAGCAAACATATTCTCACATTTTTAACATAAGATTTTTTTTCCGCTCTATCATTTCAGATATTGATGTTTACATGAATGTAAGCGTAAATATTTGTCACAGTTTCAACAAATCCAAAATTTAATGTCAAAACGATATTTACTTGTTGCGTAAATGAACTTTTGTCATCGAACGATAAAACTATCACCTGGTGGAGCATTTCGACCGCGAGCATTATCAATAGGGTTACCGGATGTATCTATGTAATATAAATCAGTCCAGACATCATTTTGCTTTTCCTGCACTTCAAAAATTTCATCCTCATATTGTGAATGACCAGCATCAGGTCCAACCCACATATCATGGCAGAACATTATTTTCCAGGCACCCTTAAATTATTAATAGGCAGTTATTATTAACTTCTGTTAAATTCAATAACATTTATGCACCTTAACAAGATTTTCAGAATCTAACCTTGTAGGACCATCCATGCGATACTTTTACATCGTCTTCAGACATTCGAATAATTCCTGTTTCATCCGATCGAGCGTAAGGCTCACCACTAAAATCATTTTCTTATGAAATTATCATTTTTACCTATTATTGATAAAAAAGCTCCTTTTCACCATTTTAGCATTTTTTTAAAGTTATGTTTGTATCCAACTTCAGTAAACTCCAATAAATCGAACTTCTTTCCATCAGTCTCCATCCACTGACCACCTGCATGCCTTCGTTGATTTTCGAAAACTTCAGCAAAATATTGGACAACTCCAGGCTTGATTGCTTTATCCCAATTTCTACGATCCGCTACTTTTCCAAACCAAAGGCGCAAATGAACAAGAGCTGGTATTTGTTCTTTTTTCCCTATCTTCTCATCATGCCTCGACCATTTTAATGTTATTACTCGCAAACGCCCACAAAATATTCCCCGATAGCAATCTTTATTGTGATAGTAGATCTAAAATATAAGTCTAGTCCGCATATCTTTGGACAAACAGCTTCAGGAATAATCTGGCGAATAAGACTTTGAGTCCGTAGATAATCAATCATTTCGGCACAATTGAGATTTTTAACGAAATAAATTTTGTAATATCACATTTCCTTCATCTCTCTATCACTGCCTTGGCTAGTTTTACCAAAGTATAAATCGGAATGCAATTTCAAGGAACTAAACTTTTGTTTTAGTACCCATGAATGAAATAATTTTAATTTCAGTAAAATTAAAACTACTTCGTTTACAGGAATTCGCGCGAATGCGAGTAATTCGTCGCCATCGCACATCGAAAGTACTGCATCTGGTATTGACATCTCCGGTTCATTTGAAATTTTTATTAGAAGTTCAGCGATCTGCTGCAGTTGATTTAAAGCAATCTAAGAATTAAATAAAATCGACTAATATTCATATATCATTCAATTAAAGCAACTATTGCAACGAGAAATAGAAATAAAATGTAGAAAAGAGTTTTAAAAAACTCAACTTGCAATCTAGTTATAAAATTGCTCTCCTCTGATTACGGTAAAGATGAATACTAACTTCATTGACTTGAAATACATCTTGTTTATCGTATTTCAGTACAGCAAAATCCTCGATCATTTTAACAATAGCTGAAATAATGACATGACGGCGCCTCTGATCAAGCGACGACGAGAGCGGTGATTCCCAGTCTCGTTTAATGCTGAAAACAGTATCCATCCCTAACATCTAAATAATTAATCACAATTATTAATTTCGTAAATCAAATCAAATTGAATTGGAAGTCTGATTAAAAAAACAAACCATTTGCTCAGTTTTGCAAAATAATCGCAAGCTTGATCAATAGCATCGACAATGATTGAAGATACTTTTGCTTTACTATCAGATTTCAATTTTGCCAAACTGGAAGAGTGTAATAGCATCTCAGCTATCTAAACATTGTAGATGGATCAATCTGCCAAAAAACTCCCCGTAAATTCGTGTTTCAGAAAAATGATCAGACTATGTTATGTTATACTATTCTATTAGAAATATTGTATTATTAAAACGTATATGGTAAATGAAAAGAAAGCAGTAACCTTCCGCAAAACATTGGTATGTCCCATTCGGAATGAAACATCCTCCCATGCACAAGGTATTTCACAAACAGGCTTATGATTTCCCCATGGCATCGTATAATACTTCTCAGCAAAGGCTGGCATTACCTTAACAATAAATAGGTCTCAATCAATTCAAAGTTCTCCTATTTATTATTTTAGTGAATATTTAATTTCAAATGTTTCGCTTAGCACTAAAATATTCATAAAAGAATTGGAAATTTTAATATGAACTTAAAAATGTAAAAATCAGTAAAAAAGAAATATAACTCATAAAAAAAGATTACCGAAAGTGTCCGTGCCGTACATTTTGGTACCTTCCCATAGGCTCGATTGCCATATTCTCCTATACTCAACGAAAAACGCACATTTTTGAATCTGTAGAAATCAAAAGTTTCATATTAACTTAAAGCAAAATGAAATTCGCATTGGATAAAATGAAGAAAAAATTCATTAAAAAACCTACTTGAGTTTAGGGTGAATCATATTTACAGTAAAAAATGTGGACAATAATACATATTCTGATGTACGTAATTGTGGTTTTAGAGAAAATACAATATCAGGCGTTATCGGATCACGACAACTTCGCTCACAACCTTCCTCCAAACATATCACTTCAATAAGCGCACGGGCAACAAAACTATAAATTTGTTATTTAATCTTCAAATTTGCTACAGTTGCAAAGAAGAAGTTTACTAATACAAATGAACGAATGAATACCAGTCGCCTGATCGTCTTCCTTCTCGTATAGCTTTTTCAACTTTTTTTATTACTCCCTGTTCACTTGATGCATAAAAGCTTATATATGATGGACCAAATACTGGCAAGAAGCTATAAATACAATAAAATGAATTATTATTTAATTTATGTTACTATATCTGATCCGTAATTAATCTTTAATATTAAAACAAACCCCTGATTATCAGAGCTGGATGGATCACTTGCTATCACATTCATATACCCTGACTGACAAATATCAGATAAATTCAGATGTGCCGTAGCCAATATTTTTTCCTTATTCTTTTTACGAATTTTTGTCTGATAAACGAGAATAATACGAAATGATACCTAAGAAAAACTTTTTATTGCAACTCAAAAAAATTTAAAGCTATGTTAAACACAATAGATGATCTTCCTTACAATATATTTGCCTGACAAAGGTTTATGATATTTCTTGTGCTATTTCACTTCTAATACTTTCTTCAGATACTGATTTAAAAACAAACAAACTAACGAACATATTTTACAACGGTTGGCCAAACTACAGGAAGCATAATTTCCTCATTAAAATCAACTACTTCATATAGAGCTGGTAAAACATGCGTCATTTCACGTTCTTTTCCAACCTAAAACATTAAATTCATGTTTTTTAAGTCTAAAATATAGAAACTAAATTTTATATACCTGCACTTGGACAGCGAGCCTCGCAACATCGTCATTGTGCATTCGCAAATGGTCAGCTATTTGGCATAACTGGAAGATTCTTACCTGGAAATGAATAATAAATAGCATTAACTTTTTAAGCATAAATTTATTTATAAACGTGCTACGTGTCGCTCTGAAATATTTTTGCTTTATTAAATAACTGTGCTTAATTTCTGAGCTTTCATAATTTTCAACAGCAAACCTACCAGCATAGTGTATTGCGTAAGTGAACCGGAGAACAAAATGTCCTCGTCATCATGTATCATTGTGCTACGTAACGATGGTGCCGGTATCGGATCAAGGCTTCGACGTACATTCATTGATACCTAAGCAAAACGAACTTCGACACCAAGGGAAATATTAAAGGTAATGAGTAGATTTTAAATAGAGCAAGAATTATAACACCTGTTGTTATAAAAGATATCTTTATAATTTTATAACTTTTTTAAAAAAAATGTAACTAAGTTAAATGTTTATTAGAGCACTTATAAGAGAAGCTGGCGGTAACGCATATACGACAGCATGTTTTTTTTCCAAAAAAATATTATAGTTTTCTATAATTTTTCTTCCAATTTTCAAAAAAATATTTCAGACTTAAACTTGTAACCTTTAAGAAGCCACGTATATCGGAAGAAGCAATTCGATCGGTTTCTCCCATTGCTACAATTTCTTGATAGTCAGATCTAAGAACAAGCCATTTTTCCCGCAACAAATGTCGTTTTGATTTGTAGATGTATCCTAGCTCGCATTGAAATCCTCCGATCAATGTATCACTTGCAAGTTTTCGAGTATTATAGATCTGTTTTAAATTTCTGAATTAATAATCTAAACTGGCATATGCTATCAGTGAATTCGATTGTAGCAAGATTTGAGGAATTATCATAAAAGTGAAACGTATGGAAATATTTTATTTTAAACTCAATTATATGAAAAAGATATTTCCTTCTCAGACTGAAAACTCTTTTCGAGTTGAAGTGAAAAAATTTAATGTATAAACAGTCATTCATAAGTTCCCTCTCCTTTTTTTGCTTCAACTTAGGAAATTTGAAAAACCAAGAAACAACAACAAACTCGGAACTCCAGGCATGTCTGCATCATTTCCTGAAGTGACTTTCCGATCGTGAAAGAGAGAGATTCATCCCAACGTGGTGAATTCGTACTATGCTGCGATAGACTTGAACGACAACGTCCATCTAATATTACACGAAGCAAAGGATTCAAACTATTTCCATGAAGTTCGCGAGCCTCAAATATGTGTAATCGTACCTAAAAAAAAACTTTTTTTAAGTCCTCGAAATTAACAACAAAATTATATTTCAAAGAAAAAACAAACACTTCTGAAAGAACTGGAAAAAATAAAAAAGCAATGATATGTAATTTTAAAGTCAATAAATACTGAAGCTTACAGTGAACAATTGCCACATGCTGAGATCTTCCTCTTCTTGATTTTCCATTTCAATCATTTCTTGGTTTATTTTATCACCGACACTTATTCGATGCCTACGTGATACAGTGCTACTATCCGAATCATCTGTTGAACGGATTGTTTCAGATTCCTATAACAGAAGATTGAGAAGTATATAAAAAGAAGCATATCATCAGATGGATGATAATACATATAATATGATAAGTAACAAAACTTAAAACTTCATCTATTTAATGCTTAATCAAAAACTTTCACTTTTCTGACTCATTTCAATATGTCATTTAATGCTTCTGCAATTGTTTGAGTCATTTTAGTCTAATTAAACAAGTTTATTTGAAAAGTTAAACAAATGAAATTGACTTTAAGATTAGATTAAGAGCAATATGAAAATAGAATTTTGCATTAAATGAAATAGGAAGACTAACCAACTGTTGATCCGATGAGATTGTATCGGTAGTTTGCATCGGTGTTTCCGTGAACTCACTTTCAGCTCGTTCAATTTTGACACCCTCCAAATTGCTCTCTTCATCTCTCTCAAGATCATATTCCGTTGATTGTGATGATACTGACTGTTCACGTAGAATACGTGACTTCATATGTCGACCAACATCCCGAAGTTTCGATAACATCCGTCTACGACCTTTTTTTTTTCTTATTTTCTTCGAGTCCCTTATACTTTTATCTTCATTGTAATCATCCTCCTCGTTACTCATATTTGGTTCTTCACGTAACTAGAGAATTAATATTAGTATCAATCACATCGTTATTAATTACAAACCATTATAGGGACTCTCCAAAAAATAAAGAGGTCGTGATCCCATTGAATTGGAAAAAAGAGAAGCGTATTTTGGGTACAAAACAGATAAATATTCCGCTGTAGGAGAATGTTAACGGTTTATAAGTAGCTTACTGAAGTAAAAAAAGGATATTACTAGAGAAGCGGCTGAGGTCACTATTCCGGGTTCAATTTCTTCCAACAAATTTCCTGCCAATTTCTTCATTTGTTTATTTAGAAATCGTTCTGTCATCATTCTATTGCTTTTATTAGACCTGTTGTAAAATTAACATTTTCCAGCACTGATTATTTCTGAATTCCAACTTTAGTTTCAAAGAAATCGTACATTGGGGGTTATGAGAGTTGAAATTTTTGCACTTCCTCGAATTAACATACAAATTCGAATGAATTTCCACGGAATAAAAATAAGATTATAAATTTTTGTTTAGTCAGACAAACACATTTCAAATAAAAAGAAACTTTCAAAAATTTCGAAGCATTGAAGCAAAGGTAAAAAATCTATGTAATTTAACTATTTGTGATTTAATGATATATGAAAGCTTTATATAAAATTGATTAAAAATATTAAATAATTAGCAATCAAAATCGAAGATGTCTTTGATCATCCATTGAAATTGATTGGCAATAAAACGTTTAAAGTTACATGCAAAGAAAATTTAGAACAAACCGGATTGTAAGAGAAAACGACCGTTCACTAGTTCGGATTTAGCTCTGTCTTTAGCTCTTTCAAACTTTTTCAAATTTGAATATGGAAATTTTCTTTGAAATAATCTCTTTAAAACTTTTCAAAAATTCATTCATGTGCGTGGTGGATAATTTGTTATTTGTTCGACTTAGAAAATTAAATACCTTCAAAAGATAATTTTAAACACTACTGGCGAAAATTCCAGAAGTGTAAATTGAATTGGCTGGATTTTACACGTTACATCATTAACATAATTTTCAGATAGTTAAAGAATACCAAGTGTAAATTGCATTATTGCAAGAGTATTTAAAATAACATCAATTGGATTGTACAAAATACAGATCATTGGCATATTTGCAACAGGTAATAAAAAAGATTGTGGTCTAAGTGAGATGGGATATGCCAAACTATTCGGCGATATTGTATCGAATTTTTTGGATTCATCGAAATTTATAATTGATATGTTCGTTTGAGGTGAAGATTGAGATCTTCTCAGCAGCTAAATATCAATTACCGATCAATTAAATGTTTTTCTATTATGAAGAAATTTTTAAGTTCTAGAATTTTATGATTTTTGTCATATGTCTTTAAAACTATAAAAATTTTATGTAAGTATTCAATGTAGCCTTTAATGAATTAAATGCTTAATATAGTTTTTACTATACGAGAGGCTAGTGAAATGAAGAAGTAATTCAATAATGCATTGCTTTATTTAAATTTAAGATCATTTAATCAATTCGGAAACTCTGCCACTCACATTTCTCAAAAGAGAATATATTTAAACGCTTCAGATTCTGAACAAATACATTATTCACCAAAAATAATTATTAACTTTCAAAAAAATCATTGGTTTACCGTGTAAAATGATGATTCCAACTGAGGAATTGATATTTCAGTAATATCTTGATCATAAGTTTGCCTTGACAGCTGATTGTCGAAGTTGGCAAGTATTGATAACACATTTGAATCGGTAATTGAATTTACTGATATTGGCTTATCTAACAAAATGACCCAAAATGAGTGCATAATTTTCTCTTCCTTTCTCTCTCTATCTCTCTCTTTGTGTAAAATCAGATATAATTATTCTATTTCAGATGGTGTATGTTGCTAAAATGATTTATTTTTTTAGAAACAAACGCGAATGTATCATACAATTATTACATCAAGCGAAATCCTTCAAAACCTCAACGATCAAACTAATTTTTATAACATCGCAAAATATACGCGAAATTAAATAAGTAAAAAAAGCATTACTTACGACTTTTCTGCTTTTCTTTGTGTTCATTGAATCTAAGTTTTGAGGCCTTCAAAATTTGGTCCAATTTGCGCCTCTTTTCAATCAATTCACATTGATCACAATTGCAGTTTGCATATAAGCAATGTCGTTTGTGTTCCTAAAACTAAATTTTTATTCAAAGCATTCGTTCCTTCGAGAAAAAAATTAAAAGAGTGCAAAAAATAGTTTTGATTTTAATTAATTAATTTATTTAGAAAAATTTTAAAAATTTTAGAAAAAAAGAGTATTTTACCTTTTTCCAAACCAAAACACCATGATTTTTGCATTTTTGACAGATATAGCATTGATTTTGGGTTGTGGTACTTGTTTTAGTTTCATTTCTAAGATAGTAAGCCTGAAACATTTTAGAATAAACTTAACTAACAATATAATCAAAAATCTTTTTTTAATTTAAAATACTAATGAAATTAAGAAAAAAAACGAAGACAAATCAAAAATCCAACTACCCCAAAGAAGGGCTTGGAAACGAGAAGTCATTCGCATGATGTCGTGAGGTAAGAATGGAATGGATGACATTAATGTTTTGTAGGGATGTTTTCCAAAAAATTCATTTTTAATTTTTTTAATCTCTAGAATTAGAGTTGAATAATCTGCTAAATCTTATTTATATTACTCAATCAGCATACAAACAAACCACTGCATCATTTTTGTCAAAGTAATTCTGTGGAATGATAGTAGCTTGAGTGAATTCCGAAGTACGCTGGAATATTTTATCTTGCGCACGGCGTATACGAATCTGCATGCTCATAATTTTTCGACGTTGACGTATCAGCAAACACTGCAACGCGTTGATATAATAGTTTTTCGGAATATTCATTGACATAAATCAAAAATTATTTATATTTTAAATGCTGAGTAATATTTTGTTCTGTTTATTTTCAACATCCTTTTCTTCTAGGCTATTTATTCATAAGAGAGATTTGGCGTGAAGGAGTAATTGGATTAGAATGACATTTGAGAGCATTCTGAAAGTTCAAGCGATCCTAGCAAATAGCACTATCTAATTAATGTTCTGATTAAATTAGCTCAAAATAAAATCAGCAGATTATATATCTTACTCTTGAGCAGCTGCAGTTTTTCCGGTTACAATTATGGCCACGCGTTTCCACAAGCATTCCATGTTGTCGGCACATTCCGCAATGGCGCTTCACATCTGAAGCATTTTACTTATTATTTCTTGGAATTTGTTCACTGTTATATCTAAGCTTTAAATTAATTTTTGCAAATATATTTAGAAATTAGATATTCAAGAATAGTTATTGGAATTATTCAAAAATAGTTGTACTGATTTTCAGAAAAATCTCTTTAGATGACACCAACCTTTAGGCATTTTTTTACTTATAGCAAAATACCGTTGACAATTTTTTTCTTTAGACATTCTCTATAAATTAAATACGAATTAATTGCGTAACGAATTGAAAACTAATTTACTTATATGTATTCTTTGAGGTGCCATCAGTAATATGTGGAATAAATTATTTTCTTTCATACACAGACTAAGAAAATAGGGAAAAAAAACAGAATAGAAACGATTTCAATTTCCAACGTACAAATGGATGGAATGATATTTAAATGGAATTGGTAAAATTAATTGAATTCAAATAATAATAAATTTGCTTTGAAGTACGAAACGTCGAAATGATGTTGGATAAAATTTTAAACAGCAACTTCTCCTTTTTGTATTTTAATTCCAAAAAGGTCTGTTTGTCTATTCATATTACAATTCAGCTAAAGCATCTCTATTTCTTGGCAATCCTAAAGTTTAAGGCATATGTAATTTATTTCATTCTTTTCTGATTCGGAAAATTTTATACTTTTTCGATTTCTTTCGATTCATTTCATACAGTATGCCATCTGTACTAATCATACATTTTCCATTTTTGTCAATCAGTTTTCAGACGATTTCTTTTTCATATCAAAACTAGCACAAAAGAAATATTAGATGCATGTTATGATTCAACAACTTGTTTGAACTGTTAAAGATGCTTGGGAAAAGATCGATTATACGACATTTCCGCAGAAGATAACAGATTGGATTATAGCATACTAATTTGTACTAAATATATACTGTATTCATCCTATTATCTCTGCACTATTAGACCATATTGATGTAAATTGATGTAACTTACAATTTATTTCAAATATGCAAAATTTAATGTAATACTAAAAACGGATGCAAACAAACTGCTAATTAAATTTCAAAGAAATCATCAAACTGCTAGTTAAATTTCAAGGAAGTCATTCAGTGTTATTCGATTGTAAATTTAGCGCAAAGATGCGATAATATGTGCAGGAAATAGAACTGAAATATATCACATGGGAATAAATAGCAATGGGAGAAATAACAAAATCAGATGCAATAAGAACTTTTCGTTGAAAGATCAGATTAGCATTTCAGAAAAAACTGATTTTGTAATCCTTGTCAAATATAAATAGAGGAGGTTAAGTACTAATTTTCGGATATTAATATTCCTATATGTGCAAATTTAAATTTCTTATCAGTGAATAGGACAAAAACAAAAAGTGACGGAAGCAAATTAAAAGGAATTACTCATCGAAAACTTTTTTCTTGTCAGAAAATTCAAACTTTTTTTATAGAGATGAATTTTATGAACAAGAATTTTGTCACTAATGACACCGCTGATATTTGTCATTCTTTATTAAACAGATAACATATTACTTAGTTTCTAGAAAATTTCTTTTGTTTCACTCTCAATGGAAAAGGAAATGAGAGAGAGAAAACTGTTAACAGTAACAGATCGATCTGAATTATGAACTTGATTCAATCAAGAATTAAGACAAAACATTATGAAAAATTTGATATAAAACTTTTTTATGAAAAAATATCAATAAAATAAAAGCATTTAATTTGAGTAATGGATTAATTCAATTCACTAAAGCTCTTCGGTAGAACCAAAATTACTTAGTAATCGAAAACTTATCAGTAGCATTCGTAGAAGTCAAACTTATTTATAACAAATGGATAAACTGATGATTGCCAAAAGTAAACGCTACCAATGATTAAATTAAAAATGCAATAATAATTTCAATATCATTTAGCAATCATTCGACAGGTTGGTGATTGAAATATTGCTTAGTTACTAATTGGATAATTATTTCAGCTTCTAAATTAATTGATTGATTAATTAGAATATCTTACGTTATTTGTAATTGGCATATTTAAAGTGCGACCTCGTGGAATGACAATAATGTGTTAAGATGACCTAAATTTGTTATCAAAATAATACAAGCTCTAATTATTGGCGTTTGATCATCGAATGGTGACGATCAGTTGCAGTTTTATCGTCTCAGTCATTATTCTTAACATTGTCATTCACTCTTCATGTATTTTTTAATTCTCTCAGATTTTTCCATCTTATTTTATATTTAAATGTTTCAATTGCCATTTTACGAATATGACTCAAATTTTTAAATTATGTTGTAACTATCTCAAAATTTACGAACTTTTAAGTTTATATCAAAATTTGACAGTTTTTGCTAACAAAACATAAGGCTACTTTTATTCAATATCGTTAATTCAATATAGTCTGTAATAAAAACTTCAGAAAATATTAAAATTCTTTTCTATCGTAATGAAATAAAAATAATACAGGTGTGAAGACGAATAATGGAGGAGAAGCAAGTAAATGCCTAAAAGAATGCTTGAAATCGATTCTGAAATTCGAACATTCCTTCACTTTTCAATTTAGAAATTTTGAAAACGTTAGCATTGCTTAGCGAATGCTCTTTTGCCAAATATAAGCAATAGACTGATTGGAAATTTAAATTAGCTGAAATTTGGATTATAATGCTTCTATATCGGAATTTAAATTTTTATTTAGAAAAAATTTGATTTTAGTCTTTTTGAAGTTTTTTAAAGTACGAAAAAATCTTGAACTTTATTGGGTTTATGAATATGATTAATTTTTTGAGCATTCTATTCAATTTCATACTTTCTAGATATGTGATAAGCTTGAATCGGCGGCATTTTGCAGCCAAAAGTGCAGTCCAGTTGATCAATACCGCTTTTATCATTATACAACTTTCTATCGTTTACATTGTGTTGATTTTTATGAAGGTAAGTTCAATTCAAAATTAAACTGGAATTATTGCCGTTAATTGTATTTCTACTTCATTTACTTAAAAGAAAATCCATTTCATTAGAAGTTTCAAATATCTTTTACGTAATAAGCCTGAAATCATAATTCAATCACTTAGTTATCTTCTCAATGTATAAACTGATTTCCAAATCACACGAAACTTTTGCATTTACATTTTATTTTTAGTTTAAAATTAAAATTTAACATAATCGTTTTTATTTATAGTACGAGATTACTGTAATAAAAGCTATTATGAATTATTTAGATCTAATCGCATTTATGTTGAAATCTATCAAATGTGTAAATTTGGAATGGTATAATACATTAAATTCAGGAAAATTATTTTCAATTTCTCATTGTTATAGAGCTTGAAAACCAACTTGACTGTTTAAAAAAAGCATCTCCGGATAGTGATAAAAGTAAGTTTTAATTTTTGGTTTGATTAAGTAAATTGATTTTTTGTTATTCAGATAAGATACTAATTGAATAAAGTAATAATATATCCTTTTCAATATTATAACAATTTATATGCAACTTTGTTCTCACGATTTTCCAACTGGAGAGTGAGGAATATTTTGATTGAAAGAGGTATTTATTTTAAATTTAAAATTTTGAAATTTGAATCGCTCTTTTATCACTTCTCTGTAATAAATAAAGACGACAAAATTTCGATTCATTATTAATTAGCAAACATAAAGTTGTTTTTGTTTTACATAATTATTTTAGCTTGCAATGGACGATGTAAATTTAACAGCAATAAAACTAATAACAGTGAAAATCAAATCAAAATTCATTGCAGGTTGGAAATTTATATTTATCAATTCAATTTTTGTTCTACAAGCAAATTTTTATCGTTTTTATTCTTTCGGTTAAATGCACCATTTTTACAATTTGCAAAACTTAAAGGCCCTTAGACTTTCGACTCATAAACCTTATGATGTCTCTTTTACTTCACAACACTTTTCAATACATTGTTCTAACATTCTTAAATCCAAAATTTTGTTAAAGAAATTTATCAAATCTTCCTCACTTCCTGGAACTTTAACCTATTTCAATTTTTGATGAATTTTTTTTAAGGTCTTTTACTTTATAAAAAATGAAAAAGAAATAAGAAATATTTTATGCTACAATTTCCACCCACAGTTGATATAACTTTCATCATTACCATTATCAATCAATTGTCGTCAAAAATCATATCATTATCAATCACTCCACTCAAATATAGCATCATTATTGGTTCATTCCCTTTAAAAATCATATCACTTTTTTAAACATCGTTTATATACACTTTAAAAGAATGACCTAAATTTTGATTAATGTTTTAAAAGTTGCGTAAGATGTGAAGGAGCAAGGTGAATATGAAATATTACAAATTTCAATGCCAACATTTAATTCTTATTTCTAATTCATTGAACACATCGCAGTTGTCTCCTTTATATGATTTGTAACTGAAAATCAGAATAGAAATAAATATAATGTAATCGATAACGTATCGTTGAGAAAAGCCATTAATTGCATGTCAAAAACAATAAGAAATCTCATTAAATAGATTACAATTGAATATCTTCTGCTAAAAGTGTAAAAAAAAATCTGACTTAATAAGTTCTAGCTGCTTTGACACTGAATTTAGTGCAATTTTATATTCTTCTAAACTTTCAGTCACAAAGCCAATCCCTTTAATTTAGAGAAATATTGTAGAAGTGCAGAATGAATTAGGCCTAACTGAGAAATGCGAACACAGGCACATCAGATGTTGTAAGCATCAATTTAGGGAGTTTGCAGTTATGTCTATTTTGGTTGGGAATTATATATGCTTTAATCAAGGACATCATTTCATGTGACATTATCGTGCTGTGACAATAATATATTTGTGTAAAATATGGAAATAAAATGGATAGTGATGGTAAGGGCTAAAATAAAGAGAAATGGAATGTTTCCTTCTTAATTAGTTGAAAAAAATTCTATGTGATGGAATTCAAAATTAGAGACGAAGATTTGATTTCTCGGGAAATGAAGAGCGAAAGATTGAATATATTTTGGTGAGATGACTTATTTAAATTAAAATGATTTCAGCAATCGAATCAATCAATAAATCAGTTTAACTGTTATGCATGAGATGAGATAACAGAAAAAAAAGCTTTATGCTAAAACATTCTTTAAAAGTGGAGGTTTAAAAACTGAAAAAATTCCGTTTTTTCAGGACTTTTGAGTGCTCTCTAATCTGTTATTATAAAACATTCTCCAGTGCCTGTCCCGAAATACGCAAAACTCTTTTGGTACGCATTTTAAAGAATCAAATTTTACAATATAATATTTTTGTGATCACAGATGGACACGAGAAAGAATCGTTCATTCTCGTTTTTCTTTAAAGTAAATTAATAATTTACACCGGTTTATCTAATTTATACCGAAGTTGCAAACTGCAAAATTATTCTTAGTTTATATCTATTTAATAACTTAGCAGGAAATCCAATGTTTTTTGAAAATTGAAAACAATTTGATTGAGTTCAAAAAATCAATTTAGAATCTGAGCATACGGCAGATCAATGATATGCGATTCTTCACATCGCCAGATAGTCTATCAAATGCAGAAACTGAATGCTATCAACTGCATGATGAAAATCAAATGAAGCAAAAAATGCTCGAAGTGTGAACATTATAGTGTGAGATTATATTTAAAATATTGTTAAAAAGTGGAAACAATTAATTATTCCATTTCCATTTTAAAAAATTAGTAATGACAAATTGATTAGTGTCATATGTTATCGTTTTTCAGTTTTAATGAACAGCTCGGAGTTAAAGGATCTTTATCTTCTAATAAAAGATTTTTGTTTTTGTTTCTTCAGCTGCACTTTGCTTTTTAGATAAATGTCATTCAGAAAAATGATATTATCTTTCTTTCGTTGATTTCAGCTGAAATATTCATTTTCAAAATTATGATGGCCTGTTGAATCCATTCACAAAATAAACAGTCGATCTCTGAAAATTGATGGTTGAAGAAATTACTTTTCGCTCTCAGAGCGAATTTTCTTTCAATGGTGAGAAATAATTTGTTTTTGTGTCATTCAGCTGTCACTTAATTTTCTGAATAACTGAGTTTTTTTTTTCATAATTTGTATTACTTCTGTTCTTGTTCCTTCAATACATAGTTTTGTGATTATTTTTAAATAAAGCTTTCTAATTACTTTGCAGCTCATTCATTTTAAAACTATGCGAACGTCTGGAATACTCGATTTTTAATGCTTTGGCATAAAAGACGAACAAATCACTGCGAAAATAAATTGTAGTAAACGGCAGATCGTGGCGGACAGCGACAATAGGCTGCATCGTTTCCAGGGAGGCCTCGCTCACCAGGTGCGCCTGGACGTCCGTTCACTCCCGATCGACCTGGCATACCAATGCGTCCTGGTGGTCCCACTGGTCCTGGTGTTCCATCATTTCCCCTTTGTCCATCCTGTCCAGGTTTTCCAATAGACCCTGGTAAACCTGGTCTTCCTTTTGGTCCTGCTCTTCCTCGCCCACTTGATCCGTTTTGGCCTGGTGGACCGCGTGGACCAGCAATACCGGGTGGTCCCGGTGGGCCAGTGTCACCACTTGGCCCTGCTCTTCCTGGGATTCCAATCTTGCCCGGAAGTCCTGATTGTCCTGGATTTCCATTTGGACCTGCAGGACCTTGCGGTCCACTTGGTCCGGGTTGACCACGAGGGCCAGCCGGACATGTGATGCAATGTACATCTTGTGGCGGACAGGTTAGTGATTGGTAGCTTACCGTGTTATCTTCTCCGGGTAATCCAGGCGGGCCATTTGCTAAAAAAGCAATTGTTCCATTTGATGAATTCAAAATATTTGTAACACTGAAAGAGAAGCAAAAAAAAACATACGTCCTTGTTGGCCAGGTGGACCAGGAGGTCCTGGTGGACCGGGCGAACAAATTATTTTCGGTACTTCGCATAAACAATAAGATGGTAAGCTGGAGAAATCTTGACGTTTTCGTCGAAATATGCTACTGAACGGATTATCGGGTCGTCGGCTAGGCGGACTGAAGCTGATTTGGATATCTATCATTTCAGACCAGGCTGAATCGGTTTCGACTCGAAATATCTGTATATTAAAAGAATTATCGATACATTTATTTCCTTTGAATTTCTAAATATCCTTTGCTTCTTTCATCCAACCATACTTAATGCTATAGTGTCCTGTAAATTCTGCGTCTGTTTTAAAAAAAGCTTTTAATTTTTTGAATATTCCATATTACATGCATAATCCTCGGAAACTATTATAAACTAATATTACTATTGTTCCCAATAAGAATAAATTATATAAAGAAGCAAAACTGTGTTGAGTTTCCGTTCGTATTCAGATTGCTAATTATTCAATCTAAGAGAGCATACTGTTAGCTATCGCCTTTTAATTTTCATTATAAACTGATAGCCATTCAATTCTCATAGTCATTCAGTTAATTAAATGCGAACTATCCATTGCTTGTATAACGATTAAATCAACATATTCATTGAGATATTCCTTATATTGTGATCAACTGTTAAAAACAAATTGTGATTCATCTAAAAAGTGATTAGAAAATAAATTGTGTTACTATTATTAGAATAGAAATTTGAATCACTTCTATTATTGAATATAAAGAAAATCATCATATGTCAACAAATATTAGCAGCTTATTTCTAGCATTCATTATTTCAATAAAAATAAAAAAATTTATTTAGTTAGATAAAATAACACATTCCTATCATCTGATTAGTCATGTCATGAAATAATGAATAAACAAAGTAAATAAAACAAAAAGTTATCAGTTAGTTAGTTGTCTAACAAAATTCTGTTTCTATGACTTTTTACTAATTTGTTAAACTGTTTGAGATTAAAGACAATATTTTACGAAATAACAGTTATTGCTTAGAGAATGAGAAGACAGCAAATTTTAAAGAAAGATTACGAAAAGTTTGAAAAGGACAGACTTTAAAAAGCAATTTGTAAGAGATTAGAGGGAAGTGATAAGTTAGCTGAAAAAAGAATCAAAAAGGCAAAAAATTAACGAAATTAGTAATAAAGTCTTTTAATATATTATTCGCTGACATAAGGAGTGGATTATAATTAAAAACTATGGTCTGATAAATCTATCAGAAAAAAGCTGATTACAAAGTAATTTATCAATAAACAAAACTTCTTGAGAAGTCCTCATCTTTGATGTTCATTATTTGTTTAATTACAATTGATTTTCTAAATTAGAAAATTCAACAACTTCAATGGTGAAATTTCAAGCATGAAGTGATATCGGATACTTTGAATTAATTATGAAGCATTTCTTTCCAAACGATGTTAGAAGTCACCTGCAGATTTTTAAATTTAAAATTCAGAAAATGGAAGCATGAAATGATATCGGACGTGTATTTCTTATTAGTTTATAGTATTTGTTCTCAAATATATTTAACAAATATCATTATCAATATATAAATTGATTTTGAAAACAAAAGATAAAATATTTTAAAACTCTATAACTTACAAGAATTTCTTAGCTGTTTAATTTCAATTATTTTTCAAATGCTCAAGAAAGTCGTAATTAAGCACATACCTGTACTTCATCTAATACTTCATCGGCGATTTCTTTTATCATTCTATACGCGGAAGGGATTACCACCAAGCATGCAATGATTACAAGTGCACTGCAGCCAGATGCTATAGCAATCACAATTTTTGCTTCTCGCATTTTTTAAAATAGGAACATACGATTATGGGAAATGTTGCGGTTATATTTATACATTCATACGTTTTCGTCTTAAAACGAGTTGGATTTCGTTATCCGCATCAGTCTTTATGACTTGCAACATTTTATGATTGCGATAACAAAGACAGTCTTCTGTTATCGATAACAAGAGCTTTTATAACTGATATTTTTATTAGATAGGCGAATCATGAAACAAGTTTTCATGTTCCTGAAGAATAAAAGAATCTCTTTCATTCCCTAATCAAAATTAGGATTGCATCGACTTGATGAACTAGCTTTTAGTATTTCATTAATATCAAATATCAAAGATCTAAATGTAAGTATACAGAAATAAAACGGCTTTATTCAATTCCATTGGATTTTATGGTCATTGTCGTCAAGATAATTGAAACAACCTACAATTACGCATTGCAAGTTTTCATAAGCATAATATCAATCGTTTCAATCATTGAATGACTTCGTTTCTGTGCAAAAATTTGTTGCATTTACACTTGTCAAAATTTTTGTCCTAAAATCAAAATATCCGAAATTAATGATTTTGCTTCGATTAGTGAAAATGAAATTTTTGGTTTTTTTCAAGCAAGAGAAGGGAGGTGTAGGAATTTTTAATAGCCGCTTATTACATTATTAACAAAACCATAAATTACTTCTGAGTAATCTAATTTCCCGAGCAGCTTGAAAACTGATCAAATCACCTCATAGATTCATGTATTAGCGTATTTTCTTTTATATTAATAAATTCTAATCAAATTGGCGTACTCTTTTTTACATTATTAATTCAGTCAAAATTTCACTGCGCAAAGTTATCATTTGGAGGATCATGCCGTTTTTCATAATTTTTCAAAATATAATTTTGCCAATGTTAGCAGCAAAAAGGACAAGATGAACTGCATTTCAGCTAATAGAATTTCTTCTTAAATTTCTTCCATTTCTTCTAGAAACTATGAATTTTAAAAAATTCGTCAGTGTTTTTGTATATAATAATTGCTCACAAAACCATTTAATATACTTCTATAGCATAATTTTTGATTAAATTTATTTTTACTGAATGTATGTTTTTGGATTAGAGAAGATTTAATGCATCAGATCAAAAACCAGCTATATTTCGTGGGTCAAAGAATAAAAATGCCTTTTCGTAATTTAAAGAATAAACAATAGGACTGTCAACTCATTGCAGAACTTTACTCACAGAGTTGTATAATAATACATAACTGAACTTTTCTGCAACAGGAACTGTGAAAATTAGTTTATAATACTCAATATGCATATTCAAATTAACAACTTTTACATACTTTCAATTCTCGTGAAGTTATCAGTGTAAAGCTGACTACCTCCTCCAGCTATTTTATTCCTACTTCCTTTTCTCTTTCTCCGATAATTTTAAATCCTTTTTCTTCGAAATTGATAAGTAGAGGATTTTACTGCCTCTTGAATGTTATCTTCAAGAAATGAAGTATTTAGAACAATGTGTAAGACTTTCGTGAATCGAATTTATAAAATTTTTCCTGACAAAAATAAAAATGTGACAATTGTGAGGATTTGTATGCTAGCATGACAAAATGTAATTGTTGAAATGTAAAGTTTTTATGTATTATTATATGCAGTACTTCATCTTCAAAATTGTCAACATATTATACATTTGCTGCAGAGATATAAAATCTGAATTTGATTCTTTTAAAAAATTATATTCGATTAATTTTGACCCTCATAAATCCATACATGAGACCGAGACAATGGAAAATATTTGAATTATCAGGTTAAATTCTTAATTAGAACTGAGTGTAATCTGTCTCTGAAGTGCATTTAATTTGTTATTCTAAATCATTTGACAATTTTTCATCATCCCATATTTTCGAACTTCATAAGAGTTTCAAAAATTATGAGCATTGCTACTCGTTATGAAACATATCGCATCATCATATCAAAAGTTGTAGGAAATTATCAACAAAGACAACTTCTATTCTACCAATTATAATCAACTTCTATTCTAACAATTATAATCAAGAAATTAGTGTTGCGAAGCTCATCCACTGCAAATTCATATCAATACCGATTAAGCTAAAATTTTAGTAAGAAGAAATGTTGTCACACTCTTTAGCATATTAACCCAGGAATGCAGATAATGATTTCCTATAGAAGTTACCAGCTACATTCCACTTAAATGTTATCATTCCTTTTACATCATAAATGTTTTTCTTCTCCACAAACCATCGGAAGTGATGCATCTCTTAACGTCTAATTTACGCACTTTTGTTTTCTCTTTTCTACTTGCAAAATCGAAACTTGAGGATACAAAAAAAGAGACAAAGAAAGACAATGAGTCAACAATCCTTAAGGGATTACCGATTTGTTTGCACAAAATCATGAGGAAACGGATACACTGATAACTTGAGATGGATATGGCTTCACAGCGTATTTTTTCAGAAAGCAAGAGAAAAGAAGCATGAAGCATGAAATGAAAGAAAAGAAACATGAAGCAAAAGAAGCATGAAATGCTACTGCAAACGAATTTATTTGTCATCGAACTTTACACTCACAGAGAAATACAAAAATTTAAACTTTGACGAAGAAAATGATAAGAAGCGCTGTGACATAAATGTCTGCCTGTTGACTTTAAAATGAAGACTGATATTCCTAGAAGCTTACATACGTTCTTTACGATTCGTTAACACATAGAGCTCGAAATAAGATCGTCAATCGGTTCAGTGCTTTCACTGCCCTTTGTTTCTGATTACAAGCCTCATTCCTCCCAATGCTCTCCGATGCACTGTGAAAGTAACTACCCAAATCTGGAGTCATTTTTGTTCAAAGGAATTATAGCGGAATGAATTCTATTCAAATCTCTCTCTCTCTTCTTGTCTCTTACTCTCATTACTATATAAATTTGCCATTGATTCCTGTGTCTCTTCAAACACACACTCTCTCACATCCTGAATAAAAGGCTTACTTTAACTGATCCGGTGCCCGGTACAAGAACATCAGATTGAATGTAGTATTCACTGGCATCGTCCTACTCGCAGCCTGTCCTGGGAGGTATTTATTATCAGCATTTGTTCAAATGAATTGCAGGAAGCTATGGTCAGCGTTACTCTCTCGGTGACCCGTGACCACAGTCCATAGATACAGTGAATTTACAAGGTGTCAGTGTCAGGTTTGCAGTATTATCTGCAACGCGCGTCTAAGTGTATCGATTTATGACTCTGATATTTCGTAGAATATGGCCTCAACATCTGATGCTATGTAGAAAAACGCCATCTCTGGTAATATATCCCGGCGCAGTTTTATCTCCATCTATTAATTCTGCTTCTTCAACACGATTTTTGAATTTAAATTGGTGAACATTTGAGAGTCACATTTTTTTCCAATGGTTTATTTATACAAAAAAAAGCAAAACAAATCCCTTTCTTGAGGAATGTTGCCCTAACTGCCCTCTAAATTTCCTAAGCGCATTGGTAAATTCATACATTTCAGAATACGCTATGCTTTCATCTCTACTGTTTCATCCATAGAATGAAGTTGATCGCTTAACATTGAGACATTAAGCTGTTTCTTTAAGCGAAAATTTCTTAATTTGACAAGGAAAATTGTTCTTTATTTATTTGTTTATTGTAAAGAAACCATTAGATTTTAAATTAAAATAATCATATATTATTTACAGCGGTGTTAGGACTTTCATTTCTCAACATATTGCGAAGGTGAAAGTAAAACCAAGCGAAAATCGAAATGAACCTGAGAACAAAATTGCGACTATACCAAATGCCTTATGCTTATTCAGGTTTCATTCTTTAATCTGTGAGCTGTATACAGTGATCAAGTCTATTTATCAAGCCTATTTGAACATTAAAAATGATCATTTATCTTTTTGAAGCGTTAAACTCGACTCATTCAAATATGTATTCTGTCTATATTTATTTCTTTTGCTCCAACTTATTAAACTCTTTGCGATATTTACCTCATCAATGAAAGATAAATAATTCTTCAAACTAATGTAAGCTGCAGTGAGCGATAGAAATTAATTACTATATCAGATTTTCTGAGGATAATTTCAGAATTGGATTGACACCGGTAATTGGATATTTAATAATAAAAGAATCACACATGATTGCGCTGGCCTTATTTGCTGTTAGTGCAATAACAGACTGGGTTCGTTTAACCATAATTTTATTAAATATATTAAAATTTAATGGTATTTGATTGTTCTGTTTTGCTCAAAATAAAATACGAAATTCTATGCTTTATGCAACTCAATTCATTTTTTTTGCTGTAAATTTGAACTAACTGAAATTTTTTTTCGTTTTTGAATCATATTTCTCATTCATTATGAGTGAAAAGCATAACATTTAAGTGAGTATCTAGTATTTAGAAGGATACTTGTATTAGTCGTCTATTTCTTATGTTTTATTGTGCTACTAATTTTTTACTTTTCAAATATTTCTTACACAGAATTGAGGATTTAATCGTAGTGAAGATATTAATTTTTCATGAATTACGGTTAACAAGATTTTTTTCTCGTAAGAATTTACTGGAAACCGTTACATATATACTTAATTTCAGTTGGATGGATATATTGCTCGAAGAATTCGGAATCAAAGGTCACTGATTGGAAGTATAATTGATCCTGTGGCTGATAAATTACTTCTCACAACTGTTTTTATTACTCTCACTTATGTCAAACTTATACCCTGTAATTTTCCTTATTTAATTTTGGTGTTAGCGCTTTTCTTAACACTTATGATCTTTAATTTAAACTATTGCATTTACAACGCACTCTAATTTAGTGGAGCTTACCGTTCTGGTTATTCTACGAGATGTTGGCCTTATTATCGGTGGAGCTGTGACTAGATATAAAACAATGGAAAAGCCGATAACATTGGTCCGATATTTTAGTCCGTCTATTTCACCACTTCAAGTCACACCAACATTTGTCAGTAAAGTCTGTATTTCTTTCATTTTCATTTGTTTGTCCTCTGAAAAAAATTGTGCGAAAGTTATACAGATACATTTTTTCTAATGCACATTCTCTACCAATAAATTTTTTGTCTTTTTTATTCCATTTAACCATTGCAGATTTCAATTTTTTAGCGTTTAGATTTTATGTTTCAGGAATTACTAGTTTTCTCCTTTTTTCTTTTTTCAATTAAGGGTTTTTATATGTAAATTTAGTGAGCAAAAATCTAGTGGACATTAGTTTCAATGTTTTGATTTAATTGGATAAGTTTAAAATTTATTAGTATAATAATACGATTCAACTATAAATGCATAATGTTATGAAGTTCTAGTGACATTTTTTGTGATTGTTGAACTGGTTTTATTCTGTTGTTTTCTTTACTTTTCGGAAACAATATAGATATATTTCTCGGAAATACAAGTTCCTGTTATAACTGTTATAAAAATCATTCTGTGATATTGCAATCATTAGACCTGAACAAGTTTAGGTGAATACGGCACTTCAGATGTGTGTAATCGTTGGAAGCCTGGCAATTCCTCTGTCAGACTTAACGAGTCATCCGTTTCTAACCTGCACCTAGTAAGTCGGGTTTATCGTTTGCTAGTGAATACTTTCAAAAAAAAGTCTGCGCAAAGAAAAATTTTCAATTATTTCTGCCTGTTACATTCATTTACCTGTCACTTTTATTAGGTAACAAAATATTTTTTTAAGCTTTGCTACTGCCGCAACAACGATATATTCTGGATTTCAATACGCACGATTGACCAGGATGAAGCCGATAAAGGATAATCGCTAAATCTTTTGGATTTTTTACTTTTTAGGTTTTCCTTCTTTTTTTTCTTTGTTACTGAAAGTTGAACAGCTAATATTGCGTGAGAAACACACAAATTTTAGCAAACGAAATATTAGTTATATAAACTCTGAAGGTATAAACAATTTTTATTTGTTTTTCTTGTTGATGTACGGGTTATTATTCAATTTTGTTTGCTTGAAAACGTTCTTTTGTTTTGTATTAATTTTTTGTGGGATTTCATGCATGCTTTGCTTTTTTTCCATTGAAGAAACTTAGACTTATTAATTGGCAGTAATTTGTTATCCATTACATGTTTGACGATCTTTATTATTGATTATTCAATACATATTTTGTATTAATATCAACCTTCCGACAATGAATAAATAAAATTTATTGGAAATTTTTACAGTAAATTTTATGAAAATTCCTTGATATTTTAATTTCATGGGCTTTATGGAGTTATTTTGCTTCAGAACTTCATCCTTATATGAAGATGAATTCTAAGGCTTAAAATAATTTGAGAATGGCAAGATGAAGACCAAATTTATAGAAAACTGATTTTTTGTATGATCTGTTATTTTTCAAGTGTCAAATTCTGAAATGAATGTTAATTGAGTCTTCATGTGTACTCTTTGAGGACTTCATTGCTCTGGTACCATAACCTCAAGAGTTTATTGCACTTGACGACGTGTGATAAAAAGTTAGCAACCCGAATATGTGTCATGTTATTCTTCCATATTTTAAGGCTAATTCCGTCTCGTAATTCCTGCTGACAATTCATGTAACTGAATTGATGCAACTATTTTTCTAACAAATTTTATTAATTATAAATAAGAAAATAACGGGAATTTGTGGGAAGTTAAAAATGAGATTAGAAGCTTTTCTTAGAATTTTTCTTCGTATTTTTAATTAAATTTAGGAATATAAAGTTGAAAGTATTCACTGAAATTCGAATGCTTATCTTACATATTATGTATGACATACCAATGTATTACATTCAGTACGAATGCCATTTTTATTTCACAGAAGTGTTAGCACGGCTGAGATAAACGCGTTGAATACCTTAAGTCAACAGCCTTTTTTTATTAATACCCAATTTATTCTAACGGAATTTTGGAAAAATGGAAAATAATTAATAGTTATTGACTTTAGGATCTATCAATTTTCTTTCAAATTAAAGTTTTTAAAACAAATATTGCCAATATATTATTAATTCACTAATTAAACGCTAATTGGTAATTAGTCTATAAGAATTCTTTACTGCTCTTATTTTTCCAAATCCTCTATTCTCCTCATTAGGTACTTGATAACTTGATAATAGATAGTTCTACAGAGTATAGTCTCCGAAATCAGGAAATGAGATGAAATCCTTTTCGCATAGAAGTTTCTGTAATTGACTGCTGAGAAGATCTTAGACTCATAACAAAAAGATTGAATTTCACACTATATCAAAATTGCAATTTTTATCAGGATTTCTCGGAATATTCGAGACACTCACTCTCTCACTAAACTATATATATATATTTTTGAGTCTTATATTAAAAGATATTAATTACCGATCTTTTGAATAAAGCGTTAAAGAACAACAACTTTTAGCTAAGATGAAATGCAATGAAAAATGAAGTTGAAACTATTTAATTTGGAGAGTAAACAAAAATGCTCATTGTTAAATAGAACAAATGAATGATTAACAATGATGACGTGAATTATTGTCCCAAATAAGATGAAGATGAAAACGTGTTCTATCAATATAATCCAGTTCCGTTATTATTCCATTATTAATCTTTCTCCTATATCGTAATTTTATTCTATCTTCTAACCTCGATTTTATTCACGGCATAATTGTGTAAATAATTTTTAAAATTTTAAAAATTTTCTTTTCTAATAAAAGAATCATCCTCCGTGAAGTATTTTTGTGACACATTAATTTCCAAATCAAATTTTTCATGATCATTTCTTACAAATTATTTATTTGTTGTTTTATAATGATATACTTAAATTTGGTATGAGCTAGTCATTTGCTTGCTAATCTAATTGGAAGAAAAAAATTGACCAAACTTTGAAATACATAATTAAGGATGGTGTTATCTTAGAAATAAGTATAATTTATTACTTTGCATAGCGTTCGTCTTTATCTTTACAATATCTAAAAGTGAACTGATTCAAAATCTACCGAATAAGTTATTCGCTTTCTTCAATTTAAGTAGACATATATTTCCATTCAGTTGAATGAAAGAAATTCTTGTGGATTTGTTAAAATTCCACTCAATATTTTTTTTTAATACCACATTTTAACAGAGAAATTAAAATGAAGGAGAATGTTATGTTACGTATAATATGAATATTATCGCGAATTCAGCGCTGCTCAACCACAAAGATTTCATACAATATTGTTGCAAAATGTTTCCGTGTTCGATTCCTCATTGTTGCATAAATTGCGGCATTAAACATCCGTTAAGTGAATTTGGATTGAATATGAAACTTGTTATGCAGCCATTTCACTCTTTACTTATTCATTCCTTTCAATTCTTATTTTCACTGATCATCATCATGTTAGTAAATATGGCTTGAATTTAATTTTATTTTCTGTTAGATTATTACGATGGAATATTGTTGCAAACTACGTATTCAATGATTTATTTACTAACTAACGTGTATCATTGATAACATCAGGAAGTTTTGCAATTATAGCTACCAAATGTCAATCCTACGTGTTCTGAAAGTAATTAGATTCGTAATGTAAAAGCATATATGATAATAACTGTTAGCGATAGCACATATCGTAGTGAAGATAAAATTATTCTATATAATACAAAGAGAATAATTCTATCTTTACGACGATATAAGCATCAGTATAAATATGATTTCAGTCTTTGCTTATTGAATTCATTAAATCTTTAGAATGGTTCCTTTTGTTATTTTGATAATATCATTAGCAACCTAAACTTGATATCAACTTTTCGTAAATTCAAAGATTAGTTAATTTATTTAGACATCTATTTACAATCGGATTAAATTATCATTGGCTATAATTTTCTGAAAAGTCTTTTATGATTCTTCACAATAACCAGAAATTTTTGTGCACATTCTTGAAGCTTATAGAATTGTAAGCTATGCAAAGAATTAATATTGCAACATCCAAAACTCAAAAAATATTCGAATAACCATTCAGCGATTTCAAATAATATCAATTAACGAATCATTCATTCTATCTTTTCGTAATCTATTTTGTAAATCGTTATCAGAATATCGATATCAATCGGCAAATAAACGTCTCAAATTTGATGGTATTTGTTGAATCCTTTTGAATTTGACAAAAAATTTTAATCACTGATTGTATCTTCTATAAGACATTATTTTGGACAATTAAATTAGGAAAATTTTTCTTTACATTATCAATGTAAGTATCGGGAATAATTTTTTGACTTTAAAAACGAAACGTATTAATTACAACTTCTCTATGATAGAATGATCGTTACAGTAATCTCTTTAAGAGTAGGATACATTAGAGCTTCGAAATTTCATTGATTGCCATATGCACTTACAACATGTTAGTGTTACATGGAAAACGTGATAAAAGTATAGTAGGACTTAAAAGATGGACTCAGATTGATGATATTACTGCCTACAAATGGAGAAATAGATGGTTTAAAAATCTGAACTGTTAGAGAATTATATATTCATCTATTTATTAACAGGAATAACATTTGACACGAAAATAAAGGAAGAAAGTGCTGGGTGTTTGTTAATAAAGGCAGAAATGCGAAAGAGATGAAGAATGATGAAAGACGCAAAATGGAAGACAAGAGAATAGGGATGTTGAATTGATGATGCGGTTGCTGTAAATCCGGTACTGCAATAATGCGATTTTAAAGACGATAAAAGAGAAACAAAGTGATGTACTCATTATCAATTTTTTTTGAATTTCAATAAATATTGAAAATTTTGTAAGAATAGTGTCATATATGTTACAAAGATTACAATTCTTGTTTTTTTGCTTGTTTTGTTGTAGTTGAAAGGTCATTCGTACTATTGTAAATAATTTATATTATCTTAATGTTATCGCATTTAAATTTTTCACAAAAATGCATACCTTATTTGCATATTCCGCACTGATTTAACAAAAATTTATCGATCGCTGTCGTACACTTCGATCGATCGATCGATAAATTTTTTTTATTTAAATGAAATTGATTGTAACGTAACAGTTCTTTGTCTCATATTTTCGGAATTTTCGTTTTCTCTTCTCAATACAACAGCTTTAAATGTTTCGCGGCTTATTTTCAAATGATTCCAAACAAAAATATGCTATTAAAAAACTAAAAAATACTTAATTAACAAATAATTCGATTTTATTTTAGTTTTAAGTTTTTTTTTTTTAAATTGATCATTTAAATATTCGTTGATTTGCCTTCCTATCTATGCCTTTAATTAGCACTCAATATGTGGGTTCACTTAATTAATTAGCATTCAATTAGCACTCAATGTGTGGGCTCACTTAATGTTTTCGTTCATTCATCGCCTTTAAGTTATAATTTAATTGCAAAATAAGCGTTTCAAAAATATGATGCTTTTATTAATCTCTCGTTGAATTTATAAATTTCATCTCATTATCTAAAATTCAGATCAAACAGATAAGTGATCATTTGATGATACGAACGAATGAAGCATTCATTTTTTCACAATTATGGCTCATTATTGCTACTCGAAGTATAAATGACTATGAACAGAAAGGCCTGGTATTGATTCCAGCAATAAATTTTATCCCAGTGAATAGTCAAAAAACATCATCAACTTCATTTCCATTTCAACAAACCGATGAACATCGTTTACTGAAGGAGCGAAATCATAGATTTCAACAGTATCAGCCAAAAAAAGGTTTATTTTATTTCATTTGTTATTATTACCATGAAAATACAATCTATTAAGAAAGTTGCAGAAATTTTTAAGATAAAAATTTTAATGGAATAATAGTAGTATTTGAATTGGCTTTTTGAAATTATTTCAGCAAAATATGATCTGAATGTTTCTCTCATCTGATAATATCACAAATTTTAACTGTTAATTTGATTAAATAATGCAATCAGACAAACTGAATTTCCCATTTTTATAAATTCAATTTACTTTTTATTCATTCAGAAACTTTTAGACTTTTAATTTCAGTAACATTTGTTATAATTCAAAGTAGTTATGTTTTTGGAAAAAAGGAATTGTTAATCGTCTGATGAAAAAGTGAAAAAAGTGTTTGACTAATGAAAGAAAATGGAACGATTTCATAGTCATAGTATCATAGTTATGATATTACAAACAAATAAGTGGAATTTTTGATAAGAAAGTCGAAAGCGAATCTAATATTGACAAATCGAATTGTACCTATTTTATTATATTTTTCATTATTCATTTAGAAACCGAAACATTGGTAAGCAAACAATCAAGTGATATGGAAAAGCCACTTATCAAATTCCCGGTTGTGACATTTGTTCAGACATATGCTAGCAACGACACACGAATGATTCCTCTGGAAAGTAGTAGTACACTCCAAAAAATCGCATTTCCTGTTTTGCCAAACAGCGGTGCTTTTTTTATCACTTTATCGTCGTATCATTATTTTATGACTATTATCCGATTCATTCCGTCTTTTAATTATCATTAAAACGTTTTCATTCATGTGTGTTGGTTATTGAAATATTTTAATTCTTTTTTTTAAAAAAAATCATCCCCAGTGTCATCATTCAAACAGTAATTTACTTGAGAATATTTGAGCATACAAGAATAAATTTAATTTTTTACACTTATCTTAAATTAAAGAAATTCATTTCTTATCTAGATCCGGCATTGTCTGTGAAAATTATTTCAGAAGGTCATCGGAAGAGGAAGAGGAAATTATCGAATAACATCGGGGCATCTGAGGAGGATAATGATGGTAACAAGAAAAATGAGGAACGCAACAATGGATTAAATAACAATGCGATTGATGTAGAGTTGGAATTTCAGCGAAAAATGGAGCGTACCACAATGAAAGTTCGCAAATATCCTCCCGTTACCAAAGCTAGTCCATCTGCTCTTACTACAATTATTCCTGAACATGTTTCAGGTCCATCCATCCTGGTAACTCCGATTCCGTTACCTTTCACACCTTCTCATCTACCTTCGCATGGTTTTGATTTTGGAATCCGTACAACAGTTTCATATCCAAGTCATAGTTCATCTTCACCTTCATCTATCATCCAAGATCAACTCTATAGTCGGGAAATAATACAGAGACCGAACATCACAGAATTATCCCCAATTCCTTCTTTCATAACTGTTTTGCCACCGGTTGCACTACCAATACCATTAAGTAAGGCTGAAACATCGTTTAATCTTTTTGATACTCAATTAAAAAATTCTGGAATTGGTGCAGTAATCAGTGATCAACGTTACCGGAATTCAGATAGTACAGATTCGAGAAGTACTGATGTTACACTTGAGAAACAACGTCAATTACCGGAGAAAATTCCCATGCAAATGCAAATGCCGCCCCTTGAATACGAACCGGTTGATGATATATTGGGCTGTGCATGGGATATTGTTACCAATAGTTGCAAAGATTTGTTTTCCTTGAAACTCTGTTCGCATTGCCATGATTTTGGGAATATTTTCTTACACAGTTGTAAATGTCTTGTGAAGCATACAACGACATTTTGAGCATAATACACTTACCGCCCCACCCGTCACCCGCTTATTCTCCTTGTTCAGAATGTACAATTAGAGATTAGGAAGTCGTTGTTGATGAGTAAGAGGACAGACGATATCGAATTAATAGAATTTAGTAATTCAGTAACATTTCAGTAACAATTTAGTAATTTAGTAACATTTCAACTTTATGAAGAATATTACTTCAAGTTTACTGCAAACACTGACCAATAATCGCTAAAACATCTTATCATATTGTCCGAGTATTAATATATACAATTTTTTTGATTTAGATCAATAAATATGGAACAGCAATTTGTTCATAATCGTATCCATTATCAACATAATTTTGAAATTTTTTTTTGACTGTAATTTGTCGCTTTTCCATATATTTCATAAACTTATATGAATATGAAATTTGAACAGTCCTAATTATCCAAATGCTTTCAATAGGAATCAAGCTTTGATATCAATATTATCAAATATACAGAGATTCTGATAGTCATATTGGAAATTAAACCTAAGAATTGACACATTTGAAAGTTTGAAAAGATTGCTTATTCATTCAATAATGAATATTACTTAAATGAGCTCATTTTTCAAATCATCCCTAAATGAAATGATTGCAGGAAGAAGAAAAAATGAAATAGAAAAGAAAATATTCCCACCTTTTTTTCGCTTAAAAACAAATCTAAGCAAAAATTGAGGAAAGTTTTTTTGCGTGAAGTGAACTGATGAATTAGTTCATTTCACAGTTCCATTTCACACTTTATCATTCATCTTAGAATTTTTGGAAGAATTTGAAGAGTAGAAGGAATGCGAGAGATTTCTTTATTTCCTCGAAAATTTTTGTAGTGAAGTATATAGGCTGAAAACATGCAAAAGTAATTGTGCCAAGAAACGTTCAGTTGAAGTATCACGAACAAATGAAGTACTGTTAAACTTTTACTTGTCAGGCACAGTGGAAGAGAATCTTACTCTTTATCATTGCATAATCATAATAAAACATTATAAATATTACGTCGAGGCAATCTAACATCAAAAGTATTTCGAAAAATGATTTCCCCTGCAGATTTTTTGGAATTTTCATTACTTCAACTTTTGTAATCACAAAGGCTGTAATGGAAAATAGTAAAAGGATCTTAGAAAGACACATTTGTTTGATATTTGAATAGATTATATCGAACGAATTACTTAATTAATCATTAACCATTAAATTAAAATCTTACTATTGGTAACAAAAAAAATCGTTCTATTCTATAATCTTGAAAATATGAATTGTCGCGAAACTTGAAATAAATATGCTGAAATAATAAAAATAATTTATTGTAGAAATATCTCTCACTCAAGTGATTCATCGCATAAATTGTAATGTGATAAATATTACAATATCTAATACCATGAATCATTTAAATAATTTCTCATCTCTTTTTTGATTGCTATGCTTATTTCTATTCATTAAATTTACGGAAGCTAATTCTCATATAAATGTCTCCAGTCCAGTAATCAGTCATGTTTCAATCGTTACGCTGTTATCAGGTCTTCGTTTACACAGCTTTATATATCTACCCCTCATCGAATGTTTATTGTAAATCACTCCTACTTTTGTCTATATATAGTGATAGTAACGTTGATCAACTATAATCTCTTCCTCAACAAAATAAATTTTGATTCCAGTCATATTCGTCTCCTAATCAGAATCAGCTTTTTCTTCATGACATGAATTATGAAATAATTTTAGAAGTCTGGTCTTTGAGAGATTCATCATTGATGATAATCATGGGGATTGTGAAATAAGCATTATACTAAATAAATAAAAAGAAGTGATAAAAAATTTGTTTTATCACTAACATTACATTATAAAAATGTCTTGTATAAGCGAAAAGTTGCGTATGCCAACAAAACATGATTGAGGAAAGTAAAAATTAGTTACGAGAAATGATGAAAATGGAATTAGGCTTCTTTAACTGTTTTAATTAACAAAATCTCTATCACGTCAAGCACGTGAAAAATTACGGCCTTATATAAAATAACGCCATTACACTACTCGTATAATCCATTCTTCTGTATTAAATGAGCAGTTTTTATTAATAATAGAGGTAATAATAGACGGACTGATATACGCTTAACAAAATCTAATCTTCAAAATAGCAAAAAAACTCTTACCAAAAAAATGCAAAACATTTTGAATCATCCGCGCAGGTAAACAAGGAATGCATCAGAATGTTGAAATTCGTAAACATTATTAGGTGTGAAATGAATAATGCGAGATTTGAGGGACGAAGTATGGTTAAATTACATTCAGGAAAACCAATGAAGCAAAAATCATTTGATATTTTATGTTATACAAATTGATTAGAGGATTTCAGGAAGGAATGGATATCATTTGAAAAGAAAGATACCTCGGAAGAGATATTATCGAAAAACGGTTAACCAAATAAATCATTCATTTTGTTCAAGAAATATGAAAAAAACGGTTAAAGATGAAGAGGATATATTGGATGCAAAGGATCGATTCCTACTAATGAAAAGTGCTTAAAGTGACAGATGAAAACTATAACAATACGGTTGAGAAAGGAATGAAAATGGAAAACCGATGAGAAGAAGGAAATTAAAATTTATTGAAAATTTCATTACAAAATTTAAATGAAAATAATATAAGATTAGCAATTTGATAGAATTATCAAATTGATGACTCACAAATCATTTCTGCTTTCATTGTATTTTCAATAATAATTTGACTGTTTTGATTTTTTTCTTGAATTTTTGAAAATGAAAGAGTACGAGAGAGAGAGAGAGAGAGAGAGAGAGAGAGAAGATATTGTTGCTTTATTCTCTTATTTCATGAAGGAGTTTTTAAATAAAAGGTATGAATAAATAAAACATTGATAAAAGAAAAACCGAAATTATCAACAATGATGGGAAATTTATTTTATAATGTCTCAATTTCGAAAATATCCTTTCAATTCTAAAAAATTTCATTAGAAGCTAAAATGGTTATGGCCGCTACTTTTTCTGAAAACAAATCGGAAACGATTTCTATCGAAATGCTTCGAAAAAATTTCTCCGTAATACCGTATTAGTTAAAGTTCAGAATGCAAAGTTCACATAATATTTGTATGACACATACGAAATGTTCCTGTCAGAGGGTTTGAATAAAGGCCTTTTAGTCCCATCGGAAGGCAATTTTTTTCAGTCTTTAAATTCTGCCTAATTCATACTTCGAAGTATTTTGCTTATTTATTCAATTCGCAATTTTTTTTCAACACTTTTTATTAATTCCGATTTGTTGACAAAAGCATGCATGACAAATAATCATTGAAATTCCACATTTCTGCATTATTTTTAATTATTCAAATTTAATTAATTTTAGAGATATTTAATTTTTGCATATTTCAGTCAAGACTAGCCATTGAATTTAATTTAAATTTCCTTAGTAATTCTTATCATTAAGGAAAGAAGTGAAAGTAATATCTGATCTATAAAAGTGATGCATTTTTGAAACTTTATACTTCAAATCTATAGAAATTTTAAAAATACGTAGATTTTCGGATCGGAATAGTGCCAGACTTCCACAACAAGATACTAATAATCAGCAGTGCAGGAACACAAACTTAATGGTTAATAAACCTGAGAGAATAGGAAATGTGGACTGTCGCTATTATTATTTCAGTTATTATCTCTTTGAAGTTGGCTGCTTTCATAGAAATTTGGAGGCAAAAACTTTGATCGGAAAAATTTTCAACAATTTATTCTTAAAGCAAAGTTTCTGTTTTTGTTTTGAGTCATTTCGCTAAATATTATACCAATTTTTCAAATTTCTTATCATTAAATTTCGAATGAATTATTTGAAAGATTTAAAATCTGTTGGCGAATCATTCAATTTTAAATGATTAATTTCTTTTGTTTTTCAATATTATCGCACATAAAGCTCGTTCAACTTATTGTTTTAAGGATATGACAGATGAATTAATAAAAGAACTAATGTGTAAGTTATCGTAAAATTGAAATTTTAATTTCAATTGCTGGGAAAAAAACTCAATTTTTGTTTTCAAATAATGGTTATCTTCTGTGAATGCAAATCTTCAACAATGAATTGTAAGATAATAGTTTATATAATTTATCTCATTCATTTCGAATTTAAATTTTATCATTTTTTTTATCCGATTAATCTGATAAGCAAATAGAATAATTAAACAAATTATTGATAGGAAATTAATTGAAGTTTTTATTCGTTTTTCGATTGATAGCAAAAGAAGGGACAAATTTGCTTAAATTTTATATATTTGAATTTTTGCTTCATGTGATAGCTTAAAAAAAAATTATATTTGCTTGATAAGACGAAATTTAATTTATTTATTGCTTTTTTCCAAATGCAACGAAGCGTAAAGTCAAATAATTGTCGAATATTCATTTCAAAAAGTTAGATTTTCAGATCTGCAACAAAATTTTTCCATCCATCGATAAGTAAATGTTATTGCTTGTTAAATTCATTTATATTCCGGCTGGAGCAAAGTTTATCTTTCAGTAAAGCAGTCATTTGATTTTATGAGTTTGAAGTAGTGGAATGAATAGTTGTGAAGAAGCGTTACTTATCGGAAAAGCAAGGATAACAATAACAAGCCATTAGCGATCTTTTAGAAACCAAACAAACTTCATAAAATCATTCAAATGAATGTTTGCACTGATATTGCTCTTTCTACACCATAGCAACAAACAAACTTGTAAAGTCTTAAATTTGTTTACGCAATGAAATATAACTAATTCTTTTCATTTCTGTTCCTTCTTATTTCATCCGTTTTTTGTTAACGTATTATCCGTTACACAATTATTTGCGTAATTGAGGAAAAAGATAAAAAATTTTATCATTTCCTTCTCTCTCTCTCTCTCTCTCTTTCTGTTTCTGTTTGACATAAACAGCAGATAAATTGTAATCTTGCCTCTTTTTCCTTTTCTAAAATTCAACCAAAGTTTGAAAATGTAAGAGTTGAGGGATTTTCGCTTCTTTACATTAACACAGATTATGCACATTATCAGGTGAATGTTATCATATCACAGCGATCGGCGTTCTCTCCCTTCCACGCATTACAACATTCATTCTACTATCACTTATCTAATGAGAATTAAAAAAAATCTTTTTCTAATTTCATTTAAATTATCTAATATTTAGTACAAAACGATAACTACAACGATATTATAACCATGGAATAAACTTTGCAATATCTTTAGACATAAAATACAGGACAGGTTTTTTCCTTTTATTAGAAGAGGAGGAGGAGGAGGAAGAGGAGGAGGGAGAGGAGGAAGAGGAGGAGGAGAAGAAAGAGAGTATGAAATCGGAAAGAAGAAGACTTAAAATAAAAGAATTGCAGATATCTTCTGTTCAAAAAGTTTACGTTGTAATCATTAATGCCCACTATTCCTTTTATCTTAATGAAATTGAGATATCTCGAAATTTAAAAATTTTTTCCAAACAAAAGCATTGTAACAAGAGTAATCTAAGAAGATTTGATTTTTTTGTTATAACTAGCAATACTAAGAATGAGAGAGGGAGAGAAAGAGAGGGAGAGAGGGAGAAAGAGAGAGAGGGAGAGTAAGATAATAAGAATTGAAGAAACCATATATAGTCATGTGTAGAAAATATTATTTTCTCTTATTTAAACTATTGATTTGCAGCTCTTTAGAATACAGAACGAGATTTATTCGTTATCTCCCGAATGCAACAGACTAGCTGCAACAAAAATTTAGAAATACGACAGCTTCTTTAAAAAAAGAAAACAAACCGCGATCGCGAACTCGCCATTCTTCTTTTGTACATTAACAAATCTGTGATAAATTCAGTACAATACTGATATTATTGCATTGCTTGTATTTTTATTATTCTGAATTGCCGAAAAACTAATACTAATACTTTCAGGTTGAATTTGATATTGTAATTTCATTTCACTACCTGTATCCTTTTTACATAGCGCATGATGACAGTATTTTTGATTGATCGCTTTTCGTTTTTTTTTTCTTTGTAGAAATTTTGGCTGTAAATTATACATTAGGAAGTTCGTTGGAAAAGTGCAACAAAAAATAAAAGTGGCATATAATTATTGCCCTCAATCCAATCATAATATCCTATTCTTCTTTTTTCACACTTTTTCTATTTTGGTTATTTTTGTTCGCATTGTTTTGGTGGAAAGTTTTGGATTGGCACAATCGAATTTTAAGTGAATGCTTGTTTATTTGATAGAAAGGTTCATTCTTCTTCTCGACGTTATAGTAAAATTAATAGAATTACCGTTAAACCGTTGGGAATTTAGTTTGGGATTCTTCGTTCAGAGAAGTGTAGATGGAAAGATCGCTTCGTTTCTGATCAGTGAGTTAGTTACACTGAAATGCGCTCCTCTCAAGTTGAGCGATACTTGATAAGCACTGTTTTTTAGTAAATAGCCAACTGATCATTTTGTATACGAAATCAATGGCACAAAGAGGTCATAGGGTCATACAACATAATAGAACTAATGGTAAATAGGAGCCATTGGGTATAAATCATTAGCGATATTCGTTTATAATAAGTAGATAGTAAAACTGATGACTTGAATATATGATAGATAAAGCCGGTGGTAGTCGGTGTTGATTTGCCTTCAATATTTCATGAATGAAACAGAAAGTTTCGCATTGATTTTCGAATTGCTCAATTTACTTTGTGCTTTTGTGCACTTTATTGAATTTCAATTCAAAAAGATATTTTATTCATATTCTTTGGCTATTTTCCAAAGTTAAATTTAATTCAAAGAAAATGTCTTTTTGAAAAATCAAAACTTCGGCGTTTTACAATCAGCGTTTTGCACAGTTTTTTTAAACTTCTTGGCTATGATAGAATTATAATTGTTCAACATTTCCCTGAACCAATTGTATTTAAAGATGCTTTTTCGTTTATTGGTAAGCTTCAGCTATCAATTTTTATTCTGATGAAGTATTGAGCAAATATGGTTAAATGGAGTTGATGGTTGCTATAATTGAATATGTAAAAGCTGTAGTAGTTCAAAGGTAGTTTTGGGTAAGGTACAACGGTTGCAAGGCATGAGGATAGGTTGATATTTGGTAATATGTTGGATTTTTGCTTTGCAAAAGTTTTTAGATTTAAGAACGAAAGCAATCCTCCCGCATGCTTGGTTTAAAAAACCGATTCTCCTTTTTAACACGAAAGTGTTGAACTAAAGGATGACAAATCAATACTTAACTCTGAGTCATTAGCGGATGATTCATTTGGCTTTCTACAATTTAATTGGTAGTTTTTAAATATTTTCAATTATGCTGCTTCATTATTGTGCACTTCTTTCGTTCAATTTAATTTCTTTACTTTGTTTTGCAGTAAAAAATTATTTACATTTCTAACTATCCATAGCGATTCCTTTCTAATTAAGTTTAAAAATGATTAGAATGTCGCCGATATATTTTTGTTTCGGATATGTGAAATTTTCAGTTTCATTGCAGATGTAAAGTTTTTAATTACATTATCATAATTGCAAGCCGATATTATTGTAAAAGCATTCACAGTGTTTTCGGCATAGTTGTAATTTTTCATCATACTTTACCGGAAAGTTCAATGTTTCTTCGTACGAGAAATAAGTAATTACTATTAGTAAACGTAACAGACGATCATACCAAATTTCTTTGAGATATTTCAACTAAATTTATCTTCTTACTTTCTTACGTTTAGAAGGTAAAGCATCAATTAAAGTGCAATAGATGTTTCATTTCGAACAAAATATGTGACATTATACATTTCACTTATAATCAAATATCAGTCTTAATTTAGTTTAGTTATCAGTAAAAAATTCGTGGATAAACCTATCACGCTATCATATTACCTCGTTGCACGATGAAGATAATATATTATTTCTTTTATATTTTTATCCTTTTAAAAGGACGTATAATTTGTTTCATTGATATTAAACGAAATCGTTAATTTCAAGAAAATTTGCATATATGCAAATTTCGTTTGCATATGTAACACAGTTCATGCAATGTGTTTCTTACGACTTCATACTCATGTATTTATTGGAAGTATTGACAATGGATTAGAGACTGTTGGCTAAAAGACATTGAAGTTGATGTTGTAGGTATTCTGCTGATCAGCTTGGCTGAATTCAACCTACAAAATGGACAGATATGAAGGTGCGGAATTTCGATTACCACCACTTAAAGGCATATTGGAATCAGATTTTCGAATACCTTTCATTTCTTATTTTCTTTTATTTCAAATTATTGGGTATTTCATTCGGATATATGCATGGAAGAGCTACAGCGGTTTCAAGTTTGTGTGATTTTTTTTATTTCAAAAATTACAAAATATCCTCTATACGATTAATTGCTCAAACCATTTAGCATAGATAAAGAACTTTGAGTGATTTTGATTATCTGATATTTATAAAATTGATTAAATATTATATTTTCGCTTATATATCTTTATTGGATTGAAAAATAGAATTTTAGATTAATGTGAGAACATTTTATGAAAATCACTGCTAGCAACAAATCCCAGAAAAGTTGAAGTTAGAGAGAGAAAGAAACGCATTATATCCGTAGTTCCATTAGAAAAAAAAAGCTATAAAATAAAATTTACTTTATAAAGTAAGCATTATGTTGCAGGCAGTATCGATTGCGCAATTTAACATTATGTCTATTTCATTCAAGTATTAGTGGCATGTGGTCATTTATATTTTCCATAACCCATCAGCGAGTAATGCTGGAAGAGACAATACATTGGTATGGTACATGGGGTGCACAACTTCCAGTTCTATCTATGGGTTCGATTGCTTCTCAATTGTAAAAGAATGTAATCAAAAGTTTTTCAATAGTAGTAATGGAAACCTTTGACTTTTGACTTGTAGATGAATTAAGGAGATTATTGAGTTTATTTATTATAACTATTACCCATTGATAACGGAATGCAATTGTACTGAAGGAAACTTATAAAATGGAAATTGATCAAAAATAATAGTTTATGACTAAGCTTTTAGTGATAACGCTATCCTATGAATTTAATTAAGAAGTTAATGTAATGAAAAAATAACTCCTGTAATTTTTGCTTTGTTTTTTTATCGTAGTTGTATAAATTGTATTGCAGCATATTTTATCTGCGATACAATCGATATGTTAAGACATGAAATCTCAAAATGGACCATTGAACTACTATTTCATCATGCTGCAAGCGTATTTGTTTTTGCTTCAGCTGTTCTTTCTCGTAAATTCATACCTTACGCTTATTGGGCTCTTTTAATGGAAATTAATAGGTGAATTTCCATAATACTTATGAAAGATAGAAATGGAAAAAATTATTTTTATTTAATTTTGTCAGTAAATTGAAAAATTCAATAACTATTTCAGCATCTTTTTGCATCTTCGTTCATTAATGCAAATCACTGGCTATAGCATTTTGAGACAAAGTGTTTTTCGAGTTATTCAATTTACAAATATTATTACGTAAGTTAAATGAAATTTAAAGTTGTCGCTTTTAATTTCAAAATAAACAACATTTTGAACATTTTATTAAATTTTCTTCATATTATAAATTAATTTTCATAAAATTAGCATATTTTTGGAATTATTTGTAAAAATTTTCGAAATTCATTGATATTAACATAAAATGTTAAGTAATAATAAAAAATTGATAGATTTGTATTATTTCGATTTGCTGTACAAATATGGCAAATAAATTGGGCATGGATAAATCGCCATCATTTTCATATCTTTTATTTGGGAATTGCATTAATTGGTGGAGCATTCTTTTTCATCATTAATATCATTTTATTTCTACGAATTTTGGCATCTGATGGATATTTGGGAGAATTTGGCCGACAATACACAGCCATTAATCGGTTCATTGCTTTTAAGCTGAAAGTTTTCTTCGTTATAAAATCTAATATTTATTTAGAAATTATGAAGTAATTTAAAAATACCATAAATGTATAATTTTTCGATTGTTCTTCATTCTTGAAAAAATTCCTCTTTGTTAAACTGTAAATAAGAAATTGAAAAACTCAGCTTCATTCTATTTCTATCAATTTACCAGCACAGCTAAATACTATATCTATGAGTTTGGGAAATCATTGGATTGAAATTATTTTTCAGTAATAAATATATTTTTGCAGCGATTCTCAAAAATCAATTCACATTATGGAAGATACGAAAAATAGTTGATTGGATTACTTTTTCTCCTATATTTACGCATTGTTTCTTCTTTCCTACACATATTTTCAAAGCTATATGTGAATTAATTTATTAGATAATAAAGCATAACATTACTGATTTCAATATTAATATTTCGTTGAATTTCAAAATTTTAAAATGCGCACTCTCATTTGTCTATTGATAAAAGAGTCTATCATATGCATTATTCGAGTATAACTTTCTCCATACTAAGATATTATCATTTATCTGTTTCTTTTTAGCATCACTTCTTATTTGCTTTTATATTTTTAGTAATAATTATAATGTAATTTAATTAAATGCCTTCTACAAAGATATAATTTATCGATAATTATTTCATCGATCCAAAATCAATATTTTCATTTTATTTTGTTATTTATGCAAATTATATCTTCAGTTTTCAAAAGATAAAACTATAAGAAATTGTTACCATTTTCCAATAAAATTCTTAGAAAAAAATAAATTTAATTTAGCATAACTTTCTAAAATTATTAACAAACGAACATTTTAATTTCGCAATATTTTTGAATTTTTCAAACTCACATTCTATTCTATTGATTGAAATTCGATTTTTTATAGAAATATATTTATACCAATGCTAAATTAAATTTATTCATTTTCTTCCAAAGCATTTCACTTATATGAAATAGAAAAGATAAATAAATAACTTTCGTTAATGTTTATGATTCGTTGATTTACGATAAAACTGCCAAAGTCACTCGGAATTTGTTATTTGTGTTAATGTACATTTCATAAATTTCAGAGGTATTTATTATACTGTTTTAATTGTCAATTCCGTGCTTATTCATAGGAGTAATCTTTCAAATATCCCTTCATCTATCATGTTGATCGATTCCCTGTATTCAGCAATAACGATTTCCTGTAATCTATTCTAACTTCATCGCTGAAATGAAATTTCATCTCTCAAATACCAATTTCTTTCTAATATATAGTTTTTCTTTGTGAAATTGAAATTTATCTCTTTATTTTGTTGTCATAATCAATTTCTTCAATTGAAATTTACATTTTAAAACGTCAGTTTCAAGAGCAGTGATAAAATTTGTTTTAAAAGAATGAAATATAGCGAAGCGACGAAGTGAAGTGGATGATACGATAAAAGAATAATAGGAAGATAAAGATAATTTATGAATAATCAGTGCCATTCCTTGCAAAATGAGAAAGTTACTGTCTTCATTTTTCCTAACAATGGAAGAAAGCTTAAAATTAGAAAAAAAGTAAAGTTAAACTTCAGTTTTGGTTCTGCTTTTATGTTCGTTCATATGTGAAAAATTCATCTTCAACAAATGAATTTAGAAAAAATGGGAAGTTTGCTTTAATCGTGAAAGTTATGCTTATTGTTAATATTGCATTCAATTCTTTTGTCCGATTTGAAGTATAGAAATTTTAAAAATTTACGAGAATTATCCTACGTTCCCTCTTTATGAACTTATCATACCGAATAGGAACATTCGTTTCATATTTGGGCTTATATTTGATAATTTTAAAAACAAAAGCTCTTGGATAATCTTGTGGAATTAGAAACCAAATTCGATCTAATATTTGATCTTTTTCTATTCAAGATGGTTCATTCATGGATCAGGATAATGTTACTAATTTTAGTTTTATAATGCAACTCCGACTAAGACGATCATTTTTTCAAATATGAATTTCCTTTCATTAGTGATAATTTACAAAAAATGTAAATAGAAGTAACTTGATATGTTATTCTGAACTCATGCTTCTGCTAAATTTTTGCTTCCATTTTCAATTTTTTCGCTTTAATTTATTTTGCCTTAGCTTATCTGAAATTGAAGTGAAGAATGTATTCTTAACGAATATTTAAGGTTGGTGAATTAATTATAATTTATATTTTCTCTTAAATTTTTTGAATGCTCCAGAAATGATTGATTGAGCAAAATTCAATTTGTGACAACCTAATAGTGTCAGTAGTAATTTAAACAATTACTTAAAGCAAATTTTTTCAGGCGCCGTCGGTTACAGAATTTAACAGTAGTGGTTCATTCATGTATCACCGGTTGCTGCTCGCTAATCTTTATTACACGTCCAGTAGTTATGTTGAAAGATGTGATACACTGGCAATCTATTAGTAGCACAATTAATTTATTTCTTAGTGGAGCAATTCCAATAAAGCAATTTTTGAAACATATTTCCTTTACGACACTGTAGATATTGTAAAGCATGCTCATATAATGTTTAGGATGGTCGAAATCAGTATCTCACTTTTTCATCTTTGCTTGAAACCTCAATAATTTCTTCAATTCTACAGCTTTGTAAGAAACGTAGCATAGGCCTAGAAAACTTTATGGCGAATAAATTGTCTTTAGATAACTGCGTACCATTTTAATATTTTGGATCATGCATAATTAGCAGTAATTTCAGAAGTTTCTACGCGTTCCATCTATTGTAAGACTTATCAATTAAGATCTATAGAAGACATATATTACTGGTGAAAAGCTAGAAAAGAATAAGAAATTTAAGTTCTTGTATTTTAATATTTCATCGGAGAAAAGAATCATTTCGTAATGAATGAACATCAAATTGCAAATAAATGAAACAAATGCTTTTTTACGCATTTCATGAACTTTCATAAAATTTGAATGCGAACTTTTCCTAAATTCTGATTTCAGTTTTCCATTTCAATCTTAGATTGAAGTTTAGAACTCTCTGTAAAATTTGTTTTCAACTTTTTTGTATTTCAATTTCATATGGATGATACTTGAACTACGAGACATTTCATCCTTTTTACACTTTAAATGCCGAATTGTTTTTTATTTTTAATATATTCTTTCTATATCACCCATTTTTGAAGAAGACATTCTCGAGAAGTCGCACTATAAGAATTAACGCAGATTCGATCCGTAAACTTTTTCTAAACGTTCTTATATTTTTCTCTTTCGTCCGGTGGAGATGGAATGAGGTCTTTGTGATTTATAAAGATTCACATGATTCATAAAAAATACAAGAATTTGATGAAGAAATTTTGCCGTAAAATCTGATTCAATATAATCTTGATGGAGTTACCGACCTTTACAGTAAACGGATAGATGATCATTGGTGATTACAGTAGATATGACCTGTGGAGGAGAAATTGGTATTTTACGTAAATTGTTTGTAATTTATTCTCATTGAAAGAAGTGATGGAATCAATACCTTTAAAGAAACTGAACTAAGATAATGGCCATATGAAATTGTATGTGATAAATGTGCTTATATACCGGAAAAAAGTGGAATTCAAAATTATTCTTCCAATTATTTCAAATTATCTCAGCCCACTGTAAGTATGTCAGCCGTTGATGGGTGGAACATTGATACTTGCAAAAAAAACTGAATATAAGAATTTATTTTTAATTTATGATAAAATGCATAAATGATAATCGGAAAGTTAGAAAGTTAAAAAAAGTTAAATAGTCAAAAAACAAGCAACAATTATTAATACATGGACATTTGAAATAGTAAATTGAATATATATTCATTGAAATAACTTGCTTACAATTACTTTAACTATAAATTTATTGTTAATAAATTTATGGTTCACATCTAAATGTGTAGTTTGTTAGGTATTTTGGCTAATTAAATTTTTATAATATACCAATATTGTCATTATTTCAAAGCTTCGAGTTCTATCACATATTTTCAATAATGTTTATGGTTCAAAACTTTTTAATAGTGTTTACAGTCTAAAAAACACGTAAACAAATGTACTTCTTACGGTATTTTAAATTTTACAGTTTCCTAAATATTTTACTATTCAATAAAATTTTGAAATGGGCCGCATATTTATGATAAAATGCATAAATGATAACCACAAAGTTAGAATAATTGAAAGAAGTTAAACAAAGAACCATTAATACAGAAACATTTAAAATAGTAAATTTAAAAAATGCGTTTAGAAAATATTATTAAATAAAATACTGAATTTTTACTATCATTTCCCACGGACATCAATGAAGAGATTGTATATTTATTTGTTTCTTCGCTATCCTAAAATTAATATTTGCATTCCATTTTTTCTTTTCATTTTAAAAACTTTCTTTTTCAAGAATTTCGAAAAGTTTTTTCTTATTTTTGAATTTTTTTTTTGTTTTAGTCTTTAGCTAATAGTCGATGGTAACATTAAAGTTTTTAAAATTAAGCTTAATTTGATGACAAGCACTCAAAACCAATGAATTTTCAACTTAACAAAATCAAAATTGCGACATTTTTAAATAGAATCTTAAAAAACGGATAGAACTTTTTTATTTATCTAAACAATCGATGTTTAATTTATTTTGATAACATTGTCGTTATCAGAGACTGCCAAATATATAACATATTTTGTCCATATGGCGGTATAAAATATTATTCACTATAATGGCATCCATAGGCGGTATCCCCGCTGAGTAAGTGCAGCGCTGTTTTTATAGAATAATCGTCGATATGATCTGAATTTGTTCGATGGTTTTCAATTTGTGTTCATCATCACTCTGATCGACATTTGTGTGTTCAAAATTCCACCTTCTACTATTTCCTTTCGACATCTTCTTTCATTTTAAGAATGAATTAATTATGATTATGTTACATGCATATAGGAAAAAAATGAATACGGTATGCAGCTGCACTGAATACTGCAAATTGCAACTATTAGAAAAGGAAAAGAAATTTACACCAAAGTTATTATTGTGCTTTTACCTTCTCATTTGCAATTCTGCAAATGCATTCGTTTTGCTTTCTTTAAGTAACTTTAGAAAATGAAATTTTATGAATAACGCAAATCCATATTCCCATTGTTATTGATTTCATCTGGTTGTGATCCAATTGTATCTGACCTGTTTTCATCTAGTATCAAGTATGGGGTTGACAGATCATAGATGCAGTTTATTACATCTAAGCATGCAATTATCATTGTCTCTATATCACTTGAATATGTAATTGTCATAATAATTATCATCATACGGTGATATAAATGATCTCTGAATGGAATTTTTCACTTTTATTTTACTTGAAATCACATGTGATTTATGTATAAGATATATGTAGAATACATTTCATAAAATTTTAATTGACATGCATAATCGATTAAACGTATGTTTTCATTTCAGATATTCTCTGCAACGATCATTATCTCTTCATTGATAATATTAGACCAAACTAGAATGACTTCCAGGTAACTTTAGACAGGTAAATTTTATCACCTCATGATCAGATTTATGTTAATATCAATTATGATGTGGAATTTGTACGATATAAGATTATTGCGCAAATATTTTAATATGCTTATTTTAGATGCAAATTATAAGCTTAATAACTTGATATTCAAATCCACCAAATATATCAAAAATGCAGCAATAACAAAATTGCCATTACTCATTTCTAACAATCCTTCAAATATGTATTTCTAGAGAGTTTTAATTCTCTAAATTCACTTACATCTATTGCAAAAAAGAAACACTCAATTTCTATCATCCTTAATTTTATCCACTAATTTTGACTGAAGTTAAATTCTGCTTTGATTGCTATCATCTAATCTGCAACGAATAAATATAACATATATGTTTGCCTTTCTTCAAGTTCACAATTATTATCACATAAGTTCCACCCACGCATGGGTCATAAATGCCACAAAATTTTATGTTAAAAAAATTTTCAATTGCCTCCTCTTTCGGAGGAATAGCTTTTAACTGTTAGCTTTTCCATCGCTCTTTTTTAATTTTTTTGTTTGACTGTTAGCGCTTTTATTGAATTTGCGCGTAAATAAAAATATCCCTTTTTTGCAGTATAAATCACACGATATATTGAAAAGAAGAGACCGATCGATCAACTCTATTTGTGGTAATTAATAAGGGCAGTTATAGACAATGGATGAGAAACAATTACGCTATTAGTTATAGTGAGTATAAATATAAATGATCAGAATAGTGGAACGCAAAAAACTGAACCTAAAAATTTCTAATAGCGCTTAGAAAGATTCCATAACGCACATTTCTTTTTTTTAAGTTTAAAGAAAAATTTAAACTGTTAATAAGATTCTTTAAGTTATTACCTTACTGAAATATTATTATGATAGTGTGGGAAAAAGGAACCGAATAATCTAATCATTCGACTTGTGTTTACATAGTTTTTGTTCTTAAGTCTTCGAAAAGTTTTATACAAAATAATTTCTTATAAAATGTCTATTATTAATTAAGTGATACGATTCAAAATTCTGTGGCATGTCTTATTCAGTTTAGACTAAGTTCAACTTATCATTATTAGTCCATATTTTACACCTCAATTTACTCACTTATTAGTTTATTTATTATTTGCAGATTGTAATTAGTTTAAACTGGAATGCAAGCTGCAAACAATAGTGCTTCAACATCTGCTTCAACAATTGTGATTCAAGAAAAGGTAAATTTATTGATCGAAATTTGCAGAAGACCCAAACCTTTGACATCGGCTCGAATATCAGTTTGATAGTTCTAAGACCTTTAAGCTATCATTGTGCACTTTCCAGGCCTATCAAAAAAAGCCGGTTCTTGTGGTACGAAATGACTCTGTGAAGATGTTACACGCTAAAAAAAGAATAGTTACGTATCAACGAAATATTTCACATACATCAGGTAATCATGCAATCACATTGTCGATCTGTTTAACAGTGTAATCTTTAAGTTTAAAAATTCTGAATCTGTAATTCTGAATCAATATCCAGTAAATACCTTTATTTATTGTTTGCCAATATGATTTTGCAGATCAAATTTCACATCCAACAGATACGATCGAAAAGAATCGTTTTCTGAAAGAAACGAATAAATTTTCTGTTTATGAAAACAATGAATGTATTGTATTACCAAAAAGAAAACGAATACTGAAACTTCCATTGCGATGCTTTTATTGTGGTGAATGGTTCGATTGTAATGAAAACACTTCTGGTTCTTGCAAGTAATTAGTTTACTTGTATTTTAATATAATCGATAATTGTTTAATTATGTCAATACAAATAACAGATGAGAATGCTTTGATTATAACTTATTTAAAATATTTCTTATCTGAAAATGATCGGATTAGTTGTTTCCAGAGAAGCTCCGGACCCTATCGAGCATACAATTCGTTTTCTGACATGTTATCCGGTAGCGGAAGGTGCTATATATCATTGTTGTAGGAGTTATGACGATATGCCTGCTAATATTAATCGTTTTGGACAAGGCTATGTTAGTTTCTCAGAAATTAAAAAAAACGAATTGATTTTAATCTTCAGATAAAATTAAATAGTAATATCATATATATCTAAATGAGACTAATAGTTTAACTTTAAAAGTTTTGGAAAAAAGTATTATGAAAAAATTTTTCATTTTAAATATTTATCGATAAGCATGATTAATTGAAGTAAATATTATAGTAGTGATTTGATTTAAACAAAATCAGATCACCACTATAATTAGAAATATTCAGTATTGAGTTACTGTTAATAGCAATTGTAGAATGTATTCTCATTTGGACCACGCCATACATCACTATTGAAACGTATGAAAAGATGGTTATTTTTGGCGGTTATGTCACTGATAGTACCGTGCCTATGTTGTTATTTCCCAGCTCATATGATAAACAAATGTTTCGGCGGTGGCAAACGAGGACGTCATCAATCATGTCATTCTACAGTTGCTTTTAAAAGCTGACAGCTCTGTACTATCTATATCAAGTCATGGCAGAAAATGTCATTAAAGGATATTGCAAAGTGTAAAATGTTAAAAAAGAGAGAGACAATGCTGTGTGCTTAAAGTTAAAGTTTGCATCTGATCAATTACTTATATAAAAGTAAAATTCTTTTTAAGAAAAAGTAGAACTGACTTTAAAATTTATGACATAAAGCATTTATGACTTTCAGGAGTCCAAAAAAAGTACGGTAGAGAAGGAAAAAATAACTGATTACGATGAAATTCTTTTGCAACCAGTTCATCCGATCCACGCGTTGCAGACCTTAAATCTTGAATTTGATAGTCTGAAATATGAATAAATTAAGAATTGCATAATTCATGCAACTTTTTATCAATGATAAAGAAAAAGAACCCCAGCAATTTAAATTAAATTTTAATTGTAAAAATAAAGTGTGATTTTACAGAACTCGATGACATTATCTGAAAAAATCTAAAAAGCCTATTTTTAATTTGGTCTAAATAATTAATAGTCCATGATATTATCTACATAAAATGATGTAATCAGTACCTTATCAGAATGATAGGATTGACACTTAACAGTTGATTAAGTGAGCAAACGAGAAGAATTCTTTGAAGATGTGAGGAAAAAATAAAGCATAGCAATGTTGGACAACACTCAAACCGTTTAACTTCAGATTGGCAACACGGTTTGAAACGTTGCCCATCAACGCACAGCCTTACGTGGAATGAAGGGAAGTGTATGTGCTCCCACAACAAGCAACACAGAATCGTTGCTTGATTCAGAAAATGAAAAAATATAAGCCAATGATCATTTCATTTTCATTTTCTCTATTATCTATTGCTTTGCACTACATATAACTTTTGCATTAAATTTCTGATCGCAAATAAAATATCTGTTTATTGCAAAAGCAATAAGGTTCGCACGAATTTGTTGTAGTTAATTTTGAAATCAATTTTACAATTGGTAGAAAAAAACATAGGACAATAGATAGGTAGATGTAATGTGTAAAATAGTATGAATGATTCGAAAGACACTTAAATTCCTTTTAATGTTGAGCGAATAGATCGAACATAAGCGCTTAGTTTTTTTTCTTTTAAATTTTAATCTTCATCGAGAGAAATTCATTTTTACGACATAACGACAATAGTGCTCTTTATGTTATTGCAAAACAAGAAAAAATAAGTCAAAGCGTATCGTTGACGTAGTAATACGATCGGTGACGAATAATTAAGCGCTACGTTATAGAAAGAGTACGGGAAAAGCGGCTCATCTAAAATGAACGTGCGGGAAATCAGCTCCATGCAATTGACAGTATTGTGAAGTTAAAATGCACAAACAGTTTGACAGACACATGCACACACACACACACACACACATACATACATAATATACATATAGGCAGGCAGGCATGCACATGTACACAATGGTTTGCTCAAGCATCGGACTATGCTAATATTTTTATTCGTTTTTAGCTAAAAAAGACATAAAATTCATTTCAGATGACGCTGTAAAATATGGTGACAATGCGGTGATTATTCGCCTTCATAATTATCAGACTATATTTTTATTCTAAAGTATAAGAATCAAGCATTCTATCATGATAAATGATTCAGGAATTCATTTTTGTTTCCATTTTTATTGATTAATTTATTTTCTCTATATCAAAAATATCTCATAAAATTTAATTTTAGAAAGAAGAGTTATAGAATTTAACTTCAAAAAATATTAAAAATATTCGATAATCATAGATAACGATGACATCCTTTAATATCAGCAAAAATTATGCAACAATATTGTAAGGAAAACATGAGCTAATATAGCATGAAATCAATGAAGCAAATAGTATGAAATCAATGCCTTCATTTTCCATCCTTCTAATACAAAACTTTCTTTTATTCTGAAGTGATTAGATTGATCATTTTCCTTTTACCTTCCTATCACATCATATCTGCTAGAAATACACGACTAATTAATGAACGATTTATTGTAACAATATCATTTTTCTGAGAATCTTAATTTAGGACCATATTGTTGGCCTCCTTAAAGAAAGAGAATGATGAAAATATATCACTAAATATATTACTTCTATTAAGCCTATTTGAGACAAAAAGAGTGGTAGTAATAGTAGAAGTAGGTATTAGTTATTCATTTCAACCTTTTTTTCTAATCACATTAACTATTAGTAAAGTTAATGAAGAAAATAGGAAAAGAAATCTTAATTCTGTTATTGTTATATATTGTTTATACCCTATTTACCTTATTAATTTATTAATTTATAACAGAATTTGATTTTGTGAACTTTGTTAAATGAAATATGTAACAATTAAATTTCCAATTAAAAGGAAAACCAAAAAAAATCTTTCAAAACTTCAAAATAGTTATTTCGATGGTTGCAGTATAAAAAGACCAAAATTAACTGTGATAAAGAATTAATAAGAATTAATAAATGCGTTGATATTAACGAGGATTTGGTTTTCAACAAACTATGAGAAAAGCGTACGTACACCCTTCCTTATCATTGAAATTGCAATGCAATGAGCAATTTTTTCAGTCCTAAAATGATAAGAATAAAGGGTTACACCTCCTCCCTCTACCTTCTAATCACTAATAGATTTTAAGATAAGGAAAATATCAAAGAAAATTGTTCTGAAATTTGAATAAATATTATTTCACTATTAAGTGCATATTTTTAAAATAGGAAAATTCAAGAAATTCAACTTCTTGGAGGTATTTATCATTATTTAAAGTTTAAAATTTAAGAAACTTATAAAACTTTTGCTTATATTTCTCCGAAACTAATATAAAATAACAGGAAGAAAATGAAGAAAGAATAGTTTATATAATAGTTCAATAGGAATGTGTTCCATACGTATCATCAAAACTTCATGTTTATTTTAAAAGGAGAGAGCAAAGTTTCGTGGAACATTTTAAATGAAAAACCTTCCTTGTATCTCACCCTCTACAGTTGTTCAAATTGCCAATTTTTAGTAAAGAAGAAGAAGTTGTGTGGAGTGTTCAACTCAAAACAGGATTTTTTTTCTGCTATCATAATTAGAATCAGAATCAAAGTAATTCAATGTTATACATACCCTGTAGTATTTGTTATTTGTTATCATTGTCATTATAAAACAATGAAATTATTTTTTTTCAGCTTATTCCATCACAATTTATCATTACTATATTATTAAATATTGCTACTAACCACAATGAAAGGTATTTGTTTGCAAGGTTTCTGAATAGGTTCCGGAAACTTACTGACCAGAAGATTCTGATCAGTATATGAAATATGGCTAAACTTACCGCTATGAATGTTAATACACTTCTATAAATTTATTCTGAAAAATACCAAATCAATAGGCAGTGAAAAACTGAAGGATGAAGAACTGCTCACTTTTACAAATTAATCGATCTATGATTAATTTCTGTTAACTGACATTCAATTCCCTAATTCACGTAGAAATTTGAACCGTGACGTTTGTTCAATGAATAGTTTTGCAAATTGACGTGAAATCGGGAACAGCTAGTATTCTCTTTTGTTATTCAGCAACTAGTTAAAAGAAAAATTAGTTAATGTTTGGCACCACCAGAACTCACCCATCCTATTCCGGTTGCTATTCTAAAACAATTGATAACAGCGTTGCGTTAAATGTACGAAAGTATTTAGATCGAATCATAGTTCTTTAAATTAATGTTCTTCGAACATAGGAATAGGTGATTTGAAAAGACACTATCTACTTTTCGAAGATAAAATTTTGGGAAGACTATCAAAGTATGGAAAATTTAAATCAGCAGGCAAAGTAAAAATAAAATAGTACCATTTGCTTATATGCCACTCTTAAACTGGTCAAACAGTGCAGTTGAAAAAATTTTCACCAAAAGAAAAATTAACTAATCAGTTTACATTGTAATGCATCAGTTAAGGATTTAAATTTGTATTCTCATTAAACTTTAAATTTCAGTTATTCAGAATCAAACCATAGCAATTGAACCATTTCTATTTTCATAGTGAGACTATTGTAAGGACGAGAGCTATGATTTCTGAGCTGAAAAGAAACAGGAAAGAAATAGCGGTGGATGAGAGAGGAGGTTGGGGGGGAGTATTTGATTGGTTTTTCTTCAATTCTTATTATCTGTATTACATTTCTGGGTTTCATTATTTGTTTTTCTAAGTTTTGGCAGGGAGGCGAAGAAGACAGTTGAGATAGGCATTCGCATTACTTTTCACCCGTCATCTTCTATTTCATAGTAAATGTTTCCGAGTAGCTCGTCCTTAAAATTTGCGGAAAATATACTCATCCTTTTTTCTTTCATCCTAAATTACTTCACTAGAAGAGTTAATTTTAATCTGGAGCATATAATACAATCAGTCCTATCGGAGAACGGATATATTGGCGGTGATTTAGAGAATGAAGTAATTAGGTGCTGGTATTATAGCAAGTAAAAATCCATTCACAATAGTACTCCTTTAGCCTTTCAGATGCAGAACACAAAATTCAGTCCTCTAAAACAATAGTCAATCTAATAAAGAAATATTCTAAATCAAAGAAACAGTTGTATCCATATACTTCGTACTTCTAACGGTTTAAAGGAGAAGCGGAAATTTGTAGAGGTACGAATCAACCCTTATTACTGGTATTTTTAATGAGTGTTATGCGAACTACCCTATCAAAACTTTATCTTCATTTTAAAATAGGCTTTACCTTTTCCTTGTGAATAACCTCTTGGATTCAGCTGATTAAACTTTATATTGTTGGATTGTCGTTCCCATTCTTTAGTGTCCTGACCAACTGGACTGCTGTTATAAGACATAAATAGTTTGCATAAAGATCATACATTCTCTAATGCTATCCATCGGAATTACTGTGTAACATAGGAATATTCATAAACGAAAATGCGAAGCATTAATATTGTCGTTTATCTATTGTCACGTTTATATTGTGTTATTTATAAGATACGTCACTTGTTTAACAAAGTTATGGTTTCAGTAGAATTCTGAAACTCCTTACAAATGACTTTGAATACAAATAAATCGTTCTTCGCGAGAAAATGGAAACGTTATGCATTTTATGGTCTTATTGGCTTTGCAGGTAAAAATTTTACTCTTTGTTCTAATTCTTTTTTTATTTACTATTTATATGTTCATGTCAATATAGTCAGAAGGAATGAAATTTTTTCATTTAATATTTTTCCTGCTAGATGACATTCCCATCTTTATTTTTCCTTTTTTTTAAATGAATTCTGCTCAGTAAAAGTAAATATTTGGTACTTTAGTTTGGCATTACATCCATTACACAATCGAATTCAATGAGAAGGTCAGAAAGGTAGAAGAGCGACAAGATATGGCATATATTCATTGGTTAAAGAAGCAGTTCCCGGCATTGAGGCAGTATGGTATTCCTTATAGGGAAAGCTCGGCGGAGAAAAAATGATTGCTAGATGCTAAAATTTAGCGGTTGCTGAAGTCTCGGGATAAAGTCAATAATTGTATGAAAACTGTACAGGTTCGTAATTAATCAGGATTATCACTGTATTTTTATTGTGATTTTTGTTATGTGATGAAATTGCAAGGCTTGATTTGATCTGTGCTACATGTAAAGCATAACACACCTGTGAAACATTTTGGTGACAAATCATGATGCAAATACAATTGAAATTAACATGATTACTAAATTCCGGTTGTTAAAATTTCAATAACCAATGGAAACTAATTAAATTTGTTAGTAAAACTAGGCATATAACTGATAGAAGTTGTGACGGATGTGAGGCGGAAAAAAGCAAAAAGGACATTATTGTTGTAATCTAATTTATTTAAATCTGTAAATTATCAAGGGACGAATTTAGGTTCGCACATCTTTCTGATACTATGGCATTGATCAGTAGGTTATCATCTTCAATTGGAACAAGCGTACTGCATATGTACAATCAGTGGCCCTTATAAAACCAGCATGCTTGTATTCAGTGTATTCAGTGTTAGATTAAATGCAGTTGGAAATGAAACTTGCTGTGGTATCAAGAGGATGCAGTTTCTTAAATGAATTTTTGAATTTATGGTCTCTATATTTTCTAAAACTGGTAAGCAGTGTTTATTAGCCATTTACAAAAAGTAAAGCTGCTCATCGCATTCCGCAATATCAAGTATTTGAATTAGTACTTTGTGCTTAAATTAAATACTGAACTGGGTAAAGTTGAAAATCAATTTGAGATTTGACTTTGCCTTGAAATTTAATGTTTGTTAAAGAATAGGTATAAACCTATATATTCTGTGGACGAAATTCTCAAATACAATTCGCGGAAAGTGGATTTGAATATTTTTATACTAGTGATTTGTGATGCAGCTCGATGGGTTTCTGAATTTGTCGCCGTTGCTTACGGACAATTTGTAGTGATATGATCCAATATAATGATACCAAAATAAATATGATTGCCGACTGAACAGTATATAAAAAGAAGGTACCACTAAACCAATATTGTAGTAGAGCTGTCGCAATAAAGTAGGACAGAAACAGAAGACTAAAATGAAAGTTCAGCGAATTGAAGACACTGGAAGTGAATCGCATTTTCATTTTCACTTGAAAAAGTAGTGGTTGAAAGGAATAGAAAAATGTTGGAAGAAATTTTTCTAATGTAGAGAGCTAGAAAATAACTCGGTTTTCGAAATTTCTGAGAAATAATCTTGGAAAGTTTTCTTCATACGTTCAAGTCTGGTATTAACCTGATAGTAGCCTGGAGTGAACAGTAAACAATGAATGGAAGCATAAGATAAGGCTGCTTATTATGCATTCCTTTCAGAAGCATAATTACGATAATGGTGCTGATAGAAATCGATAATATCAATGAACCTGAAAGAAACAAGTACAAAACCTCTAAGTAAAAATAATGTTTGAAGTCACACTTTAAAAAATGCAAATAATTGGAGGAGAGGAGGGGAAGAAAAATGTTAATAAGAAACTAAAAAAATCAGTGGTGAGCGTTAGAGTTTATTGATGTTCTAGCTGGAAAATACTTTTAAAGATTCTTAGTCATTAAAGTTGTGTTTCATTTTCGTATTTTTTCACTTAGAACCAAACTCCATTTAGATCACTTCACTATTCTTTTCTTCTTATAAATAACTTTTAAAATAACTAACCATAGTAAGTAATATTCCAGAGTGCTTTATAATGATTGTAATCCCAAATGACCAAAGCCAATACAACAGAAGCAATGTTAGCTAGTATGAATATACCGGCAATGATATTTGTCAGCAGTTGTAATTTCCTTTCTTTCATCACTTATAAATTGGAAATTCTCATCATTTCCATATTTCATGAACATACAAAATTTAACGAAAACAAAGATTTCAGTGTCGACTCGTTATCTTTTAACAGTTATGGATTGAAAAAGAAGTTATGAGGTACGGAGTATAAAGAAGAAAACTAAAGTTCTTCAAATATGTTTTTAAAAAAAACTAAAAGGAGCGAACGGGAGTCACAGCCGTCGCATTACATTTTACTAATTAAAGTTGTCATGTATTTCCAGGTTATATTGCGTATGTCGCGAATTGTCAGAAATAATTTGTATAGTAATATTAACAATTTAGAAAAATAAATTAATAACAACGATAATAATATTAACACTAGTAATAGTAATAATATGTTATTACAATTAATGGTTTCTACTTTCGAGCCTAACACAACTTGCGGTTAACGCAAAGATTTTTAATGAAAATAATAAGTATTAAACAGGGGTAAATAATTATATTTGCAGAAATGTGCCATATGAGCCAATGAATAAGGAAAGGCTGAAAAAAAGGAAAGGAGCTGATTGTTGAATCTTCGGAAGACTGGAATTAATGAGTTCAAGTCTTTTTTTTTAAATGATGACATTTCAAGATCTCAACCGGATCATCTGCTGAAACACTGCTCAAGTCTCATGTTTCAAATTAAACAATTTTTTTCCTTTCACTGCAAATTAAATAATTTCTTCCTCTCAATGTTGCTACGCGTCTTAGTCTGCATAATAACATTGACAAGAAAAAATTATTGCAAAATAACCATAGATATGTGAAATGACTGATTTAAAGAGTTAATGTGTGGTCTTATCATAGAAATAGTTGAGTTATTCTATGACTCAAACGCTAAATGAAGTATTCAATTGAATGACTTAAATAAATAAAGTTAACAGTTATCAACGGAAATAATAATACCAATGGAGAAAAAAAAAGTTACGGAGAAATGCTGTAATTTCAAACTTGTCGGATGGATTCGTAGAAGTGTGTGACCGAAAAGTTTCGCTTTTTATCCAGTTCAGCAATTCCTGGAATGTTCCGGCACTCTACTAATCATTGTAGCATTAATTAGATTGACCAAAGATTGGAACATTATGAGGAAAAGATCGAAATAAATGGCAAGTTATGCTAACAGCTTATTTATTATTTTGCTATAGAAAAGGTTACATTAATAGGAGAAAAAAAATTAAAAAATAGTTGCGATATTTTGCTATTTTCTGTTCTTTTTTTAATAAAAACAACTGTCCAGGGTTCAAGTTTTCAATTTAGACTTATTTCACATTAAATAGTTATAATTGGTCGGCTTCGTGCGTCGTTTCTAAGAAAATTGATATTTGCGAATAAAGGGACAAAACTTTTTTATTAAAAACTTTCGATGGTTCATCAAGGGGATGATTTATTTTTCGAAACAAGCAAGATTTTAAAAACGTAATCTTGCTTGTTTTGGATAATAAATTCCCTTGATAAATCAGGCTGTAGTAATTGAAGGGATGAAATTGCTGTTTTGAAATCAAAAAGTCATAATTTGCACTGCTCTTTAATGATGATATTTATAAATTTGGACGTGCTTTGCACAATTAACGCAGAAGTTTTCATTTAAAATATCTTCGGAATTTTTCTTTAAAAAGACTGTGATCAAAAGGATATAATAAAGGTTATGTAAGATGGAACAGCAAAACTGTTCAATTTTATGAAATAGAAAATTTAAATGATAAAAGTTCATTTATGAAATAAGCAATATTATAGGAGCGCCAGAAAGAGAAACACTGAATTACATATCAAATCGAATATATGTGCTTAATTGTCGAAAAACGCTGATGCAATTGACGATTTTAATAAGTTAATTCAAAAATATATCAGACATAGTTTAAGTTTAAGCTAGGATAATGTGCCTTGAATGAAGTGGTACGATTGTAAAATGAAGCATTGTTATTGACGGGAATTGTAAGTCTTCAAATTATGTATGGAAATGAATTATTATTGACAATTAGGCAAATATATTTTGTGCTAATAATAAAGAATGAAATGAATAAATTAAGTTAGAAAAAAAGTATAGGGGTCGATGACAAATTTTGATTTAAAAATATCAAAAAACTATTTTCACTTCAGCGCAAACAATTATGATAAAAATTTCAATATTTAATATTAGTAAAGGTAAAGAGAAGGAAAGCTTTTCTTCATCTCACTGATAGTTAGTTGCTTCTAGTTAACCAATCAAAAATATAAACATATAAATAAGCAACTCGAAAAGATGAGAGCAAAAAAAGAAAAATTAATTTTCTCACTAAAAATTAACCAAAAAAATTTTTTGTCGGGAAATTAATTTTTTTCCTTATCAATCATAATCAAATTAACTTACTTCTGCTATCAGCTGAGCGCACTCATATATCACAGACATCAAAAACTGGATGAGTTGTCAGAAAAAAAGTCGAAGTGAAACCATTATTGACAAGTGGATGATGATAAATTGCTTTAGTGAGACTATTATTGTCAAGTGGATGATGATAAGTTGCTTTCAGTGGTCGAATGATTTGTAATCCTATTGATGTGGTGCAAGCAATTATTTTTATACTGTTTGATATTATTTAAGAAATAAATAATCGAAATAAGCTTATTTGCAATTTAACTTTCTATTTGTACCGTTTGATTAGTTTTCATTTTAATTTAGATCATGACTGATTGATAAGGAGAAAAAATGAGTTTGTTCTGATGATAAAATAAGCTCAAAAAATTTTTTAATTCATATTTTTGATTGGTTAACTAGAAGCAACTAACTATAAGTGAGATGAAGAAAAGCTTTCCTTCTCTTTACCTTTACTAATATTAAATATTGAAATTTTTATTATAATTATTTGCGCTGAAGTGAAAATATTTTTTTGGCATTTTAAAATCAAAATTTGTCATCGTCCCCTATACTACACTTAATACTATACTATACTTATTAATACCACTTCATTCAAGGCTTATTATCCTGACGTACATTTAAACTACTTCCGTATATTTTTGAATCATTTTATTAAAAATGTTATGTAAATTAATGTTTTGTGACAATTAAACACTTATATGATTTATTGTTGATATATCACTCAATTTTTCGCTTTTTGATAATTTACATTATCACTTATTCGATCACTAAACTTCTGACCTTTAATCTTTTGGCCATCAAAGTTCCTCCGATCGGGAATTACTTCTCTCCCAAGAATTTATTTTCAACAGTAATTGCAAGTTTAGTCCATAGTTTCTTTTTCTCAAAAATTCGATTTCTCATTTCATTTCATATTCAATGCATTATTTCCTTAATTTCTGAAATCGAATAAAAACCTTTAGGTGCATAATGCATAAATTATGATCGTCGTTACAAATCAATTTTCCCTTCTCAAATTCGTTGTAGCGTTTAAATGATCTGTACCTTTTCAATAATAAAAAAGGGTTTGATTGAATACTAAATGTTATTGAAACCCAAAATTGTTTCAATGATTGGACGATCGATCGATCTTTCGCATATTTTTTTTGTTTGCATCGTATTTTGAGGGATGAAAAATGAATATTTTTGTTTTTATTTCAGTCAAACAAAAAAGTATTAAATTTCCTTTGTTTTCTTTTTAAACTGAAATTTTTCAAACATGAATATATTTTATATTACTTTAATCAAAACTTTAAATGTTTTCATTTCGCTTCCCTAAAGTAAGTCAATTTTAATTTCTTAATTTATATAATTTTATAACAATTAAACAGGGGAGCTGTTACGTTAGCTTAATTATTAGTAAATACTGAATATCATATTACTAACGGTTTCATGGAATTTATTTGTTTATTCTGAATGCTATAAAGCAAAATAAATAATAACTTGATAATGTTTTTTGATCTACTAACTCATTGAGTTTTTTAATCTACTAATTAACTGGGCGATAAATTCAATGAAAGCAAAATATTCATTCACACTAATGAGCCAATGTGTTGCTTATTGAATTATCAATACAAACTTTGATCGCGTAGAGAGATCTACCGAAGAGAGAAATTAATATAATAAAACTGTTACCTTTTGATCAAATCACTTTTAAATAAATTTCAGCTAATATTGATTTTTTCCAATGAAATAAAATCTGATAAAATGATAGCGCTAAAAAAAAATACAATTTAAAGATTTTAAATCTTTTGTATATTTTAATCAAAGAAGATTTAATAAAAGCATCCATGGAGGAGATGTATGAAATAATAATCTATTAAGTGTGTCCTCAATAATAATCTAAGTGAGATTGGTTCTATAATCAGTTATCAATTTTTTTCAATAAAGGACGATGAACGGGTAAGAGCAAGTATTCTAGATCATCTAGAAAAGTAATCGATACGATTATCAATGGTCACTAAATGATGACAAACAGTAACAAGACAATCCTTTCCTTAAAACTAATTAAGTAAAAATGATGGAAAAGTCATAAAAAACGAAAAGTGCAACCTATCAAACTGTCAATTACATTCCTCGTTTAGCTATTACCATTAATTTATATGAGGAAAAGTTTTTCTTAAAAAAAAAATAATTAAAAAATAATAATTCTCAGATTATTTAAAAAATAATTTCTTAAAAAATAATAATTCTCAGATTAAGATGAAAATTTGAAAAGTGAAAACCAATAAATAAATTAATTAATTGATATGAAATAATTTTAATTTAAAAAAATAATTCTCAAATTAAGGTGAAAATTTGAAAAGGAAACTTCTCCTAATTCAAGAATAAAATTATTTCAAACGCTTCAAACTAAAATATTAATCAAATTGATGGAAATATGAATTAACTATGATAGTTTTGGGTATCACATCTTGAAAATAATCAACTAGAAAATTCTTCCTTGAATTCCCTTCCAGATGCATTCACTGCATTGTTATTTTGATCATTCTGAACCGGATAACATGAATACGCTAGATGATTCAATACAACATTGTATGAATGTGAAATGCAGTATATTATCCACAATTTTAAATTAAAATTATTCCATATCAATT